AAGGGCGCGACGTGAGCAAGGGCCTGGATCACGACGTTGAAGTAGTCGTTCTCCTTGATATTGTTCATACCCACAAAGCCTGGCGTGTACTCCTTAGAGTCGAGGGTGTAGCTCGTACGTTTGGCGCGGTCCATCTCGATCACCTCCTTCTTGGTGTATCGCGGGTCCGACACGTACTTGATGTCATCCAAAGCGCGACTCTTGACTTCGTATCCCTCCGGCAGGACGTAGACGCGCTGGGTCTCGAGGTTGATAAAGACATGGTGGTCCTCGTCGAGTGAGTGAAAGTAGGCGTGCGACTTTGGCCCGCGGCCCTGGAAGTACTTGCCGCAGACGAGGCAGGCGTAGACGTTGATGTTGGAGAGCGACACGGAGCAGAGCTTTTCAAAGTCAAAGTCGAGCACGTTGCGGTCGATGGTGTCGAGGTAGAGATCGTCGTAGCCGTCTGTGGGCGCCGACTGTCGTATGGGCGCAGCAGCAGCGGGCTCGTCATCGTCAAAGTCGTCATCGTCGTCTTGCGCGTCACCATTAGCATGCGCTCCAGGTTGGAATTCAGCTTCTGCGCCGTTCCCTAGAGGAGATTCGATATCGTCCAGTCGAGACTTCTTTGATACTGGTGAAGCAATGTCGAGGTCATCGAGGGCCTCGGAGGCCTGGCGCTTGGCCATTGTTGAGCGCAAAGGCAGGATACCACCGGTAGATAGACACGGACCGTATTCGAGTGGCCGGTTGGGGTGGTGACAGCTATTGCCGTCTCGCTGAAGCTTGGTTGAAATTTGACGTCTTGAATGAAGGAGTGAAGACGGAACGAATGCAGCGGTTATGAGTGGAGCCTTGAAGCTCAGGAAATGGGTCAAGAAAAAAGCGTGAGTCTACCTACCTCCCTCCCTCGGTAGGTAGGTAGGTACGGAGTAGGTCGTAGCACGAAGGTAACAGCCAGGCTATCCTCCTCTAAGGGTAGCCTTAAACATGTAATAAGAACAATAAAATAGCAATCTAGATAAGGACTTATTAGGATAGACTTGATTTTGTTTTAGTCTTTTTATATCAACTATTCTATTGTAAAGAGGCAGGACTTAGGATGTGTGACGAAGCAATATAAACCATTGGTTCCAGTATCATAAACACGGGGGCCCCCTACTTTTAGGTATTTGGTCCAATGGTCTATTTGTAACAGGATGATATATCCCCCTTTCCCCCGTTGTGTTACCCTGCGATGAGTTATTTTATTGTGTTATTGCAATCGTCATTCATAATTTTGGCGGTTGTAAATTATAGTGGCTAGTCGTTGCGTCGTTGAGTCTTGGGTATAAATTAAGTCGGGGGGTTATGAACCCGCCTTGTTTCTTGGACCCCGCCGGTCAGTGCCCGGATTAGTTCGGCTGGCTATTGAGCTTCGATATTTTGTTCTGCTGATCGAATCCAATCGGTGGACCTTACCCTGCTCCAAAAACCAGGGGGGCGGGGGGGTCAACAACTAAGGGGCGTTCGTAGCCCCCCGACTTTACTTTGGATCAGTTGTGTTTTGGCTGTGTTATTTCCGTTGCGTTGCTCCCGTCAGAAGTCTACCCCACCCCCTTCTTTGAACCCCTTTTTGGCGGGCGCGCGACCTCAGGCCGGCCGTTAGCGCGACCAGGCTACGACAGACTACATGAGAGCACCTGCAAGTTATCATGAGATCAAATTCAAAGACAATTTATTTTCGAAAAGACCTGGAAGCATTTTATCTATATCCATTGTACTCCAATGATTGATTATCCGGGAATGAACACACGGGGGGTAAATACTTTGGCTCTGTATCAACAACCACACAGTCCATCGTCTATCCAGCCATGACAACATCTTCATCCAAAGCAGGTGCGAGATCATCCATCTCCTGCAGGGTATATTCCACCAGATAACTCTCATCGACCAGCTCCTCAGTGCGCTTGTAATGCCTCTCCGTGTAGACGCGAATAGCGTGCAAAACATCCTTCAAACTCTTCTGCCCCTGGGCCCCCTTGACTGAGAGATTCGAGAACTTGGACGCAGGATAGCTGCGAATGAGAGTCAACAAGATTCTCTGGGCTACTGGCGCCGTTCGAGCATTCGTGTTCCAGTCTCGCAGTCTCAGCAGAAGTAGGAAGATTTGCTCGTCAGACAGGCTGCCCAGCACCTCATCCACAGCTTTCAAACCGCTCAGACTGCCCTTGTCAGGGTTGCTTGTTGTCATGACTGAGGTGAACAAGCTCAGGAGGCGTCCTGGGTGGTTGAGCTGGAGTGCGAGAGTGATGGCTTCCCGGAAAGAACCAGCGTGAATATGGTTCTCCAGCTCTTGCTCCTGCTCAATCATCTTCAGAGCAGCCTGCGATGCGGCCGCTTGAGTCTCGGACGAAGTGTCCTTCCAGAAGGTCACTGTTGAATCACCACTGCCAGAAACAATAGTGTTGTTCTCCGGGTGGACAGCCACAGCCCAAACACGGTCCTCATGGTTATCAAGTGTGCACTCTGCCTCACCCGAGTTGGCGTCCCAAACCTTGACGAGACCATCACCACCGGCGCTGGTGAACTGAACTCGCTTCTTGGACTGATCCTGGGTAGAAGGCATGTTTAACCACGCAACCTTCAGGACACTGTTGGAATGCCCTTCAAAGGTTCTGATGCAGGCATAGTTGGCGAGATTCCAGAGCTTGATAGTCTTGTCACCACTTCCAGTGAGAACGACGCCCTTTCCAGTGACAGCGCCATCTTCGCCCTGGATAGCTGGCAACTGTGCGGGAGAAAACTGAACCGACCAGACACCTCGCTTGTGACCGCGCAGGATGCCCTGAACCTCGCCCTCCGCCACAGACCAAATCTTGACCGTCTTGTCCTGCGACGCGGATGCGAAAAGCTGACTCGAGTGGTGAACATTGATTGCGTTGATGTCCTTGTCGTGCGCCTTTCGAGTAAAAACGGCGCGGGAACCGGTCTTGTGACCCTTTTGCTGGGCTGCTCGAGGGATTTCCCACTTCTTGACGGTCTGATCTTGAGAACCTGTAATAAGGAAAGGGGGAGGGTTGTTCAGGGGATCAGAGCGAGCGGCAGATGACTCAGGAGGGACGCCCTTGGGGAGCGCGACAGCACCCAGAGATTCAGCATGACCCGAGAATGTTGCCCAACATGTGTAAGAGTTGTTGGCATGATCGATACGCCAGAGCTTAGCTGTATTATCCTTGGCACCTGTGGCAATCCAGTGGCCTGACCAGTCAATATCGAGAGAAATAACAATTTCATCGTGGCCCTTGAGGAGAGCAACGTCCTGCCCAAAGTAAGGGGAAGAGTCAGAGCCCCACGCAGATTCACCGCTCTGAGTCTCTGTCTCAGAAACAGACACGAGCCTGACATCCTCCGAGTTTGTGGCCAGGGCAACGAGTGAACGGTCTGGGAGGAGGTACCCTAAGTCGATAATGTCGTCGTGTGTTCCAGATATCCTTCGGAAGGGCTCTGGTGCCGAGAGTGATGACGCCTCTTCCTTTTTGGGCGGTCGATAGAGAGCTAGGGTATGGTCGACCTGAACAAGGAGGATAAAGGGGAGGCCAGGGCGGTAAATACCAGACGCGATGCCTTCCTCCTCACTCTTGGCAGCTTGCTGCGGGGTGAGCTCTTTGCCCGTATCCGTGTCCCAGATGCGAAGGCAGCCATTTGCACCAGCCGAGTAAGTGAGTTGTCCATCATCGATGAAGCCAGCCGCCTCGACAAGTTCCAGACAGGGAACCACCTTGCGAATCTTCCAAGACTTGGCATCCCACCAAGTCAGGGTCTTGTCTCTGCCTGCCGTAACCAGGGCGTGCTGCTCTGGTGAGTAGTCGAGTCCCTGAACGTCGGAAACATGAGACTCGAGGTTGGCGACACAGCTTCGCTTGTGCAAGTCCCATACTCGAACCTTGCCATCTTGGTTGCCACAGGCAAGTCTGAAGTTGGTAGTGCTGGCGTTCTCCTCCTCCTCGTCGGAATCCTCCTGACGCTTTGATTTCTTCCCCTTGCGAGTAGCCTCATTTGAGCGAGCGGCCACCTCAAAGAAGTGAAGCGCAGAGACCAAAACGGAAGATCCACGGAAAGTGTGAGTAACGTAGCCTGCCGCGATATCCCACACCTTCACTGATCCATCGGTGCCTCCTGTCGCAAGCAAGGTGCTGGTTCGGTCAACAGCAAGAACGACGACGGGTGTGCCGTGGGCCTTGACTGTTCGGGTGAGAGTAGCTTCGATAGATCCATCATCCTCAGACCGCTTCAGCGCATAAATCCTCATGGACAGGGAGCGCGAGCAGATGATGAGATGAGAGCCAGAGGGTGTCACTGCGGCATGTTAGTTTAGCTGGGCTGAGCATCTTTCGAGTAAACTCACAGGTCAAGGTAGAAATGAGCTCTCCGTCCTATAAAGAATTAGCCACGTCGCGTTGCAAGGCTTCGCTGGGATTCTTACACCCTCGATTTGCGCAAGGTGCTTGCCGTTTGTCAGGTCAGTGAGAATCGCATCCTCCCCAAGAACTGTCGCGAGAATTCGAGCGCCATTGTCAAGAGCTACAGAGCCTCCAGTAAAGATGGGTCGAATGACATGATCAACGTCAAACGTCGTCTTAAACGGCTGCTTATTTGCCATTGTGGGTGTGTTGATGCGGATGCGACCTGACAAGAAATCAAAGCAGAGAAGCTCTCATGAGTCCCGACTTCCTGTTCCTCGATTTTTTTTTTTGGCGTCCGTGGCGACGCAACCTGATTGGCGAAAACGGTGATTACATAATCGCAATCGCACTTGCCACACCTCCAAGCCACACCTTGTTCGTTCGCGATCATGACAGCTCCCAACTTGTCTCGACCTTCATCAACCTTTACTTCTTAAGCACTAAATTTCATCTCGCAGATACAAAACGCGTTTTCAAAATACCCTCGCCGTGTATCTCAAACGACTAGAGCTTGCGAACTAGCTACATCATGCAGTCATTCCATGTTCAATAGATGAGCCTTCATAATCCTCCATCATGGGAATGCAAGGCCCCTTGACCGCCCAGGCGCTGGTACGAGACACACCATCATATCCCATCATGAGGTGAATTCTAACGCGCAAAGGGTCGGTCTCCATATGACGATGTTGTGGAATGGGATGGGGATCAAGATGATGAACAAAACGACGGTTCAAGGCAACAACAGTACGACCACAGAGGTCGCCCCATAAACCCCGAGACCAAAAGAATCAACAGAGACATAATTCGTTCACATAATGAGGTTATGCTCGTTATTGGTGTTGCTGAACAGGAGAACCCGACGTCAAACCCAGAGGCCGAGTCGGAGCGTAGGCATTCGCTTTATGAGTATGACGTGGGAATGAATCTCACCTTCTCGGCAATGCGTTGTGTAGATGCCGCCGGTGCGTTTGGTCTTGACGGCCTCCGACAGCGCATCCTCGTAGGTCTTTCATTGACCTAGTCATCATTGATTTTGCTAACATTTACAGATCTACAAAAGATACTCACACATCGCCTTCTGGGACCTGTTTGCTCAAGCCCGTAAGGACTTTTCTTTCACGAGAGACATCATGCCTGGCGCGGCTACAAGCATTCTCACCAACTATACCGATCGCAAACTTTTCTGGCTCTGGAGAGACCGTCCTGATAGGATGTTTGCTCGTCGCTTGTGAGTGATCCGCAGCCTCCATGTGCGAATGCCTTTAGCTCACCCTCTATCAGTGTTCACGAAATGTGGGCGTATGCCAGGACGCATATCGAACTTTACGTAGCTTTGCAGAGGCTTGGACTGGTCTCGAGCAGCAACCTGCTTCCCAGCCTTTCCTTCTTTGTCCCCTTCAGCGCGGACTCCCCTATTCCCGCTCCACCACCTCTCAATGGCCTTTCAATCCAGTCCGTCCTACAATGGATAGGGGGTGTATGCATCTCGGCAACGCCTTTCCTTCTCTGGGTAATGACACAGAGACTGATTCGTGACCTACGGCCCCAACTGTGGAGTATTATCTTGCCCAGGCTTCCAAACACCAGCCCTCCTTTGGGGACCCCGACCAACTTGGGACCGACCGATAGGCCCAGGGACAGAGACAGGGCGGACAACACCCATAGTCGAAGCGCGACCAATGATGTTTCGCCTCTGCGGGCGGTAGATGGACAGGTACCGAATGACACTGGCCCCGTGGAGGCAGTGAGGCGACCGAGCACGTTTTCTATGCGCGATGATTTCAGCGATGAAGACGAGAATGAAGGAGCCAATGCTACGCTAATCAGTTTTGATGTGGAAGCAACTGAGGCCTCATCTGATGGACCGCAAGGACTATGGAGTGCTGAATTACGGCCTAGTGTCAACGATGCTCGAGGGTTAAGCTCTCCTTCATACGTTGACACATTGCTTACCCAGCTCCCACCGCTTCTAGCAAACTACATCTTCTCCGAAGCCGCCATTCGAATACTCACAGCGCCTTACGAGAGCATGTCTCTTCGATTGCTGGCCCGCACGTTTCGTCTTCGGCTTGGCCTGCCTTCCCATGATATTTTCAATGTCAATCTTTTCAGTGGCCTCAACTCCACTCTCGTCATCAACTTCTTGAGCAGCCAGTTCATTCATTTGGTGCTTTGCTCCGAACTGTGGGCTGGCTTCGCGACCGTATCTGAACTGCTGCATACAACGCCAGAGGAGTGGAGGGAGGCGGAAGATCAGAAAGGGGATGAATGGCGAGAGGACTGAGCTTGGTTGGTGGGGCATGTATTCAAGAATCAGGTACAAAGCATTCGTTGCACGCAATTGCAACCTCTCCGCTCATGCCAACCTGAAGCTAACGCTGCTGCTCGAACCAGGATGCATACGCCCGATACTAGCGTGGGAAAAGAGTCGGATGTCAGCCGCCTGCGTGTCGACCTTGTGGAAGACTAGGGCCTACTCGATATGAGCTGTCGACCTCAGTTATGCACCAGCAAAGTGACAGGTCCATCTGTCCCATCTGTCACCTTTGGGTTATAGCCCTAGTTGGCAAGGATGGCCTTGTTTTCTTCTTGGTGCCTTGGGATGCGCCCGCAGTCGTACGGTTCATTCTACTCCTCGTCCGTGGCGGCGGCGTCTCGGGGCCAGAGGCTGCTCCGGCGCAAATGGATTGCCCCGAGCAGCGGGGGACCAGACACGGCACAATCGCACGCAGGATCGAGAAGGGACACGGGTTGTGAGGAGCTCAATCAGCAGGGGTGAGGGGTGTCCGTCTTGGTTGAGGAGGATGAGATTGTTGACTGACGGCTTGGTCCAGCCCTGTACCCTCGCTTTCAGGGGTCGAATGCCGCTGCCACGGCCTAAAACGGCTGGCCGGGGCCCCTGTTACGCCGATCCATGGGCCCTGCTCGAGCACATTTGGGGCTAGACGGGCTGGTTACACAGACAAGCACAGTCTATGATGCTTTTGTCGGGGACTGCATGCCCTGTTGGCAGGTATTGCGGATGAACTTCGAGGCTCAACAACTGATGGGGCCTGCAATTGCGCTCGGACGCTCATCTTACGATGCAAAAACCACGCCAATCGTCTGGGGAAAAGAGAGCCGCTGCCCCATTTAACGCGGTACCTGTGCCGGCCGGGGCAAGGATCCATGGCAGCCCGGGCAACCTGCGCGCACGCTGTTTGAAGCGCGTCGTGCAGTGGAGAGCCCTCGGAGAAGAGTCACCTTCATCCTGTCGCATTCTGTGGCGTTCTCTTGTGATAAATTGGGGACTACGAACCCCTGGGAGTGCCTGTCGAAGAGTCATGGTCACCTTTCTTGGCATCAAGCCAAGATTCATCGATGCCGGGCCTAGCCCACCGCTACTCGCCCGGTTGGAGCTCATGGGAGTTGGAGGCTTGCCTTTCTGTCGGGTGTGTGAGTTGGGAGGGGGAAAATGAGACGTGGGCAGGTTGACGGGCAGGGCTGGTTAGGCAAGTATGGATATAAATAAATCTGACTCTCAGGATGGAACGTTCTCAAAGCACTAACCCTTCTTTATGGTATTTTTTAGACAATTTTAGGATAGGTATTGCATAATATTCGAGATGAGTTAGAAGTGTTTTCCCTTTCGCCTGTGTCAAGGTTGCCACCAGCTACTTGGACATCGGACCTGGCAGACATGAGATCTCCATCCATCCCGATCATTTCTGCTCCTCCGCATGGGTTACAGAGCAGGTGTCGAGTCGTTGCCAGCAGCAGCCAACCACATTGCTGCCGTCGGCACCGTTGCATACGATGCCGCGTTCTGCATTCTCAGGGGTAGGCGCAGGAGCAAGAGAAGTCTACACCCACCGTCTGCAAAGGACCATCCTCAACTCCGTTGAGAGGATGAGGAGTTTGCTCTTCGACCCCGCCATGGAGATCTTCATGCCCCTCACTTCGCCGCACTTGAAACTCTGCCCTGGTCTTCGTCAAGAGTAGCGGCGGACACTAGACAAGGGACGACGACACCGAGCAGGGTTTTTAGCGTCTCGGTGAGCGTGTAGTGCAGGCGCTACGGAGCAGACCTTCGCAGCATCGCGCGTGTTAGTCGAAGCGAGGTGTCGTTGACCTCTCACCTTCAGACCTAGGCTGCGTGTGTGCGAGCGTGCTTGCATGCCATTGTTGACATGTTGCTTTTTTGTTATCACTGCTAGTAGGTCAATTCGTTAGCTTGACTGCAGGACGCGCTTGCTCGCCCTGGATATGAGGAGGAAAGACCTTGTCCATGTCTCCAAGAAGGGCGCCAACTTGTTGTATAAATTGACCAGCTTTGCCATGTTCTTCAGATCCTCTTCACACACCGCGCCTCCTTCTACATCATCTCCACTACATCAATTCCTTCTCAATTCTGAAAAGCACTCCCCTGTTCTTGAGTCTATCGCCATGAGCCCCCCCGCAGTCCAAGAGAGAAGACCCCGTATAGTTATCTATCCTCGTCCCCCGCCTCCGTCAACGCCGGAAAAGACCGCCGCTGAACGCTGAGATACACTCCAGTTCCCAGCTTCTAGACTGTAGCGGACATGTGCTGTGCGTTCTATACGCTCAGATCATTGCTATGGTTCAAGACTATTCTGAACTTGAACAACATAATACCGAGGTACCTGATAAGACACCACTGTTAATAAGCAGAACTGACTGTAATATTTCCCAAGTACCGGCACCAACTTATAAGAGTCCTGATACTTTGATGGATCGTGCCGTTTTCCAAGTTGTTGGTTTGGAGGGCATGGACTATGGACATGTCGCTATATCGACAATGCGGCTTGTGCGAGGATCATAGAGGGAAAGCGTTTGGGAACATCGGGCCATTACATCGAGGAGGAGACATTAGGAAAGCAAAAAATCGGCAAAATAGTCAGATATCATGACAGCATTGGCTCTTGCGCATATTCGAGACTCTCTCGTCCACCTTGGCTTCGTTCTCATCTCCTTGAACTCGTAGCAATCTCCTTGTAAAGCTTGAATGTAGTCGCAGCCCCTGCGAATCCCAAGCGCGGTGCAGGAAAGGCGTTGGTTCCACCTGCTGGGATTGTCACACCAGCAGCGCCAACGGCCGCTTGTTTGGACGAATTGGGGGCGGGATCAGTCTCTTGACTCTGAGATACAAACGAGGTACGAGGGCAACGAGTACCTTGGCCAGAGACAACCTCCACGTGCTGCAAGGCATACGAGGCAATTTTCAGAGCTGCCCAACACGCCTCGTTATTCGTCCGTCTCTGCATGTATTGACCGAGGCCTTTCTGGGCTCTGCGATTTCGTCGCCCATCTTGCCAAATTGGCCGGGCTTGAGGCTGTGTCGTGTCGCTGTGTCAAATACCGTAGGTATCCATTCATGACCCTGCAAGTCAGGAAAAGATGCAGTCGAGGTCATGTCCGACGGAACGGTGAAGCCCCAACATTGAGGTCTGGTTTCGAGTCTCGAGGCATAAATACCCATCGCAGCGCCGCCAGTATTGGCTCTCTTGACCTGAAGCTTCTAGACAAGTCAGCTTCTGTACCACTCAGGTACCCTCTCCATCATGCCCCTCACCAATGTTTCGCCTCCTAATAGTTCACACTCTCGGAACCCGGACGCTGTCGAGGACTTGGAAGCCCAGCAGAGAACCACCGAGGATCTTCAGACAGACAATGATGTAGATACCCGAGGTTCGTAGCCCAGCCAGCGATATGGCTCGATACATTAACCCGCGCTCCTCCGTACTAGATTTGGTGAGCAATGAGCCGGAGCAAGGAGGCAAGCCATCCAATAGGGTGTTATACTTGCCCAACGCTAACAGCGACCTTGCAGGCCCAGGCGCCGATGTATTGCACCTTGCAGCGCTGAGGGAGATTGACCCGACGAACATCCTCTTCCGCCGCTTCACAGGGCTCGCCTCATTGTCGCTTGACTTGGAAGCCAATCATCTAGAGCAGCTAGGACATGATCTCAGGCAGATGGTCCTCACAGGCGACGAGGGTGTCAATGACTTCAACGACAAGCTTATGACGAAACTTGGCCGTTATCGTACGACACTGGTGCCCATCTGCTTGGTGCTGGGGACATGAGCTAACAAGATTAAGATCAGTTTGGTTGCAACCTGAGGACGGTCCTTGGGTTCGACGAACCGAGCCAGAAGTTACTAACCAACGTGCTATCTTCTGCGAAGCAGAGTTGGGTGGGACATGGCCTCCATCTGAACGCCTGTGATCATGACTTCGCATCGCTCTTTGACACGGACAAATTGGACCGTGTCTTGACCCATTTATCGTATCAGCCATGGGCTCGACGCATTTTGGTAAGCAAACATGTCTGTTGCCCGCCGTAGAGCTGTTTTGACAACCAAGCAGAACAAGTTCAAGACCAGAACCGAGCAGGGTGATGGTTTCGAGGCCGTATGGATTTCTGAGGACGCTATTCGGTTCGTCAGTGTCGGAATCTTCAACACGTCGGTCGGACTTTTCGTAGTGGCTCCTATGGCGATCCAGACACTCAAAGTGACGTCTCCTGCTGGCGAAGTTGCGACGTACCTGGTGTTTGTGCTTGTAGCAGGCTTTGCTATCCAGATGCTCGTCCCGGGATTCACCAGGCAGCTTCTAGTGTATCTAGCGTATGCGGGAGTAATGGCTGCTGTCATGAGGCAGTAGGACTAAGGTTGTTGTGTTGGGGATCTAGGTAGTGGAATGGAGGAACTGGCTAGATGATAGAGCAGAGTGATGCTGCTCTCCTTGTTCCCGTATCGTGACGCACTTCAATTCATCGAAGCGCCGAGTTTTGTAGAACAGTGTGCACTATGAGAGACTTCATAGTAAGCGTGCAGCCTAGTAATCGAGCTCTGGTGATCTGTTGCCTAGAGACAACGTGAGACAGGCCGGCGGTGGACGAGCGGCGGGGAGGCTCGAGGAGAACATTGACGGGCGACATTGAGAAGGGATATGTAGGGGTCGAAATAGACGAAAAGGGGCAAGATACCAGAAAGCGTCCGTTGAGATCACGAAGAATAGGGGATGCCAGAACTTGGGGAGGCCGGCCTCCAAAGGATGATGTGGGAGAAGTCACGAGGAGAGACCAAATGGCTGAGCGGGAAGGCGATAGGGAGCTACCCGTCCGCTCTTGCTCTTGGTCCTGTTGCGGCTCTGGGAGCGTGGCTAGAGGTAACCAAGGCGCGACGCCATGGGGGTGGGCGGTGGGAAGAAGGGACAGCTTCAACCCCCTGGTCTCACGGTACCAGGCACTCCAGGATAGATTCATGAATTATGCTCAACTTTACTTCTTTCTACCCAAGTATATTTATTTCCCCTGGCTATTTAATCCCACCGCTTTGACTTCATCAAAATCCGCCTCCCTATCCATGCCTTGGGTCCAAAGACTCTGGGCTTGTTTGGGGCAAGTACGAATCGCTACCTGTCTACCGCCTCAAGGATCCAACCACCAGGCACTGTGTTTTGGGGGGCGCGGCTGCACCTGGGGTGAAATTAACACAGAACGCAAGAGAATTCGACAGGACAGAGAGGGGTTTCAAAGATTGGCAGCAGGGATTTAGTGCTTAAGGAGAGATTGCATGTCTTAGGAACAAGTTGCGTCGAGTGTCAGATATTCTCCGTCAGGTGTCCAACTGCAAGCGGCTTTCATGTCCAGGCGGGCCAGCGTTCGAGGCTGGTGAGTGGGTTTACAGGGCAATGGTCCAAGGGAGACCCGGGAAGCCTCGACGTTTGTGTTTCTGCTTCTGCATTCTGTCACTGTCATCTGATCAGAGCGCCCCTGCCGATTGACATCACTAGGTGCCATTCAGCGCCGTGGCCAAAGAGGAGGCATGGCCTCAGTGCGCCTCTGGATATGATCCCCCGTCCCTGGTAACTCCGTCCTCGCCTTCAACGTCCGTCTCTCTCAGCCTCCACCCAAGCGGCTGAAACACGAGCCCAGCTGAGCGGGATTGGAGTACCCGAGCTGCCCATGAGCTCTCAGGGCTTGCAAACTCCATGAATCGCTTGATTCCACTGCACGTGTTTATCCCCGTGTGTGTCAAAGGCGGTGTATTAGGGCCTATCCTTGAAGACCAGCCATCGATTATTGCACCCTCAGTCTCCTACCCCTGCAAGATGGAGAGAAAGGCGGCCAAGCCCCTCATTGCCTTTGCGAACCACGGGCGAACCGATCTCCAGCATGGATAGCGACGTTCATGGTGCAAGTTCGAGCGGGCCGCCCATGGATTGTGAGGCTTCCCAACAAACTAGGTTCACAGTCAAGAGGCTCAGCCAGAATCCAGCTTATCCAGCAACAACCCCTGGGACAGAAACCCTTTGCAACACACGTAGAACCTCCCCTGGAATGGCGCGTGAGAGTTGGTGAAGCCAGTACTGAAGGTCACTTCCAGATGGGCCACTCGCTCGGCTTGGGCCAATCTAGGTGGCTGGATGGCTTGGGGGGATGCGGTACTGCTCCATATCACCCTTTCCCGAGGCGGAAACGATCATTGACTGGAACAAACTTGTGCGACAACAGGTTGATGTCGATAGCATTCTCCCATTTGATGGATTTTTTGCTCAAAACTATCAGTTTATCGTGCTGCAATGGATTCAGATGCTCGAGTCATAGGTTGTTGGGCCAGAGCCTGGTGTTAGGTACCTGGTATGCTTAGTTGCCATTGAAGGTAAGTACTACCGAGTTTCCCTCACCGCTTATTTTCGATCTCTCAGCCAAAAACTGACTTTGACATCCATCCATGGAACAGACACATTCGCTCGCCGGACCGATTTCATGGTCTCTTCTGAGGACAGAAGACCGTTGGCTTTATTGAGCTCTTCGACGACCCTCGATTTCCTCGATACGAAACTTAACATCTGTGCGACCTTCGGATCAGTCGCGACAGCCTACGATGCCATGGTACACCACGAAGCGCATGCCCAATAATTGGAGGAACACATCGCAATTATAGGTGCCTTTCTTGGAGTTCATCAATGGTATCGTCGATGCTCAGGAGGTGCTCTGCCGGTGTGAATCCCAGCCGTGGTTGGACTACAGAAAGTCAGCCGTTGCTCCTTGGAATCAGATCGTGTATTATGAGTGAGAGCAAACCTAAGCATGCCCGTGCAGGCTCAGCCAAACAAATGCTAACATTTTACCCTTCGCACAGTTCTGTTCTCCGTTGAACGATTAGAAGTTGCCGTATCCTTTCGCGCCGAGGTCGGTCGTCTATCAAGGGGGCAGAGGGGTTGTTCGTGACTTGGACCCCGCTCGACGTTTTGTTGATGTGGGTAAACCGCAACCCATGCCCATAGCATTGGATCCATTGGCAACTATTACAAGACGAGAGCCCGTGGGGCAGTCTTCTGAAGCTGCGGAACAGTATCGCTGCTACAGCACACGCTTCCTCAAATGTGTCTAGCAGTGGGACATGGTACCTTTAACACTCGCGCCTGGTCCAGTCAGTGGGAATGGCCTGTGTATGTGAGGGGTTACCTCAGCCACACACAGCACTGAGTACGCTCAATCCCGTCCCGTCAGCTGAATCGGCTTGCGAAAACTGAGGAATTGGGAAGTTGTAACGACTTGTCTGGGCAGAAGATAGGTCCTTCAAGTGGGCATCGGATGTCTGTAGGCACCTGCCGGGTCTGGCCACAGATTGGCAGCCTGAGAGACATTTTTGATCAAGCAGTGGACGCTTTGCCACGTTCCAAGTTACGCCCAGCACAGGGACTGCCGGCACTCCCAGGGAGCGAGCGGGCAGGGGGTTCCCGTTCTGCGAGATGTTAGTCTTGCGGTTATGCCAACTTATCTGGTTGTAATGCTTCGCCTCTTCATTCGGTCCTTCAGATCCGGATAGTTGTCGACTCTTCTTGGCTGGATTGTCAGGAATGATGGGAGAAGTGGTTGCCTCAGTGTTGGTGGCGTGGAATACGGGCATCTCCAACAGAGCCACTCAACTCCAGCCCGCCATACCCATGTCAACACCGGGAGCAAACAGTTGGTCGGAGGCAATTATTACAGGACCTAGGCTTGATGCCTGACCAAGAGAACCCTCGCCAGCTCACTCAACACGGAATTTCACGCCCGCATTTCTTTCAAGTACATTCGCATTGCATGGTGGGAATGGAATGGAAATGCTTTGGTTCACTGTCGTAATTTCGACGATCACGATAAAGGTTTCATCCTGATCACCCCCTGAACGAAGGAGACCTCGAAGCCCTTCCAGCGGGCGTGGTTTTTTTACCAGCCTAATCGCCTAGTCACCACCACCGAGCAGTCGCGCATCGCCAGGTTTTTGAGGCCCCCAGACAATGATGACACCGGCCGAGCTGGGTGATAATCTTGCATGCTTTTGGATGCTCTCAGAACGAGGCTGTCTCCGATATCACAATACAATGACAAAGAAGGGCGGTCAACAAGAGATGTGTTGGTCCTGCACTCTGAGTTGCTTCGCCCGCTTTCCTCGACGATGCCATCTCTGAATGGTCTGCGGGCTTTTTGTCGGTGAGACCAATGGCAAACAGAATCTTCCAGGCCTGGAGCCTAACATACACCCTCACGGTGCTTCAGAGGCTTCATGGCCAATGACGGACTGACTGTCTTCTGCACCCTCGAGACATGGTCTACAGGTTACTTCTAGTCTCGACGATGTACTCCATCTCTAACGCCCACCCCCCTAACGGACCGGCCCGCAAGAGAGTCGCCCTGGCTTGTGGGGTCCGGGTATCATGTGCATCATTTGCCCTGCAAAACAGAGGTGCCAGACAAGCATCAATGCACCTTAGCACAGCCTTCTTAGTTGGAGCTTCGACCCCTACTACCATCTAGGGTCGATCCTTGCCACCACAACCCACAGGGCTCCGATCCGATCGTTTCTCCAACGTCATCCCAGTCAGTTTCACTAGAAACAGCCCCTGGTGAGCATGGAACGCCGAACGAATTGAACGCAAGCTTCCGGGCCATTGCCTATCGTATATCGAGATGACTCATCAGCAATTTCGACCCTCGGTAGATCTACGCTACACCACGTATCCGGGCTGTTTGACGCGATTAGAAGGATGAATGGAAGGGCGCTATGTTCAGTTAGGTCGACTGTGACTGGATTGAGTGGAACGGACTGCCTTCAGCTCTCTTCATTGTTTCATGTGAGCAGGATAGCTAGTTGATGTTATCCGTGTTTTTATCGACAACTTCAACATCAATTGTCGTCAATTTCTGTTCAGGGGCAACATTCTCAGTCTACTGTCTCCGCTGGGCAAGCACGCTGGTTCAGGGGGAAAACGTGGCAGCGGGACAACATCAAGCCCCAATCCTCACCTAAGGGTAATTAAGAGATCATCATAAAGATACTAAATTGACCATAAACAGAGCTATGATATTATGATATCTCTTCATCTGGGTATATTTAAACAAGTTTATTTATTATCTTCTTCATAATTTTTATACTGAAGGAAGCTACTCTCTATCATTCTGGCGTATCAACCCGCGTGGCAAGAGAATGGCTTCAATGAGAACCTTGACTGGGTAGATAGGCGAGTTATGAGATGTTCAACCTGTGGTCCCATATGGAGTATGATTGAATCAGAGGATTTTGGCGAGGGTTTCTATGGTTTCGCTCTATCAATCCAGCAGCATGGGCGGATGTCCATCATTCTCAGGGGTCTAGTGCTCAACATGGCCAGCGAAGATCGTGTAAGATACTCAATTTAAGAGGAATATGTGGCCTAGAGAGTATCTATGTTAAACTCCTGGACGAGTCATATACCACAAGCTTCATCATCGCGATATTGCGCGACCATATATAAGCTGCTTCCCACGACGTCGGAGTGGGGAGAGATCGAGGCTGAGAAGCTGCCAGGATATGCCTGAATAGACGCGAGGAACCGGTTCGTTGCTATAGACGTAGGCACGTGAAAGGTACTGACTGTGCAGACCGCTGCATGTTGTTCTCCTCCTCCCGCCCACCAATGATAAGGTGTCCAAGGATTCGGACAACCAATTGCCCATGAGCCCCGACGACATCTGACACAACTGATGGATCCAGCCATTTGCATGACACTAGTGCAAGGTCCTCTACATAAAGATCCCCTGATTGGTATTATTCTGGCTTTGGGGGGAGTTATGCTGACCCCTATTTATCGATTTGGAGAAATCTGGAGGAGCTCTTCTGCAGCCGGATAGCCTCACTCTCACCTCCCCTGCATGACTAGCTCGTCATGGCTGCCGTAAATACACATGTACCAGGGCCTTTCTAGTGCTTCATCTCGCTTGTTGCATGAGTCACTTGCGAAATCCAGGTGTTTACACACCGATTTGATCAAGACTAGGTGTTTTTACACGGTCTTGGTGCAGATGAGGTGTTTTGACACGATCTTGGAGCAAACTAGGTGTTTTCACACGATCTGATCTCGTCGCATATGCGTCGAACCAAAGGCCAAGGCACCATGGGGTAGCATGGATTGAGAAATGACAGACATCTCAATTGAACCAAACCCATCTTGACGAGGCGCGTATGCAAAGAGGTTCTGTTCAAGAGCCTTGTCGGTTCGTTCGTTGCCTCTCTTCACACCAATCGCCCAGAATTCATGAGTCCCTCATGGAACTCCCATGGAACATTGAGGCCATTGGCCATTCATAGAAGCCGAGTGAAACCTCTGTCGATCAGACAAGCCGCCAAGTATCATGACAGGCTGATGGACGCTTCGGGTGCACCTTCCTGGGTGCCTGTCTACATCCCCGGGCCTCCCACACCTCCTGATGGACACCAACGCTTCCGGACGATCCATGCATATCCACTCATCTCAGATTACAACGCCCTCCAGGTGTTCATACCTCTACCGCTGTGGAGAAAACGCCAGCCACGCCGGTTCTACTCCCAGACCATGCACTAGTCCTCGCCCGACTATGCTGGATAGTTGCTGAAGCGAGGAGGCATCCGACGAGGAACCAGCTCAAGCGAGAATATTTGGCATCCGCGGAGCGCACTAAAGTCGCCCCGGGGATGGGGGCCCCTTGGAGATTTGCCTGCCTGTGGCTAACCCTTGTCTGCATATTGCAGTGCAGATTTGTCGACGGCACACGGCCGTCTGTTGACTCGGTAGCGAATCAGAGAAGACCGGGGCCGTCCCGTCTACCGTTCCGTGAGACCCGGTAAACAGCCGTTCTTCAATATCTTGGCAGTCCGTAGGCAGCCATCAGGATTTACAGCATCTCGGGAGATAAGTTGTGGGTCGGGGGGATCTTGCAAGATGATAGTAGACGATGAATGCCCTGATATTACTCCGCAGTAGCTAATATAGCCTCCAATGAGACTCGTGGTCCTGGCACGAGTATCGTGGGTGGCAGGGCTGACCAGGGGTAGTCATCCATCGCGTTCTATCAGTGTTGGCGTTGTTACACAGCGTCGTGTTATACCAATCTCGTCCACAGGATCGCACGCCGCACACTGCACACCGCATGGAAACAAACTCTAATCAGTTCCGTGACAAGAAACAAGAGCGTCGTCGCCATGAAACTGAAGAGCAGTGCTCGCCACCAAAGAATTGTTCCTCCAGCAACTGCTACAAGACGACGAGGGGCTTCCTTGTGCGCAAAGGTCTGGCCTGTCGCCGATCGACCCGCGTGATACGACTTGAAACGGTCGTTCTCATCCCCTGGCCATCTCGACTAGCCCCCCCTGGATGCTTACCATCGCACCTCTAGATTCAGCAGCGTCCAAGCCAGCCACAAGCCTCTCATGTCGAACTAGTCCACGGTTCCCTTGTCAGAAGAAGCACATAGGGTCATTCTGAGCCCGTCCTATTCGAGACTACTGAGAGTCTGAGCGCTCCAGAAGCGACGCCCAGTGCCGCCGGCTAGCACCTTGTCGCGTCCTCGTCGTATATGACCACTTTCAAGTTTCTTTTTCTCGCACAAGGAGAACTAGTAGTAATTTTCAACCCTAAGCTTTGGTTTAACAGCTTGTGGAGAATGCCAGACGTGCTCGCATTCGTATGTGTTTCCGTAGCGTATAAAGCCCCTGGAGCCAGTACTCGTTTGGTCCAAGTTCTCGTCCAGATCGCAGTGCCCTCTCAACAACCACTCAATTACCCATTCAGTCTCTTTCTTTCTTCGTCTCCGTTTTGTTATCGAGTTCTTGAAGCTTCCCTCGTCCATCCGCCGCCATGACCTTGATTGTGCCAGTGCCTCATCGGCCGCGCCCGAGCCCTCCTCCCCCTGTTGTCAGCGTCCCAGTGCCTCGTAGGCCACGCCCGAACCCTCCTCCCACTGTTATCAGCGTCCTAGTGTCTAGAAAGAAGACCAACAAGGGATCTAAGCCCAAGAGCTCTCACGGCAAATGATACAAGTTTGGACACTACTCTGCTTCTCCTTCTGAGCATGCAGGTGAAATATTGAGACAAAGAGGTACGCATTGGGAACTCGTGTGGATCATCACCGCCAAAGATATATTCTGACATTGAAGAAAAACAGAATCACCCCTCCATTTCGAAATCCTGGGATCTAATAACGGTTGGCTTTTGGGGCTTAATTCAAATGATTAAATGTAGATTAATGTGTTGGATGTATGGGTCTTTGGCAAAAAGGGGGGTCAAAAATGGGTTGAAGGCAAAAAATAGGGTTGAGAAGGTGTCTATCTGGGGAGTTCTTTTCGACAGTAATTTATTAATCGCCTACGGGTTCTGCTACTCCTACATTCTTCTGGAAACGACTTATAAGACATACCATACGCTGAGGTTCGAATTAGACGCCATCAGGCGCCCATGCTACACAAGCGCGCGATTTATGATGCGGAGACGCGCGGCTCGTTGGGATTGCATTTGATCCATGCGGCGCAGTTCGGAGCCGAGGGACAAGCCGGAGACAAGGAGAGTACATAAATGTGACAAGTCGCTGCGTACATGACCCCCCCATCCCTGAGCGATGCAAGGCATCGACATCTGACAGCCACACGTAGCTGAGTGTAATTTGCTTTTCCTGTCAAGGCCAATCGAGAATAGCCAACATCAAGCACATGGCCCAGGGTCCAGGCCGACCTCGATGCAGATCACGAGGCTCAGACATGGAACTGAAGGTGTGTGTAGTGGGGGAGGGGTATGTCGGGGGCCTCATCGCAGAGTAGGTATGGCAGGTTCAACACTGCAATGGGTGTACAACACAATACTGCAGCATTCGATGTCGGTCGGTATTACATGGTGACGTCGGGGTGCGCCTCGTCGAGCGATTCATGTTGAAGGATAAATAAGCCGTGTCGGAACCTGTCAATTGATCCATCGTGTCAGGCCTAGTTCAAGAGCTGGTCAGCAATTGCAGCGCAAATTGGAACAATTCTTTTATCTTCCCTAAACAAGTGTCGACATCATGGCTGGTCGCGAGCCTGCCACACGACGCAGCATCGACATCACACGCCAGCAGAGCTGGAGTGAAACGTCGCCAACCGATGAGAGACCCCAAACACCAGGTATTGAGTGAGGTTGATGAGGCGCAAATGATTGATGAGCTAACCATGTCTTGCTCGGTCGCCCAGACCTTGAGAGCCAGCACAAGAGAGGTACGTCCCATCCATTGCTTGCCTGTGTTCTGTGCTGAGATTGGACATGGAAAAAGAAACTCCAGGCTGGATTCGCGTCGCGCAGCAGCAACAGCGTGATCCGAGGCATATGGTGGCCCCCCGTTGCCTAGCAATAACAGGAGCATGCGTCCTCTACAGAGTACGTCGTATGTTGCGTTTCTGGAAAGAACTCCAGCAGCAGTCTCATGCGGGTGAAGACGTTGAGGGGATCTGGGGGAAGTTGCTCGAGGAGCATGACAAGTACCGTAAGGCCGACCACGCCCTCAACACAATGTGCTCGTCGTTGGAAGACTAAAGGGCATTAGAACGTCTTGTTGTTCAGACAAGCCACGTCATAGCGCTCGACCAACCGAACAAGTCCTTCTTAAGCAACCTCCTCGCCACCTGGGAAACTCTCCTAGGGCCTGAGGATGAAGGCATTCTCGTCGATGAGATGGAACGCGACTGGGTATCGCTCTCGCAGCCAGATATACTCGACCAAGTCATCAGCCTCATACCCACAACCGATCTTGGGCAACGGATGTTTGTAAGTACAGTCAGTCGCTCCGACTACCTAAGACCAAGTAGTGACACCCTGCAGAGACCGTTCCTGGTGGAAGAGGAGAACATCGGAGAGAACAACGATATGCTCCACTACCGCGAGGGTTGGATACGGACCCTGATTGTCGGCGGTATCAGCGTCATCATCGGCGTTTTCGCGTGCGCACCTGTCGCCATCCAGTCGCTCAACGTAAAGTCGGCTGGCGGAGAAGTCGCAACGTATCTTGTCTTCATGATCGTGTTTGGATTGCTGAGCCAGGCCCTTCTCCACGGATTTGAGAAGATTCTCCTGGCCTGTTTAGCCTACGCAAGTGTGATGGCGACTGTGATGAGGCAGGGTCAGTGATTGATGGCCGGAGGCGTGGACGAAAGGGGGAGGGGGTTTGAACTGTGGCTCATCGGCTATGTATTGGAGCGCTGGGGTAGGCTGTATGGAACTCAACTCAATATATCGAAGTGATCCTTTTCAAACCTCGGTTACCTGTAGAGATTGTTGTGATGACTCTCCCAACGGACAGAGGAGCGCAGGAAAGGGGGGACGAAGTCAGGAATCAGACAAGCCGGCACAAGGCAATAGCTAGCTAGTCAGCTAGATTGCAGGTCAATAACCAGAGGATTAAATGATACAGAGTCTTCAGAACAATTGAAATAAGGGATAAAGGGCCTGGAAACGCGCGCGACAGGTTGCTGGTCCTCGATGTGTGTGTTTTTGGTCAAAATGTGGAGAGAAGAGAAAAGGAGCAAGTATAGAGGAGGCTAGGAGCTGGGAGGCCGCGACTACCGTATTTTTGCGGCTCAAACCTGCCAGACATGCAGCCTGTGACCCACGGCGAGGCAGGTACAAGAAACACGTACCTCCCTAGTCCTGTCTCCCATCCTTGGGGGCCTATGAACTAGTCACTCAGTGAGCCTTACAGGGCGTATCAAGTCATGAGCGCGCCGACGCAAAATACTGTTACTCGGATTCCATCCTATTGATGTAAATACCCTAGCCTAAGGCTACATATGATCGGGTCGCTGGCCGAAGCGCTCTCGCCGGTTCACACGTCTCATCCCTCCGCCTCAGTCTCGCAAAAGCTCTTGACTTGGTTGTGGTTCCAAATTCTGGAGGCGGGGACCTTCACCTGGCGGAAATTAGGTACCTATCGCAGAATTGGCCAGAACCGTGTGGAAGACGAGGGCTGGGAATGGCAGGGGGCTGGAAAGTGCACGACGAATGGTCCAATGGCGGGTGAGTGCGAATTGATGTCATGCCGGTGTGCCATCAGTACATAGCATCCTCGATGTGGTTATGTTGAGATGAATGAGCGTGAGGGGCGCTGGTTGTGCGCTGGTGCGAACAGTCTCGCTCTGGGCGTTGTCGGACCTGACATATGCCATCGTTCAGGGTGCTCGGTTTGTCAATGCCGCGTTGAAAGGATCACGAGCGTTGAGGTGAGAGCGTTGAGGCGTTGGGAAAGGCCCAGGTGCCATGGGTCCAGCCCTAGGCTATCGTCATGCCCTGCGAGATGCCTCTCCTATCCCCCAAAAAGGCTGGGACTTCTCCGTCTTTCATGGGGAACTGTGTGAATCCAATGGATGCCGATCGCAACAAGGAGAATGTTGACGTACCGAGAGCTGTAAGCAAGCTTGGACAAAGGTCGTTTTGTGAAGCAATGCTGTATATCTGGGGGTCGGGCGGTGAGCTTAGACATCGCGACCGACCGAAGAAACGGATCCCCTGGCGGACTACTTGTCAAAAGGCAACCAGACGGTTGCCTGACCAGGATATTTTCCCAGCAGTATCCGTAGAGGGTTTCAGACCGACCATCTTCTCCTATCACGGGAAAATGACTTGCCTTCCGGGCCGGACCAGGCTTGACAAAAACCCGCTGTCGGGGATCGGCTGTCGTTCAAATGGCCGGTGTCAAGACACCCCGATACTCCCTCACCGAGTCCGCCAGAGCAGCCGCCGAAAGCGGAAAAGGCGTCAAGCTTCCAACCGTCGGGCGCTTAGAATTTGACGTCAAAGGGATCGTGCTCTAGCATCTTCGAGAGCCGAGCAAACACCACCTCGAGATGACGAGCCGCGGCCGATTTTGCCAACAAAACACCCCCAAGACGCGTCTTGACCAGGCAAACTGTTGATGAGCACAATCGATCATCCTCCAAGCCTTGGAGAGTATTCCGGCCAGGTGCAATTGGAAGTTTGGCGCGGCGAGGCTGAGAAATCCGGCCTGACCGCTACTTCCAGGTTCCTCTCGAGTCAGCGCGGAAGTTGCATCACCTGCACTTTTCGTCGGCCTTGGCGGAAGCAGCGAGTTTTCGACCTGAGCCCCCCTCGATCCCAAAACGAAACCACGAACCGAGAAAATGATACAAGCCGACATCTTTTTCGACATTTTTCTCAGCGACAAGAGAATGTACCAGGCGGCGTGCGTTATCGGCCATTGCGGCAAATCCGCGTCTGGCGCTGGTACCGAACCGACAGAAGGCATCTCAATCGACCTCGCAGCCAGCCCACACGTTCTCGTCCTCGATTTTCTCACCATCGGTTGAATAATACATCCAACGTCATGAAAGATGAAGTGTTCATCGTTGTTGGGACCACGTCCTCATACAAACTCCTGGTGCTGCAAAGTTAGCATCGCGTTTCGTCGCACGTGCAGTGGGAGGGGTACCTTGAAGATGAAGCAGCATCCGCGACTGTAAGTAGAGGGAGGGGAGCAGGCCGGCCCCATGGACGTAAGGAGCATGATGGCTAATACACTCAGTCGTCCCATCCGGCCATATGGTTCAAGAAAGTCGACAAAGAGCCGTGTCTGGAAGAGAGTTGGTCGTCTCCATCCCGATCCCCATCAGGGGGTAGTAGCCTCGGCCAGCCATCGTGGAATGCCGGTCCGGGCCCTCCTCAGATCGCTCTAGCATGACGGATGGAGCGCCTCGGATGCTGCCCAAGGATGGATGCTGTGGGTCTTCGATCCCAAGTCTCCTCCAACTCCAGATTGGAGATGGTCCTGGCTAGGTATCATCTTGCCGCCTGTTTCTCTCGACGTCCATTTAGGCGCTCATATGTTTTACATACATGCGGATAAACGCGTTATGGGGGCCAATTACGCTCCTCTCCCGTTGTCTGCGGCATGGCATAGTCATCACTTGTCTACCTATCAAGAGTGAGAGGCAACCCGGCTTCCATTATTCCGAGACCGCCTGTCGCTCATGACATGGATACATTCCATGGCTCATAATAGCTGCATCTATCGAACTTTTGGGCTTTGAGAGGCGTCAATCTGTCTGAATACGGAAAGGGGAATTGAATCACCAACAAGGACAATAAGCACATGAGCTTGTTGCAAATTGCGCGGGTTGGAACTCGCTGCAGCCTTCACGACGCCCATCTCATGTGGCCCGGCCCAGTGGATGTTTGGATCTCACCGTCTTCTGGTTGAAATGCAGTTGGATCTGCAAGCAAGAAGACAAGCTCGCCCGCAATATTGGCCTTGATGCACCTGCGGTATGACGGCTTCGCCTTGTTCTTGGGGCAAAGGCCACGAGCCTCTGTCTTTTGGGTCGAGCGCGTGCTGCTCCCTATTCACCTTCGTGATATACGGGGGCTGTTGCTTTTGGCGTTAGTGGCGGTATGGGTCCTTGTCGCCAATCTCTCTACCGCGTGCCTGTGCCCGTGTCGGTTCTATGAAAGGAGATCACTGGGCAATTTGATTGCCTGCCTCCTTGCGAGAAGTGTCCTGGCAACGATCGCTTCTTCTTTCCTTTTGCCGCAACAACGGCTGAGCCAGTTGAGAAGGCGTGTGCTGAAGCACTGTTCCGCGCATCCCGGGTTCTTCGCTGGGAGCAGCCAAGTTGCCTCAGGGGGGTTGTTCTGAGCTTGAAGAGCCTCTCGAGTAACCCCCTTCTTGATTCCTCGAGGCTTTGGGCACTGTCTGCCAATGGGACATGGAAGCGTGGCTTTAGCATCTCGGACTCAAGCAAGGCGAGAGATTATCAACACTGTCTGCCAGCTCAAGCCCCATCCATCCACCACAGCTTGCACACTTCTTCAGTCCCCACTGAGCACTGAGGCCATCCTGTGGACGCCTTATTATCAATCGGGATCAGCAAATAATCTACCTCTGAACATGAGGCTATCTTCAACATCGCAGAAAAGCGGTGAATGATTAACCTGTTGGTTTCGACCTTCAGGAAGCTCAGCCCCCTTCTTCTGGGGTGATGGCATCCCTGACTGGCTGGCTGTCTACGAGCCTTCAGTCGGTGAAGCCGGAAAAAGAGGCTATCGCCGACTCTCGTCGCCTAACGCACACCCTCACGATGCCCACGAAACCTCTCATCCAATGAAGAGGTAACCGGCAACTACACCTTCAAGGCTTGGGCATCACGTACACCAGGTCTCGACCATGTACCCTCCTTGTCTCGCCCGCTGCCAGAGCGGTACGGCCCGTGAGAAGCGGCCGTTGCGGGCTTTGGGGGCTAAAGCAAGCATTGCCGAGGTCATGAGGCAGGCTTCTGTGTGTCATAAGTCCCTGCACATGATGTGCATCCCTTTGCACTGCCCTCCCGGACGGGGGCGTGGACCCAGGTTGAGCCTCAACCAGCGGGTGTAGTTGGGTGAATGTGCAGGTCGGCCTCCAGCCTGCTTCTGGGTGGCAGACCTTGGCATGACAGCCCAAAGTCCAGATCACTGATGACGTACATGTGACTTGTGCGGTGTTGGTCGGTTGTTGTTCTTGTTGGAGAATGCCGCGCGGTTGTGCTAATAAACGCGCATCTGTTCAGCACGCATATCAGGAGTCAGACAGTAAGTATATTGGCGTCTGGGTCGCTTAGACCGTGAGACGGACGTCAAGCATCATGTCTTGAGAATTGCTTTGCGTTGCAACCCCGAGCGTGGGAAACCGAGACACCCAGGCCCAGGTAGGTAGGTATGGAGGTGAGCTCAATTGATCTGATCTATCCCCCACCCACTTTTGATCTTCCACCACGGCCCCCGGGTCGGCTTTTATCGATCAACGCTGTATCCATAAACTGCCTTCGATGGTTTCTTCCATCTTTTGAGCCGGAGAGTGTTTTTCCTATCTGTTCCGTCTATCGCCTGTTGTCTTTGTCAGGAGAAGCTGAGCAGAGTGGTACGAGACCATACTAAAGAATAGGGGGCAGTAGTACCGCGATTGTTGTCAAGGCAGCAAAAGGAGCACGCCTCCTTACCAAGGAACATATGGGTGCTATTGCATTCTACTTGTCCAGGCATAGGGGGCGGATTTTTGATGCACAGCTCCCCTATCAGATATACATAGTTCTTTAGTCGGGAGAAAGTGACAACACTGTAGGGTGGCCGAGTCGTTGAAACCACCATTAGTACCAGGGGTAAACTTCAGTGGTGATGACAATAAGACTCGGCCCTCCTTTTCTGTTTCGCTGGCATTGTCTCTTTAGTCTCCCTCCGGCTAGGTGATCTAGGGTCGGGTTGGATTGGCTATGGCGAGCTACAAGTTACCAACGTGGACGACAATCTTCTGTCGTCAGATCAAACCCGTAGACGAGTCCTATCATAAGGATTTAATAAATTATTAGAGGATTTTGTGTAAAAGCTCGAGTATAGTTATCATTATCCTCTCCTAATTTAAGTTTACTCTTCTATGAAATTATGAAGAGGTGTTATTCCAATACCCCTATCTACTCAACCGCCATCCAGCCGCCATCCCGTCTCCAACCTCGCAATAAGCCGGGTTGGGCAAGTGGCGGCATTGTGTCCTTCTTTACCGCATGACGGGCGTTCTTGGGGCCGGCAATGTTATTGTTGTTGTCAGCGGGTGCCTTTCCTTTGCATTGATTTGTAGAGTGCAATAGCGATTCGCAGTTGAGGCAGCCCGAGAAGCGTTGAACGAGCTGACGACTTGCATGCCAGTTGTGGATGCGGTATAGGTGGTTTGCACGCTTGATGGATTCCTTGCGGTGCTCATACCCAACGAAGGTACCGCGATTGAGCAACAAGAGTGTCATGCCACGAGCACGAGTGAGAGCCAATGTACCGCGGAAGGACTCAGCAGTGAAGCCAGGGTGATTGACAGCGACATAGTCTACGAAAACAATGTCGGCTTCATCTCCTTCGGCATCATCAAGAGTCTTGACTTTGAGACGGGTCAAGATGTCTTTCGCAAAGCGGCCTTGGCTGATGAGAGATTTGATCTCCATTCGCAACTCAGTGACTTGGGCTTTGTACAAGGCAATGACAAGGATGTCGATTGGCTTCCCGCTGTTTTCCCCGAGACCAGTAAGGCCAGAGTCCAGAAGGTGTCCGACATGCTCAAGCATCCAGGTCTTATGCATCTTGTTGATCTGAGAAGTCGCTACCTTTCTCGATTGGCTGCCAGGGAATTCAACCACAAAGCTGCAACCGTCGGTAGGCAAGTCAGGGTAGACGTTGTCTCGGATGTACTTCTGTATGCTTCGAAGGAGCCTCATCGTGTCGTTGTAGAACAATGTGTTGGCTGCAGCGATGGCTGTGCCAAAGGAGGGTCGGATTATGACTAGATCAGATCGCATGACGAAAACCTCCTGTTAATTGTCCGGTGCAAACAAGCGATCGAAGCAAGCCTTTGCCGTCTCGTTGGGGGCGGAACCCCGATAGACCTCGGATAGCTATCCAAGATGGCCTTTGGGGCATCCTCAGCCGTGTTCTTCGTATTCATAGGCCGAGAGACCAGATAGATTTGGTATGTTGAGTCGAGGTGCATCGATGGGATCTCCACACGGGTGGCCTTCATCTCAGCTTCGGGGTGGCCCTAGGCGTCAGGATGGTCGCGGAACCATCTCTCCACACGGTCTTGGTGATCGGAGTTGTCTGAGGTGCTCTCCATCTCGGCTTCGGAAATGCTCAACTCTTTGACTTCATCATCCGTCAGTTCACGGGTAAGACAGTCGACAGCTGCAATAAGCATGAACTGGCGCGCGTCCTCTGCCGTGCTGGAAGGAAGAATGACGTTCTGGGAAAAGCTGTGGACAAAAGCCTGGAATTTCCCTTCAACGTCCTCATCTGACTTCGATTCAGACCGACTTTCAGGAAAGAACATTGTGCACGATTCGCCATGTTGGGGAAGCAGATCCTCTCGTCCTTCAGGGTTGACGATAGCAAGGCACTGGCCAGATCCCTTCTAGGGTCCTGAGCCAAACTGTTCGAGAGCGCCCTTGGGGTCTTGACAATCTACTTGGACGTCTTGGGTGTTGACCATCCAGATGGAGATTTGGGCGACGCATTCGTCTTCCAATCCCAGTCCTCGCGCGTACATCTTGAAATGGCACGATGAGATCGGTAGAGGTGCAATGCAAGCTGAGTTCTTCTCGGGGCGGCTCATAAATTTCATCGTGGTTGCGTCAGGCGTGCTGATAGCCATGCTGTTCACAATGAGATAGCCATAAATGGCTGGTATCCATTCATCTGAACGTCCGCCGTCTTTGTTGTAGAGTTCTTGAATCAAGAGCGCTCGAGCGGCATGTCTTCCATGATGCTGATATACTAGTATATGTGTCAGTTAAAAAGACAAATATGGCATCGAGCGTGTGAAAAATGTTACCTGGTTTCTTCGCCGCGGATTGTTTTGCGATGATGGTGCGATGTGCAGCACGGCCAGGTGTGAAGGAAATATAGAGGAATGCGTTATGCATCAAACGGGTTAAGAAATAAACGAGACAATACAATTCAAACAAAAACCTAAGCCTTCTCGAAAGGGCTAAATAAAATCATAGAAATATGTAAACAATACTCTAATTGAATTACTACTTTTAACCTTTTTTATGTTTTTATTTGATGAATTTTAGAATATCCTAGTGACCACCCTTAGGTGAGGATATGCCAACTCCTTGAACTGGTGCGTCGCTTATTTCGTCACCCGGGTGTGCGCATGTGCATGCGCCAGGCAGTCTTAGACACGGGGACTTTTCTAGGTGAACAGTATTGATGCGCTCAAGTCATATTTACAGCCTTCATCTCGTTATTCATTACCCCTATCTACCTAGGTATCATCCAGACAACATGACCCAAACCATCAAGACCAGTTATTCGTTATACCATTAGCCATTTACGATTATGCTCCATTGCGGTACACTTGTGCACCCTGGTTCCGAAACATTATAGTATCCCTCCTTTGCAGCACCATCAGAGCACGATTGAGTCCTTGCTCACTGTATCCCTTGCCTTCAACCATCTCCCTCCGAAGTGTTGACAGGCTGGTACTCCAGCCAATCGGCAATCGACGCTTCAACTCAGCCTCGAGGCGGTTGACCTCGTCGTTCAGCTCGCGGCTGCCCTGGTTGCTGCCCTGGTTCACGGCATCCATGGTCGAGCACAGGAAGAGACGGATGGCTTCGTCGACATGTGCCTCGGTGGCGATGGGGGAGAGAGTGAGCTTGGCAAGAGACTCTGTAATACGGACAATGGCCTCCAGCTGACGGACAGTGATGGGGATGGAAGATCGTGTGTTGGCCTCCATCTCGGCGGCGTGGACTTGGCGTCGGATGGAAACGAAGTGAGACGAGAGCTTCTCTGCAGCCTCGGGGCTGAGACGAGGAGCACATCGGCTGGACATTGTTAGTCAACTTAAATTGTGATAAGGGGGCCAGGTAACTTACGTCTTGCAGTATGTGACATATCTTCGCATCTTGTCAATAGGGATCTCAGACTCGGCCACCTCCTCTGCGCCTCGACCATCCATTTGAATGCTGAGAACGTGCCTGGCCATTCGCTCATCCTTGTCACGACTGTGCTCATCCTTGACGATGAAGATCATGTCGAAACGAGACAAGATGGTGGTCTGGAAATCGATGTTTTCTCCAGGAGTCTTCATATCATCGTAACGGCCGAAGATAGGGTTGGCAGCAGCCAGGACAGAAGTTCTGGCGTTAAGGATGGTGGTGATGCCGGCCTTGGCAATGGAAATGGTCTGCTGTTCCATGGCTTCGTGAATAGCCACTCGATCCTCATCTCTCATCTTGTCGAACTCATCGATACAAACGACACCGCCATCTGCCAAAACCATTGCACCACCTTCAAGATAGAACTCTCGGGTAGATTGATCTCGCTGGACTGACGCTGTCAGACCAGCTGCTGATGAACCCTTTCCGGACGTGTAAATCGAGATAGGGGCTGCCTTTTCGACAAACTTTAGAAGCTGCGACTTGGCAGTACCAGGATCACCGAGAAGGAGAACATTGATGTCACCTCTCAGCTTCATTCCATCGGGAAGAATCTTTTTTGAGCCACCCAGCAACAGACAGAGGACGGCCTTCTTGATGTCTCGGTTTCCATAGATGGAGGGGGCGATGCAGTCGGCCATGATGTTGTACAGATCTGGCCGCCTACTCAACTCCAAGAATTCTTGTTCCTCCTCTTCGGAGAAGGCAGCACTGCCCTTGGCCGATTGGTCAATGTCTGTCTTCAGACCAACCGCTCGTAGATAAGGAGTGCGGATAGCTACAGCACCGCTAGTCGACGAGTTCTTGGAGGCCTTGTTCTGGTAAATCGAAAAGATGCCCATGACAGTGCATCTCGAGCCAGGAACGACCCGGTTTGTGAGATATCTGTCTGCAGAAATGAGGACATGTCGTGGCAGTTCACCGACGGGGACTTGATCTGGGGCCTCCTGCAGTTTGATGATCTGCTGATCAACGAATTTGCTCTTCTCATGGACGACAAAATAGGGGTCCAGTGGACACTTTGGCGTGGGATCGTTGGGGACTCGAGTTCGAGCGCATATTCTAGGCAGGGTAACGCCGGTGAAGCCGCCGAGGATAGGAATGGTTTGCTCGTGTTGACAGTTCCTGCACTTGATCTGGAGTTCGGTTGCCTTTGATGACATGACGGAAGCACCGATGACGATACCCGGCACCCGAACCAGTCGGGCAATGGTCATGGAATCGAGGTTTCGGATGGACACATTATCGGCGTCGCTGTGGAGAAGTAGCTGATGCTCGGGGATCTCGGCCTTGGGCTCGTTGGGAAAGACAATGCGGTGTGTGCACTTCTTTAGGGCACCCTCGAACTATATCTTGTAAGAAATTGAAGAGCCAAAAGGTGGTGCAGCCCTTACCAAGGGGATGATCTCAGCAGGTTCGGATGCCAAACGATGTGCCAGGTCTTCGTTAAAGCTGATCAAATCATTGATGTTGACATCGCAAAAGTACCTCTTCAACAAGGCATTCTCTCGTAGTTGATCTCTGTTAAAGTATAAGCGCATGCGCAGGCAACACATGAACAGTTGCGCACCTGTAGACAAAGTTGTTGTCCAGCCGAAAGTCTAGGATGAAGGTTTCGAGCTGTGTCTGAAGTTGCAACCGGGTGTCGCCATTCTCGCCGAATGTCGGCTCGTAGACGTGAGTAGAGTAGACTGATCCGCGATCCATTGTGACCTTTGAGTACCTGCTCCCGTTGCTGTCTGTTGAGCGCAAGAGTCGACAGGGGAGTTTGGAGATCTTGTTTGTGGATGGAGGGGCTTGACTCCGCAAGTTGGAAGGGTAACACAATTTACGCGCCAACGCGACTTCCCCCCTGAAGGAGAGACGCGTCGCAAGGGCGCGTTTAAGTGGTTGCAGGTGTCCCAATTGGGATTAGCGCGCAAAGCTCAACGCTCCGCATCACGTGTCAGCGCCAAGGAAATGCTTGCTCAGGTAAGCGTAGCGTTTAGGGGGAGCTGCGTGGCATACTTACAAGGTGTCTACCACCTGGACAAGGGAGGCTACAGCTGCAGCGGGTAATTCGGAGGCCTGTTGATGATGACGGCGTATTCTTGATTACAATCTCTTAATTGTCTCTTTCCTTCGCATCCTGTCCTATTCGATACTATACGTGCGTCGGCGTGCGCTTCGCTTCGCTTCTACCTGTTGATGTCCTTCATTCAGCGATGATACCCTAGTAATACGGACGCGACATCCATCAGCCGTCAACTCTACCCGTTGTCGGCTCTTTCAGAGCTTCTTCATTCACCATGTTCTCCCCTAGCGCCGCCAAATCCGCCGACAACCTCTCGTCGCTGTCACCAATAGGCCGGGGAGAGCTACCCTTTCACAGGTAAAGCTCCTGTGGATGCGCTCTGGATTATGGCTGACCAAGGGGCGTGGCAGTAATAGACATGGCCAGATGCATCCTCATCCAACTTCACGACGTGGCTCTACAGCCAGCTCCATCCATTCTATAGGAGGTGCCTTGGACAGTGCCCCTAGCAGCTGGGCACCTTCGGTCTACGAATCGAGCCATAATGGTTCGTTCCGTCCTCAAATACATGCCTCGCTGGCAATCGTTGACCTCGAGTAGCTATCTCGACCCTTCTCCAACCCCCGATTGTACGAACCGGCCTTCAGCCTCACACTTCGGCCCCAGCCTCGAGCGCCCACAAGCCCCCGACAGCGAGAGATATTCCCCCAGTCGCCCTGACAAATATTACCAAGATCGATGTGGACGAGTTCAAGCCCTATCTGTCGCAGATTGGAACCCTTTACGAGCAACTTCAAAGATTAAAGGAAAACGACGAGGAGGCAAACCAGCAGCGAACCAGTCGGCAACCCGACACACCAACCGATACTGGCGATGGATTCTTGCGACCAAGCTCAAGGTCTCGACCGACCCGCAAGGGCTCTACTACATCTCTCTCGTCGCTGAACTCGAATGAAGGCGCGAGTCCGGTACGAAGACCCAGTGCCGGCTTTGTCCGAAGAGCTACCCAAGGACCGCCTCCTTTGTCGACCATCCCGACCGTGTACTTTGACGACGACTTCCGCCTCGAGAATCCGCGAACGTTTGATGTTGTCAGTGAGCGATCCGAGGTTATTCGGCCGACCAACGCCGAGGATGGCAAGGGAGGACTCAATGGAAGTGCTGCTGCACCGCGCAAGGCCCTCGCTACCAACGCTATCTTGCAGGAGAAGCTGTCATGGTACATGGACACTATCGAGGTTCATCTCATCAATTCGATTTCTACTGCATCCACCACCTTCTTCACGGCCCTGGGATCCCTGAAGGAACTGCACTCGGAAGCCGCCGAATCTGTCACACGAATCAAGACACTCAGAAAGGAACTGGAGGCACTTGACGAAGAGATAGCGGCCAAAGGCTTGCAGATTGTACACAAGAGACGAAGACAGGAGAACTTGCGACAGCTCAACGACGCTGTGCTTCAGCTGAAGCAGATCGCCGATGGAGTCGCAAATTGTGAGACTTTGGTTGACGAAGGCGAGATCGACAAGGCCTTGGCAAGCATTGATACGCTTGAGAAGCTTATTGCCGGCGAAAGAGATGCGACTGCCAACAGCGACCTGGAAATTCAGCTACGAGATCTGCGATCGGCTTCAGCCCTACAAGGCGTCAACGCGGATCTGGCCACTCTAAGATCTCGCATTGGAAAGGCATACGAAACCAACTTCTCCAACATCCTGATCCGTGACTTGCGACGACATTCCGAATCTGTCTCCCCGCAGGAGATTCTTCTCAGATGGAGCAACGCAGCAAACCGAGCTAAGGGCGGCCATGCGAGATCACCTTCAGTGTTTCCAACCTATCTGACAGGCACCGACGAGCTCAAGGCCGAATTGTTTCCCAACATGTTTGGCCTACACCGCGCGAAGCACATTGCTGCTGCGACTATTGCCTACAGAGAAGCCGTCTTGCGTGAGATTCGAAACTTGATTCGGCGACCACTGCCTAGTTCTACAGATGATGACAACGAGTCAATGATGTCGGTTTCCACCGCAAGTGGAGGTCGTCACTTGTCAAACCAGGAGAAGTCATCTATTCTGGCACGAAACCTTCGTGCTCTGGAGGCTGAGGATGGCGAGGAGCTGCTCATCAAGATCTACATTGGAGTTACAGAGACTCTAAGGAGAATGACAACGCAGGTCAAGGTTTTGCTAGAGATCACCAGCTCTCTATCTGACAGCCCAGAAGGGGATGGTTTGAGGTCTCCCCCAGTCAGATCACCGATTTCAAGTCCAAGACCAGATCGCTACCCAGGCGGTTTCTTCAACAACGCCGCGATGGAAGTACAGGAGGAGCTACACAAGAGTCTCGATATGGCTAATCTTCTCGGCCAAGCTGTTGATGTGGCCATTGAGAAGATTGTCAAGGTGTTGAAGGTTCGAGCAGAGCAAACGGCGCAGCTGCCTCTGCCAATGTTCCTCCGATACTTTACACTCAACTTGTACTTTGCCAACGAGTGCGAGTCGATATCTGGTCGCAGCGGCACATCCTTAAAGACTGTGGTTAATGGCCACATCAAGGACTTTGTGCAGAGGAACCGCGATGTAGAGATGCAGAAGCTTGCGCAAGGGATGGAGTCTGACCAGTGGAATGCCAAAGATTTTAACGAGAAGAATGAGGCGTTGCTCAACATCATCATGGCGAGCAGCACCCAAGATCCTGCTGAATGGACAGACAGCACCAAGATCTGGATACCAGCTTCGGAGTTGGAGCCGGCAGAAGACGAAGATGCAATCGAGACGAACGGAACCAGCAAGGAAAAGACTAGGACAGCCACGATCGATTTGGAGTCGTTCATGCTTCCCAAGTCAGCAATCCTATGTCTCGAGGGAGTTGCAAAGTTCTCGCATCTGATAAGCGGGATCCCATCCATGACGATCGACATTGCAACGTCGTTGATAGCGTATCTCCAGCTCTTCAACTCGAGATGTACACAGCTCATTCTGGGTGCTGGTGCCACTCGATCAGCAGGATTGAAGAACATCACGACCAAGCACTTGGCGCTGGCATCACAGGCACTGTCCTTTATAGCCACACTCATCCCTCACATGCGAGAGTTTGTGAGGCGCCATGCAGGATCTGGAGCAAGCGTGTCGAATCTCATGGGCGAGTTTGATAAGATTAGACGTCTCCTACAAGAGCACCAAGACAGCATCTACCAGAAACTGGTCGAGATCATGAGCGGCAGAGCAGCTATTCACTCTCGAACGATGAAGTCGATCGACTGGGACAAGGACGCGGGCAAAACTGGTGTGCATCCGTACATGGAGACGTTGGCAAAGGAGACGACGACACTGCACCGCGTCTTGACCAAGCATCTCCCGCAGATGTCCATCCAGATGATTATGCTTCCGGTGTTTTCTAGCTATAGGGACCAGCTTGGAGCAAGCCTCAAGGACGCCGAAGTCAAGACTGAGGCTGGCTTGAAGAGGTATGTTTGCTTACGTGCTGGTTTATGAAGCTTGTTACTAACAGGGTGTATAGCATGTTACATGACATTGAGTTCCTCACGACAAAGCTAGGAAGACTAGATGGGTTTGAAGAGACGGATGAACATCTGAAAAAGATTATCAACGCAAAACAAGTCAAGGCAGAGGAGCCAGCTCCAGTAGAGACCAAGAAGGAAGAGAAGGAGGAAGAGACAAAGGAAGCCGAGGCAGCTCCTGCAGCGGAGCCCGGTAAAGAGGAAGAAAAGAAGTAGAGACGACAGATGAGATCTAGGAAGCCGAATCTCGGGCTCCAGGAGGAGGTCAATGTTACGATTAGTTACGCAAAGTGTCGTCTTTGTGTGTGTGTGTGTGCACAACCTCGCATATTCATTCACACCCATTAAAATTCCGTCTCTTTTTTTTTGTTCCCATTCATGGCTGGAATTTCCCTTCCGATTCACACCATCTCGACCATCTTATTTTATCGAATCATGTCATGAAGGATTGCAGGTTGCAGCTCGGTACGGGATCCTACATACAGCGCATCTACTGCATGCTGCCGGTCAGAAGGTTAATCTCCCCAGCTGATGTGATGCTGCAGCAATCAATCCTTCAGGCCATTTTTAAATTAAATTCTCAACACAACTGCCAACACATTCAAATTTACAGGTTCCGGGGTCTAGAGATGAAAACCCTTGCTCACCGTCTTGGCGAGAACCGCGTTCCTGGGTCTTTTTGTCTCGACAGGGTCCATCGTTGGTGCCACGCCCTATGGATGGATATTTCAGCCTCACAGAAGCGGTGTGTAACTTTCGACTCCTCTTTTGTTTCGAAACGAAGAGTATGTTGGTTCGAGATGAAACAGAACAGAACCAACAGTTTCTTCGGGATGGATCAACAAACAAACGAGTTTAAATCCTTTGAAGAAGGAAGGAAAGGATGAGTATGCTTCTTTCAACGTCTGTTCTTGGCAAAACTTGATTGCCAAGTCGGGCTAGCCACGTACGTCTTTGACAAGACAGATTTCCCGTGTCTTGCGTGATGTGATGTGATGTGATGCCCGGAATAAAGACCGCGATATCAACTGCCGCGTAATGTCTCATTCATGGCTTTTCAGCCATCGGTTCTGTTTCCTCCTTTGACAAGAAAGAGTTTCTTACGTGTCAAGTTCTTGGCCTTGTTTCTCCTTCTGCAAGCCCTTTTAGAAAGAGAGGCGTTCAATTGTCGCTCAATCTTCCATTTAAAGCAACACAAGACAATTCTTGGCTTGCTTCTGTGGACACAAGCTCTCTGATGCGCGTCTGACGTGTTCACATTTCAGAGCAACCACCCCCTGTAACTTATTCTAGGAGCGTCATTTGATCACATCCTGCAGGAGAAAGACACTCAGGCACAGAAGAGAAGAGAGAAAATAGCAAAAGGTAAAAAAGAACCCGCTGTTTCATCTTGTCTGACCTTGCATGCCAAGTACCCAATCCCGCTCAACCCATGCATGCGCGCGCTTGGCGGTTGGTCTCGGTCTTTTTGTTGTTTCAACAAGAACAAAGGGCGTCTGACTTTCACGTGAACATGGGCCAATAATGTCATGAAATATGTCTTTTTGGACAAAGGTTTGGCTCATCGGCCAATGTCTGAAAATATATACAGAAGAATGTTATAAAATGCAAAAATCGCAAAACAGCACCAATCCTTTTTCGGTCTGGGTTCCAACGAGTGTGAGTGAGTGTCAAAAATAATGTGCGTAGAATTTTGTAAGTTTGTGTGAGTGAGTGCCAGCCTCGAACCCCCCTTGCTGACACAAGAGGCGTCAAGCCTGTAATAAAAATGTTGCTTGTATGTGCATGTGAGAGAGTGCAGAAAGAGTGATGCTGCTCTCCAGATGGGCTTTGATCTCTGCCCAGTCCTGTTCTTGTCTCGAGTTTTGTTTACCCATCCATCCATCCATCCGTAAGCGCCAGCCTGCTCCGCCCAAAATGTCTAACCCAGAGTTTTCCTCGCAATCAGATGAAAAAAGACCTCGGTTTTGTTTTGTTGTCAAATCGCGAGGGGTATCTTTTGGGGGTATGTGAAAGAGAATCGTATCGTGTCATCGTCAAGTGCCGTGTCAACACGGCAACGAAAAGGGGGGGTGTCGAGAAGTAAAGAAGTTGTGAGATGAGCCGTCTTTTTTAGGCGGTCAACAGACTGCGCTTACTGGGCAGCAGCCTTGGGCAGCTCAATCGAGCCGGCGCCCAGGGTGGTGATGAGGTGAGTCTCGTCAGTCACCTTGGTCTGCTCATCGTCGGGCAGGTAGTAGGCGTTGTCGCAGGGGAACTCCTCGCAGCCAGAGTCGGGGGTCATGGACTTGGCAGGGTACATTTGCTTGACGTTGTTGGTGTCTCCGGGAACGACAATGGCGGAAACGTCAAAGTAGGTCTTGCCCATCCAGCCGCCAAAGGTGACCTCGCCGAGCATGCCAGTGCCAGTGTTCTTGCCACCCTTGACGACGGCCCAGTAGTTTCCAATGTACTTGTCAGGGAACTGGACAGTGGTGTCCTCCTTGTTGCTCACAACGACGGGATCGATGCTGGCATATCCGGGGTCAGAGGTGAAGTACACGGTTCGGACCTTGTCGTCAAGAGTCTTGAAGGTGACCTGAGCGGCAGCGGCGTAGGTAGCAGAGGCAACAAAGGCCATGATAGCAGTAGCGAACTTCATGTTGGCGGTGTTTTGAGGTTTGGTGGTGCTAAAGTTGCTGGGTATTGGTATAAATAGATGGTTGCAGTTTCTCGATTGTCGTCAAGACAAGAGTATTGTTCAGTGGCGTCTGATAAAGACCGAATCAAGACGTCTGTTGTTGGTATGTATTCAGGTGCAGTTGCTGCAGCTGTTGAGGGTTGATGATGTGTTGATCGAGAACTAGCTCAGATAGTTTATGCCTGTGAGGGATTGTGGTAACTCGGCTTCCAAAAGGAATGAGAAGCTTGGAGTCAAACAAGGAATGATAGTCCGAAGACAAGAAGGTTGAAACAGAAAGACAGTGCTGTGGGTTGTTGATCAGAAGAAGGAGTGGAAAGAGGAGAGGGAGGCCCGTTTTATAAACAAGGTCCCACGACGAGGAGTGAGTGAGCAGGCGAACCCGGAGACCTGGGATGCGTGTGTGTGTGGCCCACAGACTCTACTGTTCCCTCGCCCATCCTAGCCATCCCACCCCGTCGTCCACCCACACTCCCTGTCGAGATCAGATTTGTCAAGTCAAGGAAAACGTTGGACCGCCTGGTGGGGCGGTACTGCAGACGAAGCCTTTGATCAAGGGTCGTCCACCGTGGACCTTGGACCGTGGAGCCGCTCTACGACTCCCGTCGTGTAAGCCACCAACTAGAGCCGCCGGTCGTGCCGCCAGTGGGACTGAGGCAAGGCCCAGCATAGGAATAAGCTCCATGGTTGGGGAGTAATGCCCTGCCCTGGCATAGCATGGCATGGCAGGCCATATGCGCGCACAGTGAGCCCAGCTCTGATGCACGGGGTAGGTAGAAGTCCCTCAGCGTGTCGTCTCACTGAATCCAATCTCTGTCGACGCTGGAATCGTTGCAGTCATCTCTTGAGTGGTACGTTGTGGTGTGGTAGCGTCTGCTCTGTTAGCGGAGTGGGTTGGTTTGCGTGTCCCTTACTGGTCCGTGTCCTGTCTTTTCGTAGGTGGCCGCGGCCCGCCCTCACACCCGGACACTGTTTCTGGCGGCAACAAAGCAACGGTTCCCCTATGACCGTGAGCCCCCTCCCCTGGAAAACAGGAGAGAGACCTGGAGCCATTGTTTCAAGGCCTTCTTTTTTGGGCTCCCCTTCATCTCGTCCCGACGACCGTCCGTGAAAGCAAAAGCAACATCTCTCCTCTCATTCGTCCTTGTCCGAATGAATCATCTTTGTTCAATGGAACCTCATCTCCATGACCAGCTACAGTACCCCACAACAAAGCTGTGAAAGCCTGCTCCAGCCGACAGTGAACTCTTTCTCTTTTCGTCTCTCCTCGGAGTACCTGACCCCGTACCGTATGAATTCGGTGTCAGCCCAACCTCTCGACAAAGACCCGACTCAAGGCCAAGAACATGACAACGTCAACTCTTCCCTTTTCACCCCCTGGCACATGCTGACACTGAAAACCGCCGCATGCTAGCGACCCAGTTTCCCTCAGTTCCGGGGCTAGACGGCCGACAACTCCGCAAGGGGCACCCACAAAATCGCTCTTTTTTTCTTCTAGCTGCATCTTGACTTGGCGCCACAAGCCCCCTTGGCGTCCTCATTGGTTCTGCCTTTGCCACCAGTGCCTGGTACCTGACAGGCGTCCATGTGGTCGGACCTTAGAGGCTTGTTTCGAAAAGGCTCTCGGGGAGCCGACAGCGGGATGTCGAGAGTGGTGGGAGACGACGACGAGGCACACAGGGTCCAAGCCGCAGGGGTAATTGCCCGATGAGTTTGCGTCAGCAGCAGTCTTCTCAGGCTCTGAGCTGGGGCTTCGTACCCGGAACAGCTTGGTCGCCTGCAGGCACTTAGACACCACCGTACACTGTACATGCCCTTTCGCTTGTGACTCTGGGCGGACCTGAGACCTCGGCGAAAACTCTGAACGCCTGGGTTTCTCACAACAAGTGTGCCATTCCCAGGGCTGTCTGCGCCAGTGACACGTGGAGACAGGTTGGTCTGGATCAATGAATCAGAGCCAGATCCGACTGGAGTCCATTTTTGATTCCGCAGAGTAGAACCGAACCTGCCAAACCAAACCGGATCAGATACAGGACGCACACAATCAGACTTTTCGCTGCTCGGGCACTAGCAACTTCAGCACTATCCACACAGCCGTTGAACGATGCCTCTGTTAAGCATAGCCACCCGGGAAGTCAAAAAAGCACGCGACCGGCAATTATTCCAACATTTCCGTTCCATGGGCACATGACCGCCATCGTGGCAGGCCATGAATCAGGCCTTGAGCAGTCGACTAGCGTCGGCGAGTTGGTTTTCGACTCAGATACTGAACCCGCTCGGCCACGTTGTGCTGCCAGATAAGCAACGACAAGCGTGGCCGTGGCCAGCAAGCAAGCTTTTCCACCGCCTGTGCCTGGCGATCAATTCCGCAATCCTCGCTCCAATGCTACCACTCCCACCCCTTGCTTAGAGGCCCGTTGGGATCTTAGCGGAAGCCACGGGGAGCTGCCGCCTTGCCAATGAGAACCCAAATCCGCCTTCCCAAGAGTTTCTCATCCTTGCGATTTGCGATCAGACTCCTGGCTACCGGGGAAGCACCGGGGATGAGGTACGAAAACTTGGTGAGCCGTCCTGTGGGGGCTGCGCGAAAACTCTGTCTGTGCCGAGAATTCTCCCAGAACTGGTCGCTAGGTCGTTGTGAGGGCCTGGCGCATTGACGATGAGCCCTTAGCAATTGCGAAATCGTGACGGCCGACGAGACGACGCGTTACTACGCGAGGTTGGGTTAGAAAGTCCGTTTCCCTGCCTGAGGCGTCCACACTAGAGAGCAGCGGATCCACGTTCGACCATAACGGAGTGGAACCGTTCCCTCCTTTGGGTGTAAGAGCCGTCCTTCTTCCCTCGCCGTGGTCAGGCCTGTCCGGCACAGTATGAAACTGTCCTGGACGGTGCGCTGGCCGCGTGGCTCTAGCAGCATTCTCGAATCCTCCACCTTGCCCCCAAAGCCCTCCGTTCTGCAGCCTGCAGGTGGTCCGTCTTGGTCTTGCCGTCATGTTTCTCTGTGACAATTGGTTCGCGTAGGCGAGGCGATGCCCTCATTCAGTCTGACCTTTGCGAGTTGCCTTGTTGTTGACTCGCCGATCATTGCCCTGGGCAGGCTTATGCATAGCTGCCTTGATTCCGGTCTGGACCTTCTGATTTTTCTTTGACACCTTGTCTATAGCTTACCTTGTAGCCTCATGAAAGCAGACCCGGCTCTGAAGCCGGATGGCCTAGTTTTGCTGGACTGTTTCAGCAAGAAGCTTTTTATTGTAATTGCGAGTCATCATTTGCGCGCGTGGCCTCCCGGGAAGTGGGATGAAGGCCTGGTCAGCTGGGTAGGGAGTCGTCTCTGTGCTTTGGTTGCCAACGAGTCTTCTGCAGGCTGTGGCCGGTTGCCAGCATTCACTTGGGGTGGCAGAACGCCATGCGTTGTAGATCCAGGGTTGATGTCCAGCTTGTCTAGGTAGTCCACTTTGGCTGGTCATCCATGAAAATTTTCATCTTGAGCAGCGTCAATTGCTAGCGAGCCGAACCTGTGTGGCAAGAGATAACTTGGAGTTCCATCCAAGAGTCCCACACTTGAAGGACTTGGTTTAGACGCTCGTTGCTTCTGCCCAACTCTTGTGCCTGGTTATTCAGGTACGCTGTGCGTTGGCAGCTGAATGCCTCCAATGACAGGCGGTTGATGGAGAAAGCCCGCAGGTTCGGGGGACCGGTAGGCCGGCGGACCTGACTGTTCAGTCTCTCTTGTGACGGGATGCGCTGTGTCTGATCCGTCACCGAACAAGTCGGCTCCACTCCGAGGTCGGTTGCCCACCCGCCGTCAGCGGACATGTCTCCCCTTCCATCGCCTCCAAGTTCACAGAACAAGGTTCGCGGCCAAGCAAGTAGTGAGAGCGGGATGAACAAATTCCCTCAATCCAGGCGAGCAGTTGACAGAAGTTCGTCACACTGGGTGGTCCCAATCGTTACAGTAGTCGACTTGAGGGCGGTTGATTGGCAACTGGGCGTGATGGTCTTGGCTGGCGTCGACAAGTCCATGTCTACTGCATCGAACTGGGCCTGGAGATGTCAATGGGCTCTCCGGCATCTCCGATAGAAGTGGTGGTCGGCAATCACGATGCTCTCATTCGAGGCAAACCAGAGTCGACGATCTCCAAGCGGTGTCCTCACGTCCGAGGGAGTGACGACCCAAGGGGGGGACGATGTGATCCGACTTGATTCCTCGAGGTACCGCTTAGCGACTGCAGAGGTCAGTCATCAAAGTCTACGCAGAATTCCGCACCTTGTGAGCGAGAGTGTGGGTGAGAGTGAGGTCGAAGCGGGTAGCTTGGAGCCATGCCGATAAGAAGCTGGTGACATGATCCTATTATCCCATGATTCTCGTCACTTGACGGTCACTTGACGGTCACTTGACGGTCGAGTTGAATGAAGCAATACCAAAGTTGTGGTAGATCTCTGATCTTTTGCGGAATCGATGTGGTGGTGGTGCCTGTCATCGTGTTGCTCGCAACGAGCTGGCACGGAGCAATGTGCCTCGGTACAGGTTCCATGGGTGACGTAGACACTGAAGGGAAAGGAGCAGATCGCTTCCAGAAGCAACTGCTTCTCAAAAGAAGATGTTCTCGGTGATTTTCTCCTGGAGAGGACGATGCTGAGGTTGAAAAGCAGGTTTGAAGGTGGGGTGTGATCGGTCGTCCCGCTCCTGCTGCAGAGGAGCCGTCATGGACAATCCTCACGTGACTACCTCAGGGTCAACCTCGCTCCTCGTATTCGTCCTTCGCTCTCGCCCTCCGCTGTTCGCTGTTGATAATCCGATGTCGATGGTCTATTCTGCTTCGGTTGGTGGTTTCATCACTGCCTTGCACTTTGATTATCTACAGCACCTATGTAGATAAGGAATCCTCAATTGTTCCAACTTACCCGAGACCTCATACTGCTTCATTCCCCTTTGCAGATTTTCTCAACCAAGTGACTCTCAATCTCGGCTGCATGTTCCAAAAACTTGACTATCTTGATTTCGGAGCCAACGGATCTCCCATATTTTAGTAGGCGAGTGTCTTCGTGATCCCCTTTGTCATAGAAGCCACTCACAGAGTGTCCGATTGACAGTGACTGTGGCAAAGGTGAACATGTACATCTCCGGAATGATATCGAATTCTCACGCTTCGGTGACCCCGTATGATGTTCATTTGAAAGCCCATCTTTTATCTGGTGTGATAAGCTCAAAGCCTCTCGACTGGATATTAGCAGTTCACAATGGACTGAGAAACAAGGCCAAGATGCCACGGATCTCTTTAACTCGGAGTTGGACGACGGAAAACATGACGACCATCACGGCCTCGGCCGGCTTGCGCAATTCCTCACTCTTCTTTCAAAAAGATATGTGGTCAATCATGGGCCAACTATGGCACCAAATGGAACTATCAGCGGTTAGAACCGCGAGATGGAGGCTCTAGTATGAACTCTGTCAGTGCGATATACTTCATGTCAGCTTCTTAATTGCTCGCTTCATTCAGGTACCTGAGCTTAATCAACCTTGTTACTCATGAGTTCGGAACATCCCTTTCGCTACGCCAAGTCCGCCATGACATCAGGCTTGACAATTCCCATCGACGCGCTTGGTTGGGATGGGCATGAGCCCAGGAGTCATCCGATTGTATCTACCAGGGCTCTTCGCCATGGTGCCTCCCACCAGCCAAAGGGGCCTTGTGTCCTGGCAGATTATACCTTTTCCACAAGTATCCCAAGTATTAACTCAGACAGAAAGTCTCATTATCGAGCGTAGAGAACACATGTCAACAAGACTTTTTACCAATGTTCACGGCAAGGCCTACCATCTCCATCGGGGATCTCCATCATTTTAATTAGACGACACCAGATAATGCTTCCAATACTGGTTCAACTCATCGGCCTGGGCCTTCTGGAAAAACTACAAGAAGACCGAGTTCTCTCTAGATTTGATGGGCTCTATCGCCACAGCATCACTCATCTCGAGCTGCTTCCGAATATCCTCAGCGTTTACATACAACCATTTTCACCTCTCTTCTCGAACAAACCTTTGAGTTCCTAGGAACAACATGAGACTCACTGAAGTTATTCCTGCAGCATTGCTGCTCAAGCATGCCATGGCTCAGACGCCTGGTCCCGGTCCAGCGTTGGTCACTCCTGTTCCCGACCCTGCTCCCAGGAACCAGAGCAAAAACGCGGACCCTCCTGAGCCGGATCCAAATGGAATCATCTCTGTCATTACGGATGACTACCTCGTTTATTGCCCTGTAAGTCAGCCCAACTCTCTCACCCACCAAGAGACTATGCTAATAGGGGCTTAGGAGCCGACTGAGATCGTTCACAGGAACGTCACTTACAAGGCCGAGACAGCTCCTACCTACGTAACCATCACGAGTTAGTCCACAAAATCCCCAAACATGTCAGAGTGAATCTAACTTTTGAAGACTGTCCCTGCGAAGTTACTTATAACCATCCTCAGCCCACCTATCCTCCCATCATCAAGAGTTCGGTCCAGGGAAGCGAGACTCAGATAGTCACTCAGTATCCTCCCCCTGAGAAGCCCGTCTACCCTGCTCCTGGAAAGCCTGCGCAGCCTCCTCCTCCTCCAGCCCCCGAGAAGTCAGCTCCTCCAGTCCCTCCCGTGGTGCCGCCGCCTCCACCTGGAAAGCCAACTCCAGTTCCGGTTCCTCCTCCTGGCAAGCCCGCTCCCCCGCCAGCTCCGGGCCAGACAGTCCCTCCGGTCGCCCCGCCGCCGCCTCCTCCCGCCGAACAGCCCGCTTCTCCCGTCCCCGCTCCTCCGGCTGGACCTACAACTCAGCCTCCAGCTCCGCCTGTTCGGGCCGCTGGTAGCAAGATCACAAGCAGGGCCTTGGGTGCTTTCGTTGTGGCTGGTGTTGCCGCCTTGGCCGTCTAAGGTGCCAAGCAAGCGACTTCTACGCATGAGACAGCATGAAATAAGATTCTGGGATGGATATATGGATATCATGGATAGACGTCGAGCTTAACACTCGGAGGATGTAATGGATGTAACTATCAACGACATCATACAGTTCTCGATTGGCAATTCCGAGGGGTCCAACGGTGGCTTGATTGGCTAGCTACCTTATTGTACACATCAGATGATAAGATTGGCAATTCCATGTGATGTTTTTTAAGATCCTCTTGCTTCCAGCACTTCCTTTTTCAGGAACCATAGATCTTGGCTTTTGAATAACGTTTAGCCACATATCATACCCGTCGGCCCGATGGCATCACTGCTCGGGAACACCGTGCTATAATGTATCTTGCTTCACCAACCTTCACGTGTGCAGTCTGAAGGTGTAGCCCACGTCCCGTCTAAGGGGATGCTTGATGGATGTTGAGGTTATCATGAGGTGTTAAGGATATTGCTCCAAATCAAGACTAAGATCCCCTCAGGTCAACGTCAAGATCGTGGCATATCTCCTAGAAATAATGTTCGTTTGAAATTCGAAGCCTTGACTACTTTTACAGTTCATAAGCGCATAACCTCGTAAACGCCCCTGACCGGATATCACCGTCGCAATGCCCGTGTTATCAACTCAACGGATCAAGCATCCCCGACGCCTCCATCCGTGATCGCACCTCTCGCACCAAGGCTTTTGCCTCCTCAACCTCTACACCATCTTGACACAGCTCTCCAGCAAGGCGCTCAGCCGCCGCGTAGTCTCCGGTACGCATCGAGAATTTGGCAAGCCACATCCGTGCCTTGCTAGTTGCTGCTGTGACGCCAGTACCCTCATTGCCCGCGTTCTCGTTACCCTCAGCGCCATTGTCTGAACCCGGGGGAGAATCATTGTGAATAGCAATGGACTCTGCTGGGTCAACCTCAGCATTTGCTCCGCCATCTTCTTGAGCCACACATAGTTCCATGTATGACTTGGCTTCTTCCTCTTCACCCAGCTGGTCGTACATGGCAGCAATCTGCAAGAGGATCTCAGGGTCCATATGGCCTGTAGCGCTACGGCTACCCAGGAGATCGCCGCTTCCGAAGCTACTACCCACGTCATAGTAGGCATCCGCAAGCAAGGCTCGTTTCAAGGCCTTGATACCGTCTCGTTCTCGGCCCATCTTTTGCAGACACGAACCTACAGCCATCCACATCTTGCCATCCCAAGGACGCAGACCAGCAGCCTTCTTGTAGTACCAAAGCGAGTATGTATGCATTTCCAGCATCTCATATGTTTGACCCAAGCCGTACCAGGCCCGATAATCACGTCGATTTACGTCAACCGCACGACGATACGACTCGATGGCCGCATGTGTGTTCTTGAGTTCGACGTATTCGTGACCCATCAATGTCCATGCTGATAGACATGACCGGTCAAGGGTCAGAGCGCGCCGGAAGTATTGCACAGCCTTTTCGTGCATTGAGAGGAGGGAATAGTAGTTTCCAACAACGACGCAAGATTCCGGCCGAAACTTGTCTACACTGGAGCATAGATGCGCCAGGAAAGCCAACTTCGGGCGCAGGTTTAGGACGTAGAGAATATTGGAATAGTGGTCGAGAGAATCAAGCCGATAGGGATGGAGCGCCAGCAGTCGAGTAAAGTGCTGTTCAGCAGCCATCAGATCCTTGGCGTGATAGGCCAGCAAAGCGTTGCAGGTAAGGAGGAAGGATGATGTCGGGAAGATGGAGAGGAGCTGCTCGAGAGAACTGGCGAGTCCGGGTCCTTGCTGGTAAAGCTCCAAGGAGGTGTGCAGGTGGAACATGTAAGACACGATGTTCTGGGGACAATGTCTTGATATTCGATTCAACTGGAGATTTGTTAGTCGTTGCGATCACCGACAACCACAAGTGAAACTCACATCCTCGACTCGAGATATTAGCGACGTCATCTCCAGCCAGCAGCCCCAGTTCATGGTGTACTTGTGTACGCTTCGGATAAAGAATTCCAAAGCTCTTTCGTCATTCTTTTCCTTGGCGAGCACCATGCCGTATCTATGTAGGGCGGTTAGTAGCCGTCGACATATGGTTACTGGGATCAGCACTCACAGGTACTCGAGCCATCCCTGGCTCCCCAGTACTTCGTCGTCTTCCGTTGTCCTCTCATCAAACCAAGTCGAAAGATATCGCCCAATTACGAGAAGCTGCTTATTGGCCACCGTTCCAAGATCCTGAGGGCCCATAACCATCTCAGTGTCCTCCTGCTTGCGCTTCTCTCCCGACATGAACTTTGCATAGAGGGCAAGGAACAAGCTCTTCTGACTGATCCTGGGAAGAGGTATCGCGGCTGATGAGTCGGAGGCCTTTGCCTTTCCCTTGCCAGCTGAAGCATACGCCGGAGAACTGTCCACCCTTGATGCCAGGACACTAGATAGGAGAGAATCGGGGAGGAAAACGGCGGCGCAGCGGTCGTATTCTCTACAGTCGAATAAAGACTTGGCTAGTAGGTATTTGCTCAACTCTTTTGCCTCGAGAGCTGCCTCTTCTGGATCGCTGTTCGAAGTGTATATCGGTGAGATGTACTTGGGATCCGCAGGGTCGAGGTGCTCGTCATCGTCGGTCTCGGGAAGCGCGTTAAGTAGTTCGGCGGCCCTGAATTTGTCAACTTGCGCGCCCAGCTATCCACCAGCGGACAGCATACGCACCATTTTGAAGATTGGTAGAGACACCTCTCTGAGCATTTGACCACAGCGTCCTGGAGAGCTGCCCGCAATTGCGAGACCTCGTGGGCGCTCAGAGCCATCTCGGTCTTGTTTTGAAGGGTTGGTGGGGTAGCTCCTAGTCAGAAGCAAGAGCTGGATTGCGCAGACGCGCTGGCCTCTGAAGCTCGATCAGCTGATACCTCGAGCTGTGTTACTGCTTCCTGATCGGTGAATGCAGAGGCAAAGAGCGATATCGGTGGCTGGAAGACGGGTTGTAGTTGTCATGAGGATAGACCTTTGACCGTTATTGGTGATCATATCAACAGTCCAGGCGCGCATCCTAGTCCGTGCCATTTGATGTGACGCACGGCTATACGCACTGTATCCTCATGGGAGACAACACCAGTTGAACAGTGTCCAAACACAATTCCAGTAGCACGAAGTCTCAGTTATCTTTTCATTCCATAAATTAAAAGACGTTTCTTTCCTGTGAGAGGAGGCTCTTATTCGGGAAATAGCCTGTCAAACCAATATCGCGGCCACTAAACTCACTTACACCCTCCTCCCACAGTGAATTCGGTGCCACGATGGCGCTCGGGGAAGGGGATGAGTGCCAATACTTGGGGCTGATGGTGAGACTGGCATGTTTATTCCCGATATTTCGGGTTATGGCAGCATTTATTCATTCTATTTTGATAATTGTGGTGATTCACTTCACAAAAAGGAGACGATGTGAGGCGATAGGCCGGACTATATCAACTCGAGCTGGCATCGTTTCAACTCGAACGATAGAAAACTGCCGACTTACTCTGACCTGTTCATCAGACGATTATCTACGAAATAGTACGGGTTTCGCCAGCTCAAAGGATCTCCTCATACTTGGCTAGTTGTAACCAGCGGGATACGGCATCGCCCATCGGCTACCCCGAAGACCACACCAGGCCTGCGCGAAACTCTGAAGGGTTCCACCTTTTGAGGAGGTATCATGACCTACAGCGGATCCGTCAGGACATTCCCATGCCTCTTCTGCTGGACACCAGAAGTCAAGTGCCCCAACTATGTGTTCCTCAACAAGAGTGCCTGCGTAGACTGCCAGGTAAGGGAACACTTTCACAGCCAAGCCCTTCAACGCACTCAGTTCTGACCGCTTCTTATTCCAGAGACTCGGGAGGCAGCATGGAGCGAACGAGCTGATTGCGACAGATGTCCACGAGACCCTTGTGCGATACCTGCTCGAAAAGTACTCGGAAGGTGGCGGTATCACGTACGAGAGAATCAACGAGTACATTTCCAGCGCTAAGCAGGTCAATGTGGACAATCTCCTCACCGTGGCACTCGACTACATCTATCGAAATTTCCGGGGTCTATATCACCCCATCTGCGACGCAGTCGAGGCGGCTCGTGATAGGGGTCCTATCCAGTGGACACCCGTCAACCTCGCGGAGCGACTCGAGAGGATAAGGACCGAGCGAGAGAGACAACGCCGGGGAAAGACGCCTCTGTAGGCTTCATGGATCCGACAGTTTGCGCTAGAGGTAGACATCCCGGGGAAACAAGCCGGGGAGACGACCCGGGTAGGTCGGCTTGCTGTTGGTTCTGTTTCGGGGGGCGGACACTGTGCTGGGAGGGTTGTCTGGTTGATGCAGACGTCAACTCTATAGGCTCGAGGGCGAGTCCCTGCATGTGGCAATTGGCGCCGTTATCTTTCAGATCCGGGGTTTTAGTGAATAGCGTTTGAGTTCCCAAGTTCCGCAGCACACAGCACAGTCTGGTTGAGTCATGGCCGGCTTCTTCCATCCATCCTCCACGGGGGCACCTTTGTAGGCAATGCCGGTAGTGTCAGGGGAACCGAGTCAGTTTGGCTGTCATTCACTGTTAGCCTGTCGGATGTTCTGATAAGTCGGGTATTTCTCCGTGGGTGGACGCTGATTCTGTATACCGTCACATAAACTCGTCCGTCCAGCACTTGACACTTTTTTTTTTTTACAACGAGCGAATTGAACAAAACACACCTCGAGCAGCAGACATGTATCACAGCATCCAGATGGCCGTGAGCACCCTAGACGTCTCACAGAGAGCGCGTCAGTTGCGACCTCGCACAACCCGGTCCGGCACGTGCGGTACGAATCACCACCACGGTGTCGAGTTCCCTCACCGAGCGAGGAGTGGTATAAGAGAGGGCCAGCAAGACATGAGGGCGCGGAGCGAGCCCGACCTCTGGCTGTATAAGAGCTTGGAGAACAGCATCTTGATGAGCGACGCAACAGAACACCACCACGGCGAGAGAGACGAGAGGCGGGACCAGCCAAAGACGATGCGCTGGCCCTGCAATCACCATTGGGGGAAATGGGCGTGTAACAGATGGGTCAATACAATGGGAGCCAAGTGTCAAGAATGCAAGGTACGTCAAGAAGTTGCCCCTCGTCTATTCTGCCTGTAGCCGCAGTGGTGAACTAACAGGGGTGGTTTGACCAATCCAGAACCGCAAAGACATGGATAGTACGCCGACGCATACTCGACTGGCGCATATGTACGATGTGGACGTGTTGGTAGAGGGGTTCCGCAACGCAGGGCTCAACGCGGCGTGCGTCGTCGACATGATGAACGACGGTGCGTCGGAGCGAGCTTTACACGACGCCCTCAAGGTGATTCAGGAGAACGACGTCGCCTGGCATGACCGCGTGGAGCACATTGTCCTACTGGGCATTTTCCGGTGGAAGAGTGCAAAGGCGAAAAAGACATGAGAACACATAACTTGACGACTAGGTTCATGATGTATTGGAGCTGGGAATTGGAGTTTTGGTGTTGGTCGGTCGTTTTGGCGCTTTGAACCTAGGTAGATAGTCAATTGAACTCTAGTCCAATAGCAAAAGGAACAAACCAATCATTGAAAGCCTCTTTTCATTAAGCTTTCAACAATACTAACAAACATCATAAAAACTATGCAAGGAATCAGCTTGTCCTTTAGGTATCATCGTCTCTCCCCCTGCTTCTCGTTCCCTTCTCCTCTATTGAGTCTAGCGTCTTGTTGAACCGCCAACTGCCAGGTTCTGCCACCTCTCACCGCCCTCTCTGCCCCTCCCTTAGCGCCGTCTTGGGACTCACCGAGCAAATCAAGTGGACAAGCCCCTCCCGCTCCAATTCGCGAATAGGAAAGAGGGGCACAGCCAAGTCCCTCTTAACCATTGTAGCTAATTGAAGCCAACCAAACCTAAGCCAAAGACATTCAGGTCCGGTAATTATCGTGCAGCTCCCGAGGCCAATTAATTACTCCCCGACTCCTTTCTCTTCAAAAAGGCGGTCTCTGTCTCGTCTTTGTTTCTTTTCAACCTCGTCAACTCACTCCCCAGAATCGACCATGGCTCAAAAGACTACTCTCCAGGAGTTCAACTCCGTCTACCCCAAGCTTGAGGAGGCTCTTCTCGAGCATGCGCGCTCCTACAAGCTCCCCCAGGAGCAGCTTGACTGGTACAAGCGAGTGAGCAGCCATATCCCCCAAAAGCCCAACTGATACTCCAAATACTAATGCAATGCTCCTAGTCCCTCGAGATCAACCCTCTCGGCGGAAAATGCAACCGCGGCATGTCTGTCCCCGACTCCGTCTCCCTCCTCCTCGAGAAGCCCCTCTCTGAGGAGCAGTACTTCCAATCTGCCACCCTTGGCTGGATGACCGAGCTCCTCCAGGCCTTCTTCCTCGTTTCGGACGACATCATGGACTCGAGCATCACCCGCCGCGGCCAGCCCTGCTGGTACCGCCAGGAGGGTGTCGGCATGATCGCCATCAACGACGCCTTCATGCTCGAGGCCGCCATCTACACCCTCCTTAAGAAGTACTTCCGCTCTCACCCCGCCTACGTCGACCTCATCGAGCTCTTCCACGAGACCACCTTCCAGACCGAGCTTGGTCAGCTGTGCGACCTGCTCACCGCCCCCGAGGACAAGGTCGACCTCGACAACTTTTCCATGGAAAAGTACAGCTTCATCGTCATCTACAAGACCGCCTATTACTCCTTCTACCTCCCCGTCGCTCTGGCCCTCCACCAGCTCAACCTTGCCACCCCCAAGAACCTGAAGCAGGCTGAGGACATCCTCATTCCCCTGGGCGAGTACTTCCAGATCCAGGACGATTACCTTGACAACTTTGGTCTCCCTGAGCACATTGGCAAGATTGGTACCGACATCAAGGACAACAAGTGCTCTTGGCTCGTCAACCAGGCCCTCGCCGTCGCCACCCCCGAGCAGCGCAAGATCCTCGAAGAGAACTACGGCCGCAAGGATGACGAGAAGGAAAAGGTTGTCAAGAAGCTCTACGACGACCTCAAGCTCGAGCAGCGCTACCTCGACTACGAGGAGAAGGTTGTCGGCGAGATCCGCGCCCGCATCACCAACATTGACGAGAGCGAAGGCCTCAAGAAGACCGTGTTTGAGGCCTTCCTCGCCAAGATCTACAAGCGCAGCAAGTAAGCTGAGCTGCCCAATCAAAAAGTAGAAAAAGAAACACAAAAGCGAAACAAACAGGCGCACGCCGCGCCGTTGAAATGCAGAGGTCATCATCATAGCCGAGCCGAGCCAACAATGAGCGTCACGACCATATAGACCAGAGATACCTCGAATGAAACAGGGAAGGAAAATTCACTCATAGCATTGACCAAGGAAATGAGAATAATAATAAAAAACATTTTGTTTCCTTTTGCGATTTCAACATCAAGGACAAGAGCCTGCTCAAGCCTTGTGTTTCACTGTCCTTCATGGGTTCTATAGTATCCAACCCCTTCCCCTTTTCCCATGACCGGATATATAAGGATATAAGAAGGTAGATCCGAAAGAGATTCAAAAGAAGCCAAATACAAAGGAAATTGAGATTAGAAAAGATCAGACGTAATAGATACGTCTCGACTCAACAGCAACACAACACCCAACTCCTGCCCCGACGCTTTACTTTTTGGCTCAAAGGCATGCGCACCAGCACATTCAAGCTGTCCTTTTGATTTCTTCACCAGAGTGTGGATCATCCAAGACCATAGTGAAGGGGAATCTAGTCTAGGCATCATGGGCATTAACTCATGGTCTCATAACGATATTTGTTAGTCCGCCTCAAAAGGCGACCGGTTCAGTCTCTCCTCAGTACCTCGAAGAGGGGCTTGAGAATCCCATAGTGCCAGCTCGGTTGATGAGTGGTTCACGTGGGCGAGAGTCACGACCACGGGACTGATCCAAAGGCTGCGTCATCTCCCGACGGAGAGAACGAATGGGCAAAGGAGGGACGGGAGGCGCACGGCTTGAAGGCTGCTGCATTCCAGCGGTAGATCGACTCCGCGGACGGCTGCCGGCGGGCATAGAAGAAGACGATGATGACGAAGGGATACGAGGCTGGTTGATAAGGCCAGAGCCGCTGCGGCTGTTGCTGTAGGCCATCATGGCAGGTTGACCACCGGTAGCGAGGCTGATGAGAGGACCACCCGTTGGAGCCTTGACACCGTGGCCCTTGCCTTCTCTCTCCTTCTCTCTCCAACCCTGTGGCTCGGGAAAGTTGACAAGGGGCTGGCCGATTGGTGGAGGGGGAATCTTCTCTCGCTTAGCATCCGCTGTCGTAGGCCTCGTGTTAGGGGCCCGGACGGACCGACTGCGATAGCGCATCGACTGCTCCTTCGACCGGGTCTCTGTCTTGGTTTCCTGGGCAAATGTAGGCGAAGTAACGCCTCCATTCAGCAGCGAAGGTCCCTGAGTAAAGGCGGAGTTGGAGTTGGTGGTAGGAGGGCTATTGACAGGCCCTCGCTCCGCAATCTTACGCTTCTCCTCGTAGACTTGGCCCAGCAACCCAGCAGGGGAGAACTCCTCGCCTTTAGGCAACTGTGGTTCTGTGCGGGAGCGATGTAGAGATTTGGTCTTGGTCAAGACGTTGCGCTTCTGGGTTACCCTGCGTTCGAGCTCAGTCTTAGACTCGTGCTTGTGCTCATGCTTGTGTTGATGCTTTTCCTGATCTTTGGGCTTCTCGTCAAGAAAGTCCTTCCCGAACTCTTCAAGGGGCTTGTCGAAACGGTCCATATCAAGGAGTGGTTGGAAGGCACCAATGGTATAAGGGGTTTCATCCACAGAGACCCTCAGACGGTGACCACCCTTTGTGACGGTGCTTGTTGATTTCATGGTGCTTGTAGGGGATGTCGTCGGATCAGAGTTGAGTGAGATTTGGGGTGCCTTGTCCGTCTTGAAGTCAACTTTCTTGTTAACCAAGTACCAGCTCCGCCAGCCTTGGACAAGCTCATGAAACCGCTTGGCAAGTTTGCCATCCTCGGCGCAGAAGAAGTGAACAAAGTTCTCGCCGTTGGGAAAAACAAAGGTTTTCTGCTGACTCTTAACAGCATAGCAGTAACGTCGGGGCGCTTTAAGATGACGCCGAACCTCGCTCTCTCGAGGGGTGTAGATGTCAAAGTCAGACAAGTGGCATAGGACAGTGCTGTCCTTGTCCGAGGGTTTAGAATCGGGCTTCTTTGACGAGTACATTTGGCCTGACTCCAACAGAGTGATCCATCGCTTATTCCACTTCCCTGGTCTTGATGAATGGTACATCTGCAGAGTGAAGCCCGGTGGAGGAGTTGGCGTACGAGGAACCAAGTTGATATCAAGGTCGGCATCCGAGCTCCCAGAGATGTCATTGGTGACAACAAGCAGCGAGTTTTGCTGGTCGCGGTCCCATGAATTCATGACATCACGAATGCGTTCATAGCGACGGAGGCGGCGCTCCAGCCCAAGTTCGACATAGCACTCGATTATCACGCTCTCCTTGGGGTTGATATCATGGGTAGTGAGATTGGCGGTCGAGTAGAGAATCTCCATAGGCGAGGTATCAGGAGTGACTGGAAGGTTGATGACGGACGAAAGGCATCGTACACACACGCGCTGGAGTCATGAAATTAGCACCACTTGGGATTGCGACTTATAGGGGAATGAGACTCACTCTTTCGCCTCCGTTGCTGGCAGATGTAGGCGCATCGATGCCTGGCACAATGCCCTTGCCACCTTGCTCTATAAAACTCATCTTGTCTGGAGATGAATAGTCCTCGAGGCTGTTGGAGCGGCTGAAGTCGATGGAGAAGATAGTTGGTGCCCTCGGGCTTGGCGTGCCGGCTTGGCTCGTAGTAGCATTCGATCGCCTGCCGCGAGACAAGAAAGGAAGCCTGTCGAGGAAAAAGAATCTAGTGAACTTTGGCGATGGAGTCCCAAGCTGTGCGTGGATGCGAGCGAGGTCACGTTTCCTCTGCTCAGCGAGAATGCGATCAGTTTCCGCTTCTAGACGAGCAACCTCGTCAGCCCAGAGTTCCGCTTCTTGCTCTTCCTGACGATGACGGTCGGCTTCCTCGCGCTCGAGCTGTGCGGCGCGCTCTGCTGTTTCAGTGTTTATGCGAAGCGCAAGAAGGTTGCGACTCTTGAATCGAGCGATGTCACTCGCCGATGGGACGGTACGAAGAATAGGCGACGATGCTAGGGGCGACTTTGGCGCGGGCGATCTTGAGGCGGGAGAGTTGGACGGTGTTTTTCTTGGTTGATCCCAATCTCGAGTGCGACGGCGACCACGGCTCGGGCTTCGAGTAGGAGTTTGAGGACGGCTGTGAGTGTGAGCTGGCCAGGGGAGTTGCGCAGAAGAAGAAACTGGACGAGACAACGGGAAGTTTGGTGATTTAGGCGTCAGGGTGAACAGGGGGCTGGACAGGGGACTTGGGAGGGGTGGAATGGCGGGTGAGGGGGCCCTGGGAGGTCCAGACGCTAAATTTAAATTGCTGGATGCGCTGGCAAAACTGAGAACCGATGGAGATGGTCGAGGAGAGAGCCCTTGGGACCGACACAACGATGGCGCCGGTGATGACGAGCCTTGGCGACGTGCCGTGGCTCCATTTCCCACAGCGCCCACCGCAGCTCGTGGAGCCAAACCGCCAATAACCCCTGTTACACTCTCGGCGAGGCCCTTGAAGAGCGCGACTCCACGAGCGCCAGCTGAAACAGAGGAAACGGAAGGCGGCACCGGCTGTCCCTGAACCTGAACCTTGGGCGACAGCAGAGGGCGCCCACGCATAAAAGTCGCAGAGGCTACGCTCTTGGAACGACGCCGACCAACAGGCCGTCCTAACAAAGTCGGCGTGCCCAGGCGGGGATAGCAATCTCCCTGAGCCAAATGGCTCCCCTCTGAAGGTGGTCCGCTATACACGTCAAACGCCCGGCGCCTTAATGACGAGGCACTCTTCCCCCGGAGACTCCGTAATCGCGACATTTTGGGAATGGGTGGCTTCACGGCATCATGCGGTTGATCCCAGGCGTTTGCGAATTGCAGCGGGGCCACCGCAGCCATGGTCGTCGTCGACGACGCCATTTGGATGCGGGCCGTCCTCGTCTGTCGCCACTAAAGAATCGGTTCCTGCAGTGGACGACGGACCCTGGATGTGATGGCGGGCGCTTCTGCAGCCCTATCGTAGTCCCGGAAAGGTCCTTAGGTGCAAGGTTGTCGGATCGATCCGCTGTCGGTGACAATAGATTGGGCGACAGCTCGAATATCGCTTGCGATCGTCGGCAGGGGTTCTCGTATTTGTTTCTATCCTGTCTTCTTCCCCACAGAACCGTTGGAAAGTCAATTGACAGCTAGACTAATTAAGTCGAGGAAGACGGCGTCGTTTTCTCAAGATGGTACGTATTGGTCTAGCAGAGGTAGGTAGATCGGGCGGGAGGATCGGTCCCCCAGGGCGGGAAAAGGAGAAGGGCGACAATCTCGGCAAGGGCTCAACGGTGATGAAGCATTTCGACATTTGAAACCGATGAAGCGTGAATATTGAAAGTGATGAAAGAAGAAACAGGTTTGGAAAACCTCTGGGGTAGCAAGTGAAATGTCAGTTGACGAGAAAGCAAAAGGAAAGAAAGAAGGGAGGCGCCTTCCCAGATAACAGAGGCAGGTTCAATGCTCCTCAACGTTCCCCTCCGCCGCGTAAATGGAGGCTTCCAATCTCTCCCTCGTAAAGTCTCAAAAAACGAAGGCTATGCAATGCCACCAGCTACAGATGGTATGTGCTGCGCTGAACGTCCAAACTGTCTGGCATGGAGCCAGATTCACATCCCCCGCCCTGAAAAGCCGAGGCATCAGGTCCCGCCCTCTTGGGCCTCGAGAATCCATTCCAGTCTCCAACAGCGCTTCACGGGAAGCACTATGAAGACAAGTCTACCAATCTGTTGGATGGCTGGAGCTGGACAGAGGTAATGATTGCACAGCCCAGAAGACCGCGGAGGGTTGAGCCGAAAGAGGAGAGACATGCATTGCATACGATTAGGTACCTACCTATGCAAGTTAAATTGCCACTTATTTCGCTGATTGTTGGCTAGAGGATCAAATCGCAGACTTCCAAGCATCTCAGAGACTACTACATGGCCAGTTTCATTGACCCAGCTGCTGCCTTCAATGGCCTCTTCCTAATAAAACGAGACCCCGAGACGCAAGTTCGAGATTCGCTCTTATACATGCCACGAGGTATGGTGCGGGTGCCAATGCGAGACAAGACTCCCTTTTCTCCAGCGCGACTCAAGCTCGAGGAAAGCACGTACCTCAAACACCAGTTCCAAGACATCAGCCCGCCAAGCATGCCCCAATCGGCTTCAACGGCATGCACCCTTACTTGCGAAACGCGCGAACCTCGCGCCGCCACCAGCCCTTGAAGTCGCACGCCGAAACATCGATCCCCAAGTCCCTCAGCGCCTTTGTGCTCAAGTGACAGTCATACGGGCGCTGGACACTGGCATTTGGATCATTCCCCTCGGTGTTGGGCTTGATGCCCTCCGTCGACAGGTCCATAATATCTCCGAACAGCTGGACGATCTCGTACTTGGTCATGCGGTCTTCGCTCGAGAACTGGAGGATATGGGGGAGGCCAGCTCTATCACCAGGTGCGGTGTCGAGGTACTTGACCGAGATGTCTGGTGAACAGTGTCAGTAAGCCTCTATCGCCTGTCATGAATGAGTTGAGGAGATACACCGGCCAACGATGCGCCATCTGGCTCGAAACATCATGACAGGAGGCAAAGTGAAACATACCGTGGCAGACCCGTCCAATGTCTTCGGTATTGGTGGGATACCGGATGGCCCAATGATCCATATTGACCTCAATCCCCTGTGTCTGAGCCTTCCACAAAGCATCCATCAGGACGTTGACGGCACTCTCGGCTGGCGTTTCAGCATTGCCGTACAAGACGGGGACTCGGAGCACGACCCCCAAGCCCTCCTTGCCAGCCTTTGCGAACGTCTCCAGCACGGCACGCTCGCCATCCAGCTTGGTCTGGCCGTAGAGGTTGGTCGGCCGCGGCTCGGCGTCGGCTTCATACGGGGCATCGCCTGGCACGCCAGGGAAGACGTAGTCGGTTGAGATGTAAATGACAAAGATGTCTCTGTCAACTGCCAGCTGAGAGAGGGACTTGCTCGCCGCCACATTGAGGGCTCTTGCAGCCTCTGGGTCTTTGTCAACCTTGTCTGGGAATCGCTGAGCAGCGCCTCATCGTTCTCGGTCAGTCGCAGTAGAGCAAGGTCAGGGCGATGTGGCTTACAGTGAACGATGACCTGCGGTCTAGGATGGCACAATGTTAGCTTTACATGGCCAGTTTCACAGAGGAACAGGGAGTCGGACTTGGTCTCTTCGAGAAGGCTTGCTACTTCAGATTCATTGCTGAGATCAACCTTGAGGGTGCTGATTCCATCGGCGCGAGAATAGCCTGTTCCCTTGACATTCCAGCCCCGCAGCCCAAACGAAGCCGAGACTTCGCGACCCAAGAGGCCAGTAGCGCCAGTGACGAGGACGGTTCTCTCAGGCATTGCGATTAACGGTGAATTTGAGAGATTTCGCAGAAGCTCGATGAGTGTAATGGTGAGAATAGAGGTAAGAGTTGAGGCGTCATACCTCAAGGTGGGGGTTGGAATATCGCGAGGTGAGGGGCAGGTTGGACGTCAAAGTGACATGAGCCCTGTTGGCCGCAACAAGGAAACTTGATGTGCCACTCACCGCTCAAATGTTGCAGTATATCAAAATGTTGCAGAATTCATATAGAATTTTATGATTATAGAGACATGGATGTATCATAAGGATTAGAGGATACTAGCCGTCATTTCGTACAATGCATGGTTTCTTTATTGATCGTCATTATCACTACTTTACAACTAAAGGCCAAATAATTTAAACGTTCTAAAATCTACTCTAAAAGCTCAACCCAAAAACAGAATCTAGAAACGATCATGGCTGGCACGTGGCCCGAACCCATACCTCGACGACTCGGTCTCGCTATCGTCTCTCAGATGTGTCGCTGGCACCCTCTCACCATACTGTACAGCTACTTCGGACGTCTTAAGGATACCATTGTACGTCATGATCTCTTCCTCCGAGTTGGTCGGTGAATGCGATCGAATCTCGGATCGGCCCTTGATATCCTTGAGCGGGAACGGTCCTGCAAGACTGCTCCGAACACCCGTACCACCACGTGATCGCTTCGCTGTTCCCGTCGTCGTCGACCGTCCATAACCGTCTCGTGTTGACGAGTACTTGTTTCCGGAAGACTTGAGTGCTGAGAAGAACTTGGGGAACCACTGAAGGAAGAGAGGTCGTAGAGCCGGCGCCGATGCCGTAATGATGGCCAAGTTGGTCTCAACGGCAGAGTAGGTGAATCGAATATCGTAACTCCAGTCCAGGTCAGGGTCCGTGAAGTCGATAAAGTAGGCCGTCTCGATGAGCCAGGACATACGGAGGATACTCATGATGGTAACACTTGAAGAGTCAGCAGGTCTTCACTCTCTTTGAAGTCTCTTTACTTACGCTCCTCCAAGGACAAACACTCCAATAATTGCCGCCCTCACCTTGAGAGGCAACTTCAACCCCAAAAATATCCAAAAAGGCAGAATAAGAACCAACACATCGGTCAGGATGGTGAGACTCGAAGTGGCAATGTAAAAGGCATTCTGGTTAATGCACATGCCATCTGGCCTTACACTCTCCTCCTTTGCGCGGTTCCAGAAGTAGCTGACAGGTGTACACTGGAAGACGCAGGCAAAGAACATGGCCACCATCTGGAAGAGGTTGAAGACGAGGAGGCTGATTATGCAGAGGCGGACCTCGCGCTTTTGGCCACCGAGGCGCATAAGGAAGAGGAGGACCGATGTTTTTACCAGGGCAAGAATCGGATTATAGAGAATCTGGATCGTAAAGGCCCATTTCTGGCCGAGGACAAAGTCTTGAGTCAGGGGAATGTCCTTTTTGTGGATGCCGATGTAGTTGAGGCGCATCGAGTAGTAGGAGCAGATGGTTTCGGCGATGGATAGGGCCTAGGCTTGTTAGTCTGTAGATGTTATAGGTAATGCATGCAGTATCCATACCATTGCCATAGTAATAAGTAAGTCATCTAAGACTGGTCAGTATATCTTCGAAAAGGGAGACCTTTTCAACTCACCCCAGCTGTATTGCTTCGTTGAGAAGCGGCCGTATATACGAAGAACCCAGACGCAAAAGGCCATTATAGGAAAGAAGAACAAGATAAAGTACCCAATCTGCTGAAGCCGCGAGTATGGATACCCAACACCAATTGCCTCGGAGCCATCTATGGCTCTCTTGTGCAGCTCTCCGACGAGCCTCTGCACAGCTCCAACATCCATCGAGGTTGAGAACCAGCTCAAGAAAGCTTAATAGTATTTGACAAGTCTAACACGCCGAGGAGTAAAGAGAAAAGAGAGTTCAGAAAGAGGGAATGGGTCATGTTGATCTCCGCTCAGGGTGTTAGATCTACCTATATGCCGTACATGTCGCAAGCTAGACCTTCAGGAGAAAAGAGGAGCTAGCGTACCACTTTGCTCGCACCATGCTTCAGACACATTTGCCTGCTGAAGCCCGTTCGTCGATGGATCCTCGCCCCGTACAAAGAACGAACCGGAAGCGGTCCCTAGCTGGAGAGTGAAGGCTGTATGAAAGCGGGAGAAGGAACATGAGATGGTCCAAGTGGCGAACGAGTAAATGGGCTGAATCTCACGCCCCCCCACAGAGGTAGATAGGTTGTCCCCTGCGTCATGGGACCAAACAGCGTGTTTCAGTCGTCGAGGTTGGATGTTTGAATCCACAGACTGGACGTCCAAGACTTGACGGGTGTAGTCGATAAACGAGCCTATAGTGGATTATCGCTGCAAGAGAGCTTTCGATAAAGTATTTCATGTCGATTATTGAGCTAATTCACTAAAACAACGCGGAATATCCTACACCCTTTCTCCAGAAGCTATCCAGTGGTGTAACCATGACCGTTTCTTGTCATGATCCGACATCTGACTACGACCTTACAAATCGCTCCCGCGTAGCGTTTCCGTCGACTAGAACTAACTCTCAGTCCCTCCTATAACGACATGTCATTATATCCTTGCTAGTGAAAAAATCAGGGTCGGCGATCCTTTGGTGCCCGTTGGCGGAGATGCAAGGAGTGGCTCCCACTTTGCGAGTAATATCAGATGTTTCCATCGGCAATGACTTCCTTTTTCCCCATCTCGTTAATCTAAGAAACTTGTTTTTTATTGCTAAAAAAGAAAGTATGATTTACATAGCAATCTATCGAATTAATCAGAGTTCAAGTTTGAGATATGGCAACTCGACTCAACTTTAAACCTTCAACACCAACATTTACAATATCAAAATCACAAACCCGAAGACAACTACCGACACATCATACTCGAGTCATTTCTGAAGTTGCTCATAAAATCAGGGGCAGAAAATCATCGTCTCCCCCACTTCCTGGTCTGTTACAGAAGTCTTACTCTGCATGCCGCATCGATCTTTGAGAGATCCTAGCTCCCCTCTCTTGCATCCGGCCAACAAGCCTCTTCCTTGTATTTCATCCCGGCATATCAAAGGGCTGGAACCAAACCCCGTCTAAACAAGATTTCCGTCTTCCTAGTGAGGGTCTCGATTGATCTCCATTCAAGGATCAAGCCTTGGTAATTTCTTCGCCTGCAGCGGCTATTAGACAAAATGTCGCGATGCTTCACCCGTGTGAGCTATCACTCAAGAACATACTCAGTCAGATTCATTACCTCATTCAGAGTACCACATGTCACGGTTGACTTCTAGAAACAAACCTCTGCATTAGCTCCCGTTGTCAGTTCATCTGTCAACTCAAGTGGCGTTGCATCCAAGTCATGCTCCCTCACAGCCCACCATTAACCAGCCTCGAGACGATGAAACATCACCAGCTCATATCAGTGGAGCTCACTTTTGTTCAGCTCATCCAACCCGTCCCTGCATCGATCGACAATCGACAATCTTCAGCCTCTTTGACGGGGTCTTTCGAGAGCCACAATTCATCCACGAACTACGTCTCAGCATGGCAGCCAAGGCTTACTCCCCCCTTGAACATCTTGGCGAACTAAAGCCTCAGTTCCTAGAAAATCATCAGATCCATCCGGTGTTCTCGTTTCTGCTCCTTCGTGCTAGTGGCAACCAGTTCAAGTCTGTTGGTTGTGTTGTCGGGGAATCCTCCGCCCACAACCCGGACCCTTCTCGTTCATGCCTCTAGACCCAGAGCCAACAGAGAGTTCCACTCTCCATGGTTCCCAACTATGGCATGCCTTGTCTCTGCTCCTGAAATATCTCCAATCTCAGCCCATGGCGTGGTTCCTGGTGCTAGTTGGTAGCTCCATCGCACCCACAGCTCATCATGCCTTCTCGACGTTTCCCTCGAGCTGTGGCGTTTATAGAAGGGCCGTGGATTCCGCCTCTATCAGGCTAGTCTTGAGTTTCTAGACCTCCATCGTCAGTCGTTTGTCTTTCTTTGTCAGCATGTCTGCCATGCGGTTCTTTACCTTGGCGGTGTTTGTTAGCGCATCCTTTGCTCAGACTATCAACGTCGGTGGCAAGGACATACGTGAGTCCTGACGGATTACATACTGAAACCAAACTAACATGACTTAGCCGTCGACAAGTCTGCCATTGCCCCAGCCAGTGAGGTCGTTTCCAGGAGTTCTTCCAAGGCCAAGGCCCCTCTCTTCCTTGATGAGTCTACACAGCTCACCGATAGGGTCCTCAACAACCTCACTTCCCTTGGACTCTCTCATATTGAATTGTTCGAGTTCGATAATGACAAAGAAGAGACTATCCACCGAAGAAGCCTCTTTGGTCAGTGCAAGACGGCTCCTGGAGACGACTACTTCCCCAGCGATAAGCTCTGGGCAGTATTCGACTACCTCCTCGGCGATGCCCTTCAAAAGACAGTCCCATATGCCTCGGTCTGTTATGAGGATTCCGAGTTTGGCAACTACAACAAGGCCAAGTGTGATTACCTCATGAACAACTGGTTCAACAACTCCTACGTCCCAACTGAGGATCCCACTGCTGTCAACGCCGTCTTGTATCAGGGCCAGTCATGTCTCCCCCCTTCCCTCTTTGCATCTGCCAAGTCTTGCACTGTCGGTGGCTACCCTCTGTACACCGTTGATGCTACAAATGTTGCGCATATTCAGCTCGCTATCAACCTAGCCCGCAGTCTGAACCTGCGTCTTGTCATCAAGAACACAGGTCACGACTTTGGTGCCAAGTCTACCGGTTACGGTGCCTTGTCCATCTGGACTCATAACCTCAAGTCCATCGAAGTCTATGAGGATTATGAGGAGGGTGACTACAAGGGCCCTGCCGTCAAGGCTGGAGCTGGTGTCCAGGCCTACGAGGTCTATGAGGCTGCTAAGGAGCATGGTGTCACTCTCATCGGCGGAGAAGGTCAGACCGTCGGTGTCATGGGCGGCTTCATCCAGGGTGGCGGCCACGGTCCTCTCTCTGGAATCCACGGCATGGCTTCCGACTCTGTTCTCTCCTTCGAGGTAGTCACTGCTGATGGCCACCTCGTCACCGCCAGTGAGAGCTGCAACCCTGATCTCTTCTGGGCCATCCGTGGAGGAGGCGGTGGCACTTTTGGTGTAGTGACCTCTGCTGTTGTCAAGGCTCACCCCAAGGTCTCCGTCGCCACCTTGACCTTTGCCTTTGCCTCTGGCGTCGATGGTCTCACTGACGAAGTCTTCTGGAAGGGTGTCAAGGCATTCTGGGACCGCTTCCCCGAGTACGCCAAGGACAACGGCAACTACGAGTACTTCCTCATCACCAAGACTGAGACTGGCTACAGCTTCTCCATGCAGCCCTGGTTCGCTCCCAAGTTTACCGTGGAGAAGCTCAAGAAGCTTGTGGCCCCTCTATTCGCCGACTTCAAGGAGCTTGGCATCAGCACCAAGCCCGAGTATGCCGAGTTTGACGATTTCTACCCTGCTTGGCAGGCCTCGTTCCCTCTTGAGGGTTGGGGCAATCCAGCCATCCGCCAGGGAAGTCGCCTATTCCCCGAGGAGAACTGGGCCGACGAGACCATTATCAGCAAGACATTTGATGCCATCAAGGGCAGTATTGAGGACTACGGCTGGTTCATCGCCTTCAACGTTTATGCTGGTCATGAGGGCTATCCTGACACAGCCGTCAACCCAGGCTGGCGAACAGCTCTCGTCCACGGTATCGGTGCCGTCTTCTGGGATGTGACTGCTGACGAGGAGACTAAGAAGAATATATCCGACAGCCTGACCAACGACTACATCCAGCGATGGCGAGATGTTACCCCTGGTGGTCACGCATACTGCTCTGAGAGCGACTACATCGAGCCCGATTTCCAGCACTCGTTCTGGGGTAGCAACTGGGAGCGTCTGGTCGAGATCAAGGAGAAGTGGGATCCCTATGATGTCTTTTACGCCACCAACGGCGTTGGCTCAGACAAGTGGGAGCTCCAGGACAAGATCTTTGGCAACTTGCCCAACCAGAACAGCAAACTTTGCCGAGTGTAATAAGGATCATGTATTTGTAGCTTTTCAGACCTTTTGGTCAATCAGTGTATTATATCAACCCATGAAACTCATTTATATCGGTTCAACTTGACGGAGCCTCTGATCCCGGTTCCCTGCCTTCGTATTTTTAAATGTAATTTGGCATTCCTAACAGAGTGAAGCATTCCCTGTCGTGAGTTACTGGGGGCTCAGGGATTAACGATACCCCAAACTTCGCCGGATTTGTTGTCCGTATTCGCTTCAATAACTGTTTACGAGAAATTGATCGTAACCTTGTAGCTATTTTTAAGAATACGGGTTTGACGAAGAGTCCGCCAGGACTATTGTCAATTGATTGGCATCCTCGTGTACGCATAGGCGTGCACTTTACTGCTGGACAGCTCAGTTCGTGCTTCCCACAACTTAATTAGTGGTGAGTGTTTGAAACATGACCTTTGTCTTTGGAATATTGGCCACTCACTCGTCATCCATGACTACTGGAACAGATGACGGGCTTATGCCGCCTATCTCCTAAGTTAATAAAAGTTCCAACCTAGTTACTCTAAGGGGTTAAGTCAATTATATCTATTCGTCAAAGAGATATTCCAATTGTCACTGAGTCTTACCTTACAACTGAATACTCTTGGCCAAGTATTATAGTATGTGAGATGAATTTTACCATAAGGTGCAAGGGATAGACCAGAGCTCCTTGTTGACTAGAAATGTGAGCTTCTAGAGCAGGTTCATCAAGACCAGGCAGCAACACGAACACACCAGAGAGTAGTAATGACTCCATCCAAGATATTTCGTAGCATTAAACAACAGAAAAGAACAATACACAAGATAAAACTAACATATAAAAGCCATTGCAATGTAAAAAAAGAGGCCCTGTTCTGATGTATTCAGTGTCTAGGGTAGCCATCTCTGATAATCTTATCGTCCAGGCTCCACCCAATTTTCTACACCTTGACCAGCCTCCAACGTCACAACCTCTACCTCTCCATCCTCCAACCTCCCATCACAATGCCGCCTAAGCGCATGACAGCAAACCCCGTCAAGCCGGCGCGTTATCGCGCCGGCAAGGCTACGGGCGTGGAATCCGACTCCGACTCCGATGTCAGCGAATCTGAGACGCCCGCCGAGCCCGCGCTCCCTCCGCCACCGAAAGCGACCAGCGCCGGAAAGATCTCGAGCAATCTTGGAAAAGTCGACCTGAACGCGCGCAGGAAAGAGGCAGAGGCCGCTGAAGAACGGCGACTCGCCAAAGAAAAGGCTGAGCGATTGGCCGCTGAGGAGGGCTTCGTGACAGAAGAGGAGGAAGAGAGCGAAGAAGAAGAAGAAGAAGACGACGACGATGAAGAGGAGAGTGAATCTGAGGAGGAGAGCAGCGAAGACGAAGCCCCGCGACGGTTAATGATCCGACCAAAGTTCATTCCCAAGAGCCAGCGAGGAAACGTAAAAGACCCCGCCCAACAAGAGGAAGAAGCTCGCCAGGCAGAAGAGGAAGCTCGCAAGAAGGCCGCCGACGAGCTCGTCGAGGAGCAGATTAAAAAGGACCTTGCTGCGCGTGCAGCGGGAAAGAAGCACTGGGATGACGACGAGAATGAGGATTCGGACGTGGATACGACCGACGGGCTGGACCCTGAGGCTGAAGAGGCTGCCTGGCGCGTCCGCGAGCTCAAGCGTCTCAAGCGCGCGCGCGCTATTATTGAGGAGCGCGAGAAGGAGCTTGCAGAAGTGGAGCGACGGCGCAACTTGACCGAGGAAGAGCGGCAGGCTGAGGATGAGGCTTTCTTGGCCAAGCAGCAAGAAGAGAAGGAGGGCAAGGGCAAGATGTCGTACATGCAGCGGTACTTCCACAAGGGAGCCTTCTTCCAAGACGAGATGAAGGCTGCTGGTCTGGATAAGCGAGACATCATGGGTAGTCGGATTCAGGACGATGTGCGGAACCGAGAGGCTCTGCCAGAGTATCTACAGCGTCGCGACATGGCCAAGTTGGGTCGCAAGGGCGGTACCAAGTACAAGGACATGCGCAGCGAGGATACGGGTCGTTGGGGTGATATTGGCGGTGGTCGGAGGAGAGAAGGAGGGGGCAAGTTTGACGAAGATGAACGATTCCGTCCAGATGATGATCGTTTCCGACCCGACGAACGGAGCGCAGGAGGTGCAAATGCCATTCCCCTCGGCTCGCGCGATGATCAGAGGAAGGGTGATCGACGAGACAGAGATGATGGGTACCGGGATCGAAGAGACAGGGACTCGTATCGTTCGAGAGACGATAGTCGAAGGAGGTCACGGTCGCGATCAAGGTCACCACGTCGTGATAGGGATGAACAACGTAGTCGCCGGAAGCGCAGTACATCGCGCGACGACGACCGGTACGAGAGTGACAAGAGACGCAGAGTGGATGCCAGGTAGGCCTTGGCCTGGCCCTGATATAACATTAATAATACCCAACACAGCCATTCATCGTTCCATGACCCCCTTCTTTTTACGTGGCTCGTTACATTACATATAGTCAGATGTGACTTCTATCTCTATATCCTCACAATCTCAACGCGAGCTCGGTTGAATATTTGATGGCCCGTCATCGCTTCGCTGCCACCATCGGGCACTGTGGGAGGATGCAGCGTCATGCGTGCGTATGTACCAGCGCCTCGACGCTTGGAGAGGTAACCTGGGTTGATGAGAAGGACACTTTCAACGACCTAGATATCCGTTAGCATAATGTTGGGTCAAGAGGAGGAAGTCAAAGAATGTACCTTTGCGAAAGGAGGTAGCAAGCTGGGAACCATCATGACATCTGGCCGCACATTGACCATCTCGCCCAGCTCGAGATAGCTTACATCCAGCACTGCACCAGTGGCAATGCCCTCTTCCGTGCCTGTCTTGGGAAGCCTGGACCGATCTGTAGGCGGGAATAGGGGAAAGTAATGCCGCTGCTCAACCAAGTAGCGACAAAGTCGACCCATCAAGTCACCGCCGGGTTGAGGACCGCCACGAGAGACCACCTCTTCAGAGCGTAGCTGGGAGAGGATATCTTGTGACGAGACGCCAAGCACAAGCTCGTTTATTGATAGCGTCATGGGGTTCGTGACGATACGCACTGCCTTGGGAAGACCGAGCTCTTTCTTCGGGATTGAGTCTTGTGGCCATGAGACGTGCTTTGCTAGCACATCTCGTACAGAGGGAACGAGGATGATGGTGATTGCGGGGTTTGAGGAGACGAGGCGGTTGAAGGCGGGCGAGACGAGGTACTTGAACACGGTCGTCATGGTGGCAGTATCAGGGTCAAAGTTGGCCTCTTCAGGGAGGTCAAAGTCACCCGTCGCGATAAGGGGGTGGTCGATATCGAGGAATGGGCCAGTAAGGACGAGCGCATCGGCATAGGTGTCAGCTGCTTGAGTACACAGGGCGTGAAGAGGCTCAAAGTCGAGGTTATCATCTGCCGTGTATGGACCAGACGCGAACAAGGCGTTCAAGGGTGTAGGTTCTGCATCCTCCTCCATGGCATCGGGACCACCACGGAGTCGTTCGCGATGACCTTCAAGTGCAGAGGGTAGAGAGGCAGCGTTGGGGAGTAGAGGGATCTCGAGAATCTCCTTGACGACGAATTCAGTCCCAGAGGCATTGGTTCCTCGAAGAGCCACGATCTGACCAGGGAAGAAGCACCAACTGCGGACGTGGTCCATCTTTAGGGGCACTCTGAGACCCATACCACCTCGTCTCGACATTTCAAACACCAACGACGCAGCATTGAGTTTTCCCTCTGTCGAATCCGACGCAATTCGGCCAACAGCGACAACCTCAGTAGTGCTCTGTGCTGCGGCGCTGCCAAAAGCTGCCTCATCTAGGCCATGGTGTTCTTGGATAAGCGCCATGAAGCTGTCGATCCGGTCGTCGAGAATCTCGCTCGTTTCTGAAATTTTCATCACCAATGGCTTATATCCGAGCTTCTTCTGGTCGGAACCGGCTGTGAGCTTTACGCGTGGCTCGGAGAAGGGCGCAATTGGTGGTTCGGCTGCGGCGAGGCGGTCGTTGAGGATCTCGACGACTTCTCCGGGGTTCGTTCGATCGTTGAAGGACGTAGGTCTTCTGAATGTTAGCAATGGGCGTAGAGAATGCCAGAGAGAAAAACATACGGGAGTCCATTCATAGACTTTAGCTGTTCGCTCATCCCAGTAGCTGGCGAGCTCGTCAACCCCTTGGGAGTCTCCATTTTCCTCTTGAACGCACTACCAGTCGCAAGCGTCCTGCTCAACTTGCCGCCTGACCCTGGCGTACTCGGAACCAATCCATCCAACATCCCAAACACATCGCCGCCCTTTGCACCACCTCTTGGTGTACCGGCAACCTTCCTCTCCGTCTTGACGTGCACCTGTCGTTGTGTCTTTTCGAGCTCATCCTGGATGCTCTGCTTGAGATTGCGCAACCCCTCGAGCGTCACGATCTGGGCGTCGGTATCGAGCTTGATACAGTACGACTCCCACTTGAAGAAGAGATCCTCGGGGGAGAGGCTGTGGAGACGCATGATGGATTGGAGCTCGCTGAGAACATCGGGCTCAAGCGGCTTGTTGGGGGAGAAGCGGTCTTGGAGGTCTGCGTCGGCCATGGTGGACGACGGGAAAGCAATGGAGGCGACAGGGAACAATGATTGATCGCTTTCCGCTCTTATCACAAATTCGAGTGTGTCTTTGACAGTTGAGAAGAAAGTCGGTCGTTATGGTGATGGTGGTTGGAGGGGCTTAATTTGGACGCGAGCAGACGCGTCTCAAAATCCAACCGCGTTAAGTGAGTGGGGACGAAACACAGTCCTCACATACAGTGCGTGCACGGTACGAGCTACCTATGTAAAGGCGTTGACATACACCAGAATAGAGGTATAGAGTATCACTTCGAGCAATGGAGATGTATGCAAAAGACAATGATATCCATACAAATCATCAATTATGCCCTTGAAAGGCTACTAAGCTACTACAGAGGTATCATATCCACAGGCAAACGCCGTTGCCTTGATCCATAAAAAAAGTCCATCCAGCGCCATCTATGTATGTAGTTACTATCATATCCCTGTGTCTTTGAACACTCAATTCTGTGCTGTTGATGCCCTCCATGTACCTGTTGTCCAACAAATCTCTATCATGCTGCAAAACTCCATTCATAAAACCATAATAGGCTACTCCTTAGCCTCCTCAACAGTGACTTTTTGCTCCATGCCCCATTCGGCGCACACATCATCAGAGCCGTTGTAGCCAAAAGCCAGGGCACCATCTCGGGGAGGAGAGCTGGGCATGATACCATCGGTGCTGAGGAAGTTGCCAAACTCTACTATCATGTTCTGGGTAACTTCCATGTTCGGGAGGCTGGAGAAGTCGAATTGGCTGTTATCCAAGTCGAAAGATGGCTCCGAGAGCAACTGCGTGATGGTACGGCACGTGGGGGTATCAAAAAGGTTGTCAACGTTCAGCCGCGGGCTCCGTCTAAGGCCCGCGGAACGAGGAGTCTTGGTAGGCGTCTTCTGAAGTAGTGCCTGCTGGCTAGGAGACATCATGCCCCTCACAGATCTAATAGATCGCGAGACGCTGCGGGTGATGGGTCGGTGGCTTGGTGTAGGACGTGTAGGAGTCTTGAAGGGAGTGGTTTGCGCCTCAGCCTTAGACTTGGGCGGAGGGGTAGACGGCCGAGCAGGGCTATGGAACAAAGCCTCCAGAGCGTCTTGTTCACTTTGTTTCTCGCCACGAGCCTGAGCTTTGGACTTGGGCGGAGGAGTGGAGGGACGAGCTGGGCTGTGGAACAGGGCCTCCAGGGCATCTTGTTCACTTTGCTTCTCGCCACGGACCTCAGTGGTCACATTCTCCTTTTCCACAGCCAATTCCTTGTCTTGACGAGCCTCTGTCACCTTGACAACGTTGGCGTTAATCTCTCCAAGAGTCTTCAGGGTCGGATCCTTCTGTGGAGAGGAGAACAACAAGCGCCGGGTGTTGCCGAGGTCCTCATCAATGTCCATTTCGATGGGGCTGTTAGCTGTCCCAAGTCCTCGGGAACTTCTGGAATGAGTTGACCCCGGGTTTGATCGGTCCCTGTCGTTGTTTGGCAGCCCATCGAGGCCAGGGAGAGTGAGGGTGTTGCCCATTAGCACATCGCCTCCCTGCTCCTTGGTGGGAAGGATAGAGCCAGACTGCTTGGGTGAAGATGGCTGAACAGGGCCGAGAGGATCTGTAACTGGGTAGGCCTCGGAAGTAGGGTTGGGGTGAGAAATACTCTTTGTGCGAGCCCTCTTGGCCCGGGAGGAGTTGGAGTTGGGGTTGGTGCTGGATCCACGCTTTCGTCGGCTTTGGCCAAGGGGTCCAAAGGCGTTGTCCCATTTATCTTGAGGGCGGTGGATTCGGTATTTGCCTATCCAGATACCACACGGGTTGCAGAGAAGCTGTTCTGTCCAAGCATCTCGAATGTCTTTCAGGCCCAGGGATTTCTTGACGAGCCGGTATGCTAGAGGAACGTTTTGCTCATCTCGCTTTGTAATCTCAATCGCTGTGATCTGTCCGGGCTTGTCCTTGTAGTCGACATGCTGGGGAACTCCCTCGCGTTCCTGAACCCAGATCTTGCGCCAAGTTGGTGTTTCGATGGCGCCACAGTTGGTACAGAAAGGAGGCATCTCTCCATTCAGAATAGCCATTTCCAGCTTCTGCTTGATCGCGTGCTTCTTCACCATGTTCTTCTTGTATTTGTAGGGCGGCGATGAGGGCATCCCGGGGAGAGCATCGCTTTGTGGGAAAGATGCCCCGGGGAGTGGAGGCATGGCCAAATGCTCTAGCGATTCGACTGAGCCAATAGGGTCGCTGGCAGGAACTGGTAGATGCAGAGCCATAGAGTTAGATCGACGAAGGCATGTTGGAATCTCGGTCGATGCTCTAATGGGCTCGGCAAGATGAGACTCGGAGAGTGTCGATGGTCTGACAGGCTCACTAGCGGGAACTGAGGGCAATGGCAAGATACCGGCGGACTGCGATCGATTCAGGTGTCGAGACCCGCGAGGTTGGGGCTTGACTGGGTTAGAGACTGGTTCTCGAGGAGGTAGAGTTCCTTGTGGAATCTGATTAGTCTCAGTTGAAGGCATGGGCTCAGGACCTGAGGTCGCTCGCACTAATTGAAGAAGGGGCTCATCCAACCCATCGCAGGGTTGGTTTTGGGACTCAACCTGAGGTTGAGGAGCTTCTGCTGCACAAGGCACCCGGACAGGAACTGGACTTGCCATCTTCTCAGGGGCGTCTGTGGTGGGAGGTGGAGTTGGTGGTGAGCGGCGCTGAGGTCGCGCTTGGGGGGGATTTCGGGCTGTCTGAGGTTGGACATGGTTCTTTCGGGGCATAGGTAGGGGCAGGGAAGGCTCCAACTGAGGCCCAACTGGACCCGAGGTGGGATGGGGTGTGTTGAAGCTCTGGATATGGACGAGATCCTGGCCATCTGGGCCGTCTATCCTGAAGACCTGAGTTGGGATGCCTGTGCTGTCTACACTTTCTAGCACTCGTGGGACTGGGGGTCGTCCTCGAATCCGACTCTCCTTGACCGGCTGGAGAATGGGTTCATCAAAGAGGTCGTCGATGTCGTCCGTAAAAGTTGAATCTGGCACGGGTGCGGGCATCGGAGGGAGAATAGGACTTGACATGGGCGGGCTGGATTGCATGAATGATGCGTTTCGAGGAACTGGAGGAGACGAGCGGATATCCTGCGGGCTATCTTCTGAGTAGGCTGGCGTTTCGATGGCCGATTCAGGGGAGCGGCCGTCCTCCTGGCTTGGAGAGAGGGCGCGGGCAGGCCTCGGGGGAATTTGGTTGCTCAGGTTGGCTGTCATTTCTTGTCGCATGGATGACTCCCGCCGAGGCTTGGGCCCTTTTGGGCCACCTCGAGGCATATTTAATGGACCGCCCTCAGGCACTGGTGTAGGAGCTCGAGGAACTTCCTGTAGGTGGTTGCTAGTCACGGCTTCATTGCTTGGGCCAACAGGGCGGAAGTTTCGGAGCGAACTGGCAGTACTGGCAGTAACGCGTAGAGAATCCGGCCCAGAGGTGAATGGGTTTGGTGCTGTCTTTTCAACCTTGGTTGTCTTGACTGGCTTCGTCGTCTTGATCTCCTTGGTCTGGCTGGCCTGGTTTGTCTCCTTGGTCGTGTTCGTCGCCGTCTTGGTCTTCTTCTTGGCGGGGCCGCTATCCTCGCCCTCGGTTCCGTCCTCATATCCTGAAGTGTTTCCTTCAGCTGGCTTTTTCCTTGGTCGACCACGGGGACGCCCTGTCGGCGCCCTCTTGCGTGAACTTCTACTAGCTGGTCTTGACGTGGGCTGGTTCGGGGCTGTTGCCGGGTCGACAGGTGTTGGGGCTACCCGCTGGACTTCGGGGGCTGGAGGTCCTTGGGAGAGGGCAGGTGATGCCACTCGGGAGACATGTGCTGAGTGACCAATCTGAGGGTTGGATTGAAGGAACGAGCTCCATTCAGCAGCACCTGCGGGTGTCATGAGTGTCTCTGTAGACCGCGCAAGCTGCATATCCTGGGTGGGCTCAGGCTTTTGAACCCTGGGGCAGACGGTAAATCTCAACTTGACCTCTAGGATCTCGGGATTGCCTCCTCCAAAGACGGCGAGGAGGTTCTTGGTGACTCGCCCTGTGACCATCTTGGGTGGTTGGGCACCCCAGTCACCACGCATCGTATCCAATGCCCATGATAGCATGCCCTGCCCCACAAGTGGTGTGTCTGGTTCCGAGTAGTCGAGAGAGTAGACGGTAAAATCGGTGTTGGTCTCGTTGCCATGGCTGGCGAGTTCGGGGCTGCAATCGGTGACCGCCTGCAGGCACGCGCGCAAGTCGACGATGCCAATCGAGTTCTTCTCGTCGAGGGGAACTGTCTGTACATTGAGAGTCTGGGATGACCGGGCCAGGCAGTTAACCTTGGCCTCCTTGTCGAAGGTGTAATGAACCTTGACTGTAGGGCAGTGTTAGCCATGTATGCAGCAAGATAAGGTCATCATCGGGAGGCATACGGCCCATGGGCCTCACTTGGACACCCGACTCATCAACTTCGTTATTTCGCTGCATCGTCTGACCGTTATTGGGATTCCAGTCGCCCGGGGGGGCAAAAGGCATGGGCGACGCCATGGCGGTCAGTCCCCAGGAGGGGAAAAGGTCAGAGATAAGCCGACGCGGTGTCTCAATCACTCGAGGCGAAGTGACAGTTCAGAATCCTCGAGATGTCGTCGACGGGAAGGTTGTGCGAGTGATTGAGACGAAAAGGGTTGACGGGGAGAAGGGTGGATATGTGGAGCTAGAGCGAGGCGAGGTTTAATGTTTGAGCTCGTTGGCCGGGATGTGATATCAAATTCGGGAGGCGGGCGTCATTCTCGTGACGCGCCTCGTCCGCCAAAAGTCGCGTCGTGAGGGTGGAACCTCTTTAAGCTGCAGATCTGAGGGGAGACGTGCACGCTGGCTGGACAACGAGAAGGAGGGGGGGAAAAAGAGGAGAAGAAATTGAGAGGGGAAGATGGACAAGGAAGAGATTAAGTATCAAACCAGAGGTCAATCATCAATCAATAACACGGACACGCAAAGGAAGGAAGGTGGTGATGTCGCGTTGTGATGCAGGTGTTGTAGAGGCGTCGGCGGGTGTTGTAACTGTTGGCCCTGACCTTGGCAGGCGGTGGATTGGATGCTCAAGTTGGAGGGCGGCCGTGTCACTCGAGTGGTTGAGAGACCCCTGTGGGTTCTGATTTAGTGGTTGCAGCGCCAGTGACGTGAGTTAGCGCGCACCCACCTGAGCGAGACGCGCCGACAATGGAAGGTGGGACCGGAGACCGGAGGGTGAGGCCCACTATTCCCGAGAGGTACGGCGCCGGAGAGAGAGTTTCGGCCCCGCTTTGAGTTTTGAGGTCGTTGGCTCCGAAGCTGTCAAGCTCTGGAAACCTTCTTTGTTTAGTTCGCTTCCTTCGGATGCGTAGTCAGCTCACCGGCCAGGCACCGGAAGCTGCTTTCTCACGTGCTTCGAGTTCGCTCTCGTTTTGACGTCGGGGTTCGTGGCTTGGTTCCCGCAGCTTTGTCTCCGTTGAGCTGCTGCAGCTAGAGAGAGGTACGTATCTTGTTCAACTCCCTTACCGCACCTTTTTCGCAGGTCGTTTCGCTTTGGCCAACCCAGCAGCTGGCGGCTCCCTTTCGATGACGGAAAACTGGACCAGAGATGAGATGGAAAATGGCAGACCTGAGAGGGGGCAAGGAAGGCGAAGATGTCTAGTCTTTCTTCTCAAGGCCTCTCCGGGGCGGGGCCTTGTCCCTTTTATATTCTCGTCTGTTGCCCGAGGCCATCTTCCTTTCGCACCCCATCTCCCGGATGCCTACAGACGCCATGTGGGAAGACGATGAGTCGATGAAGTTTCCCCTCGACTTTATCTCCACTTTCTCAACGTCTTGTTCCTTACCTCCTGCTGGTAGCCGTGCTTATCATCTCTTAACTCCGCCTGTTTGGCTAAGAGGGCCTGGTGTTTTGTTTTGGCCTATGCACCACCGCCTGTCCAACCCTCCATTACGCGCTGATAGGCCCCTCCTTGTTTGCTACCCCCCTGTAGTCTGCTTATTTCGATGAGGCTTTTCGACCATCGTTTGATCTCTCATCAAACGGAATCTTGGTGGTTTATCGCAACCCCACACCTTTCATCTCATTCGCCACTATTCCCCCCATTCCATTTTCACCATTCACGACAATACCCATGATGCTTCATCAGCCCCATTAACGAGTTTCACGTCCATCAACAAATTGATTGCACCATCATCAGAAAGTCATCACATTTCATCTATCGACACACGCACTACGCCAGGATAATCAGGTAGTGACTTCTATTTTTACAAATTATCTAATATTCTTACAATTTGCTTCCAGGCGTGGACTCATCTGCCAACCACCTAGCCTTGCCGCGGGCGTCCACATCGGTCTTGCGGGCGATGATCTCCTTGACCACCTCCGAGATACCCTGGCGACCCCGGCGAGATGCGATGATGATGTTGGCTAGCTCCTCCTGGCTGTAGCTGCCGTCAGAGAGAACCTTGCGAATCTCCTTCTCGGTGGGGACTCCGATACTCTGGTGAGGGTATTCCGAGTATGTCCGATCGGTGAACAGCTCGATGTCGCTCTCCGGGTCAAACTCGAAGAAGGGCTTGGTCACGTTGTCCTTGGTAGCAATGTCCTCCAGGGACTCGGGCGACCACTTGGGCGTCTCCTTGCGGATGAGCAGAGCCGTCACACCCTCGGTGAAGTCAGGATGCTGCATGAACTTGGATGAGATCTGGTGCTCCTTCTTGAAGGTCTCAGCGATATCCCACTCGCCACCGACGCGCATCTGGCGGAGGGCCACGTGCACGGCGGTGGGTGACCGCTTGTGCAGAGTCTTGATCTGCTTCTGCGCCCACTCCTCAGTCGCACCCCGCTCGGACTCCAAGGCAGCAATGATGTCGCTGATGGTGTTCTTGTTGAAGCACCTGTCAATGGCCCGACGAATCTCGCCGCTCAGGGCGAAGGGCTGGTCATAGGGGAGGCCGGTACAGAACTCCTCCAGGGTCTCGTTGATAAGGGCCAGTCGTGCAGGCAGGTCGTCGCTGTCTCGGAACCGGAGCTCAGCCAGGCGAGCCTCCAGATCGGGCAGGCTGGTGGAGTGGAGGTAGTGGGTGGCAATGCCAGAGTAAAAGACATTAGGACCAGTGAGTCGGTCACTGGTCAGCGCCAGGTAGGTTCCGACAGATCCGTTCATTCGGGGGAGGAAGAAGGAAGCGCCAACATCGGGGAAGAAGCCGATGGTGGTCTCGGGCATGGCAAAGACAGTCTTCTCGGTCGCAATCCGGAATGGAGCATGGGCGCTGAGACCAACACCACCACCCATGGTGATACCGTCCATGAAGGCAATGTAGGGCTTCTGATATGTCGCAATGTAGTGGTCGAGCTTGTATTCGAGGGCAAAGTACTCGGCTGACTTCTTCCATCCGTCCTCTTGCTGGTTGAAGTGGGCGAGGGCAGCGACATCACCTCCAGCGCACAGAGACTTTTCACCAGCACCCTTCATGACGACAACGTTGGCCAGGTCGGACTTTTCCCACTCCACCAGCCGGGGAACAATCTTGCGGATCATGGAAGCATTGAGAGAGTTGAGCTTTTTGGGTCGGTTGAGCATGACGGTGCGCAGACCATACTTGCTCTCGAAAACGACATCGTTGGGTTCATCGTCGCGCAGCTCCTTGATCGAGGTCGCTTCGGTAGATAGCTGCACCGATCCAATTAGAAGACTGAACCTCCGATAACGTCATTGAAGCCTGTATCTCACCTGTCGAGCCCCGAGAGAGGAGCTCAAGACCTTTGCTTGCTGAACCATGTTGAAACCACTTCTTGTTGAGCTTCGATAGCTTGCAGCATTGACAGCCGCACCAGCTCGGACAGCAAAAGTTCGGAAGGACATCACAAAGATATTAGCGATGCGCACATGCGATCGACATGCGCATCGAGAGGAGGAGGGGGTATTAGAGGCTGTGGTAGTGTCCTCGGTCCGCGGCAATGCTTTTCAACCTCCGCATCAGAACCCCAAAATTGAGTCCGAGGGTAGCAGCGTCTTTCCGCTTTCTGCAGTGGACCTAGGCTTGCCCGCCCAGTCAAGGAACTGCTGTCACCTGACCAGTGAGAAGCCGGAGGGGAGCTCCACTGTCGCGACCAATCAGGTGCAGTCCACCCCAAACATCGACTTTTTGAGCTCTGTGGGCTTTCAGCCTTGCGCGCCGCATTCAACATCACCGACAATCATCCATACGGACAGCCTTCAAGATGTCGGACCCCAAGATTCAGTGCGTCACGTCTGTTCTAGTTCGATGGATCAATGGCTAACAAGATGATAGGGAGCTTCTCACCAAGCCGCGCTCAGATCTCACGTATGTGCTACGGCCCATCCTCGACACTCGCTGCCCAGCCCCGCGACGAGACGACAATTGCTAACGTATGACCCCTCACAGAGAGTACGAGATTGCTCAGCTCGAGGAGCACGAGTTCTCCGCCGGCCCCCTCTCCATCCTCCAGACCGCCGTGCGCTCGCACATCCAGGTGCTCATCTCGATTCGCAACAACCGCAAGCTCCTGGCGCGTGTCAAGGCCTTTGACCGACACTGCAACATGGTTCTCGAGAACGTGAAGGAGATGTGGACAGAGACACCCCGGTTAGCAAACGGAAAGAAGGGTCGACCAGTGAACAAGGATCGGTTCATCAGCAAGATGTGCGTACACCTGGGCTCTCCTTCACCCCTGGCGGTGACGATTTTTCAGGGACAAAAGCTAACGTGTCCACAGGTTCCTGCGAGGAGATAGTGTTATCTTGGTGCTCCTAAGCTAATTTTCCTTTCCGTCACGATGTTTGGGGGCTGAGGATTCACTTTGAGAATGGGATGTTTTGTATGTCTTCGGGCAAGGCTCACAGGGACTCCATAGGCGTTGAAAACAAGTTGATTTACGCGTACGCACTCTCCCGTTCTTTGATTAACTTTGCAGTCTTTACGCTCTACTTCGCACGTCTTGCATCTTAGTACCTGTGTGAAGCACTTTAATTCTATTTTTCACCTTGGTCAGACATAACAGAATCATTCGCTCAAGCCAAGGAAGAAGCAGGCCAGTCCCCAGGCACCAGGATCAGGAACCTCCTGATATCCGCTACCTCCGACATAAACAGTCCGTCCGAGGCTGGCTTGCATACCCTTGGTCTCATCAGCTCCCTTCCTCGCCGCCTCGGCTGCCTTCTTCACGTCGCCTGTCTGGCCCAGCACCTCAACAAAGGGATGAAGGGCGTCAACCAAGGTGCGGTCGCCTGGGCGGGCTGGCGTATATCTACCTAACGCATCACTACTCTGCTTGAGAGCCTTGGCCCAGACCTCGGGGGATGCATTGCCTGGGGCGAGACCACGAAGAGCATGGACTAGAGCATTGAGGAAGATGGCGTAGAGGGCACCAGACGTTCCATCCATAGTGTTTTCCACAACGGTGACGATGGAGGAGAGGTCCACCACTATGTCTCCGGTGAAAGGACGCTCTTCAAGATGCTTCAAGATCGCTATGGCCACGTCAGTAAGTATTAGGCACGCTCCGAGATGTCAGACTCACCTTCAGCTCCCCTCTTCAAACCGATTCCACAGTCTCCATCACCGACAACAGTGTCATATCGAGTAACCTCTGGTTCAGCCGCAATCACCTTTTCCAAAGCCCTCTTAAATGCTTTCTGCGCAGAGTTGGCGTCTATCTTGAGATCGCTGGGTTGAGCATCCTGGCTTGCACCGTCGTTGCCTGTTCTTGTGGCTGAGTTCTTGGCTTCCCATGTGCGAGACTGGATAGGTGCAGACCATCCCACGACTTCGCTAGGGGCGTCGAGTAGCTCGATCATGCTTGGGGCATCAAAGTCGGGAGAGACAACGTTGAGAAGAGTGATGCTGAAACCAAGACCGTTGAGACTGGCCATGTAGGTGCCGCTTAGGACTCTGACGGGACGGATATTATGCTTTGACTCGAGCTGGCTCACAACTTCGGCCGTGATGCCACCCAGTTCAAGAACGCTCACCCCGCCGAGGTTGTTTATCATGAGAACCACCTCTTTCGAGCTGACATTAACAAATGCTCGGTCCTTGTCGATGGTGTCAAGCAGTTGCTTGAGCATCTTGCTCACAAGGTCGGGCAGGTCAGCCTTTTCTCGTCCGGAGCCTGGCTCATTGTGAATGCCCATTCCCAGCTCAACCTCTCCTGCTTCTAGGCTGCCTTCGCTGTCGACCTTGCGGCCAGGAACGTGGACATGCTCCAGGCTGGCACCCACACTAACAAGGTTGGATGCAGTCAGCCGGGCATACTTGGCAACCACATCAAGCGGCTTTCCCAGAGCTGCCAGGGCTCCAGAGATCTTGTGGACAAGGACGGTGCCTGCGATACCACGCCTTCCTACCTTGCCAGCCTTTGCACGGCCAACACCAACATCGTCGCCCACAACGACCATCTCGACGGCGAGACCGGCGGCCTTGGCCTTTTCAACACCCATTCCAAAGTTGAGGACATCACCGGTGTAGTTCATCACAGTAACCAGAACACCCTTTGATGTATCGACGCGAGAGGTGATGGCGGTGCGGATCTGCTCGGCTGAAGGGCTAGCAAAGATGGTACCTGCAACAGCTGCAGAGAGCATGCCCTGGCCGACCATACCAGCGAATGAAGGCTCATGACCGGAGCCTCCGCCGGAGATGATGGACACTTGAGAGGCGGCATTTGAGTCAGGTCGGCGGTAGATGATCTTGTGGTCTGAGTCTAGAGCAACCGAGGGGTTGGTGAGAGTCAGGCTGTGGAGAGCAGACGAGACCAAATGGGTTGGATCGTTGATGAAGTGTTTGGACGACATGATTGATAGGTTGAACAATTATTTAAACTTTAGAACAACGAATTTATGAAATCATCGCATGCAAGAAGAGAGAGCGATTATAGAGTGACAGTCACAAAGAATCAGGTGAGCTACATCGTGCCGTCAAAAGGTACCAAGTGACGTCCCAAATCAGCCGGTGGTCACCCATTGACAGGTGAAGGCGGGGGATTGGCTCCGAATCGCGGGGTTTTGGTGGGGGTTGGATCAAGCCTCTGCAGGACGGCAATGAGAGCGGAAGGTTGCAGGGACTCAGTTTGTGTCGCCGAAATCATTATCCGGGGGGTTCTTTGTGAGGGGAACAACGTTGCCGAGGACAATAGCTCGGTTGTTGGAGTTGACTGTAGCCGATGGGGATTACTAGTGGATGCTTGGCATTTGCTCAGCTGGAGTTGGCTGGCCTGGCTTGTTAACGAAACGAACGAGAGATGAGTAGGATAAGAGTTGATTATCAGCGAGCTTTGGGCGCTTGTGATAATTCTCGTAGTGCAGTCTGTCATAAGCTCATGTCCTGTTGGGCTGACCATATAGGAATGGATCCACGGATCAGTTCGGTGTAAGTGAGCCACGCTGACATCTGTCATGCACAAGCACCTCTGGCTACTTGTGTTGACATATGCGACACTAAGGAACTAAACAAACTTATTTGAAAGACCTGGACTTGCCTCAATGTTGTATACCAACCTAGTTTAACATTGCTTTAAGTTATGTGACGTGACATATCTAGCCGATGCCTCCGTGGTCGATTCGAGGTTTATAACTCGGGATGTGGGTGACTGACTATGAGTTCCGACCATCCATTCCTTCACAAAACGGCGATTAAAAACATAATAGTCCCGCTGACAAAGAATAGCGACCTATCACTCCAGTAGAAAACCCAAGCATTCCAGACCAACAATTGAAACAATGTTCGGGACGGCGGCATTATGTACACGCACAAACATACGCGGACAACCCCCCAGCATACGTATGCTCGGTTACGTACTCTGATCCCAGCACAAAGCACAAGGTGGACGCAAGAGGTCGCAATTAGCCCATCCCCATAATTCAAGGCCCTTGCCTGTTCCATGCCGGTTTAAATGCCTACGCTAGACTCAATCTTATTTATCATTAACAATTTACACGCGGGTTGAAGCTCGACGTCTGTGAATGGCCAAGATGAATATTCCCGGGCTCCCGTCTTGGCCCCCTTGTAAGGATGAGCAGCTCTGGGTCCAACCCTTTCGGCGCCTTTTTTGCACAGCCACTGTCATGGAGAGTTTCATATTAGCTAAACGACTCATGATACGACGTCTCCGGTGACTTGAAACAAATGGAAATATCATTCATTCATTAGAAGCTGGCGTCGTTTAGATCTCGAGTTTAATCAGCCCCCTCCTCACCCCAGATCAAGTCTAATCCCGTATTGGATCAGCTGGTGTAAAGGATCAGTTTGGTAATTGGCTCTTGTACGCATTTTTTATGTGAGAAGATCCTAATATCTTGGCATTCACTGACACTTCTCGAAACCCATTCGTCGGTTCGTATGTAATGCCCCCCCGAGTTTTACGAGTTCGCTAACCGATACTGAACCAAACACGAGAAGAATGAGCGCACACCCCTGGGCCTCAAAGGGGAGCTTTGCTGCGCCTCCCGTTGGGAAAAAAGGGCCTCGACTAAGACCCCCCCCGGACGAGATGACCTCGCCGTTGGATAGTTTCATTTCTCTCTCATCCCTTCACCGTTAACCCAGTGGAGTCCGTCTCCGTCTGGCATCCCCCCTCCTAGACGCGTGGCCGAGAAGCGAGCGAGTCCATGCACTTTCTAACAAGATGGGGCGAGAGAGGGGGGTTAGTTAGATTCCTTCCGTCGTTCAAGAATCCTTCTTCTCCAGATCTTTATTCTTACTCTAAATTTCCATTCCATTCGATTCCTGATTTTACTTGTAAAGTTCTTACCCATGTGTTTCCAACTATAGTCTTCGTTTCCCTTCGTATCCGGCTTCTCTCGCTCGAGTTCGGCCATCCCGGCATTCTTGTCAGCAGCCGCCTCCATCAACGTGTAGTACCAAGGTGTAAGCCGACTTTGAGTGAGCAGATTTGACAGCTTTCGACACCGACATTCTCGAAACCAAGATTCTTCATTCGTTTTGATTCGAAGGGTAGTTTGTTGTGGTGATTCATTCGACTGGGTATCAAGATGAGGGCATTCCTACGGAAAGCGACTGCGGTGTTGGGCTTTACGACAGCAGTGACTGGCCTCGAGATAACATTTGAGGATGAGAGCAAGTTTAACTCTTGTCGATAGATGAAGCTTTGGCTAACTTATACTAGAGTCTGTCAAGAGTGCTGCTAGTACTGTCGCATATGGCTTGATGAAGTACTACACGGGAAACAACACTGGCGATGTACCCGGCAACCTGCCAGACCCTTACTACTGTAACCATCCCAAAAGAAACTCTCGAGGAACTTCTGTCGCTGACACTTCTTAGGGTGGGAGGCGGGCGCCCTGTTCGGAACCATGATCGACTACTGGTGGCTCACAGGCGACTCTTCGTACAACGACATCACCAAGCAAGCACTGGTCCACCAAGCCGGAGATACCAACGACTACATGCCCGAGAACCAGACCCTGACCGAGGGTAATGACGATCAAGGCTTCTGGGCCATGGCCGTCATGTCCGCCGCCGAGCACAAGTTCCCCGACCCCCCAGATGACAAGCCCGGATGGCTCGCCCTCACCCAGGCCGTCTTCAACGAGTACGTCAGCCGCTGGGACTCGAAACACTGCTCCGGCGGCCTGCGATGGCAGATTTTCACCTTTAACACGGGTTACGACTACAAAAACTCCATCTCCAACGGGTGCTTCTTCAACATCGCCGCAAGACTAGCTCGCTACACCGGAAACGACACCTACGCCGACTGGGCGGAGAAGATCTGGGACTGGGAGGTTGACGCCGGGCTCATAACCGACGAACACCAGGTGTTTGACGGCGTGACAATTGGAGAAACGAACTGCAGCAGCACCGACACGAACCAGTGGACTTACAACGCCGGCATCTACCTGCACGGCGCAGCTGTCCTGTACAACATGACCGAGAGCGACACTTGGAAGAAGCGTGTCGACGGGATCCTGACCAACATCAACAAGAAATTCGTCAAGAACAATGTCATTTACGAGCAGTTCTGCGAGCCTAGCAAGCAGTGCAACCAGGATCAGCAGAACTTCAAGGGATTCCTCGCACGTTGGATGGCCGCTACGACACAGATGGCGCCTCACACTTATGACTCGGTCGCCAAGCTTCTGTTATCGAGCGCCAAGTCAGCAGTGGGAGTCTGCAACGGATCACCATCAACGGGTTACAAAGGCCCTGCCGGCACGGCGTGCGGCTTCTCATGGCTCACAGGTACATACGACGGCACAGTCGGCGTAGGTCCGCAGATGAGCGCCCTATCCATCTTTATGTACACGCTCGTCGACAAGGTGAGCAGCCCTGTCACGAAGAAAACAGGAGGAACTTCAAAGGGCGACCCGAATGCTGGAGACACGACGACGGGAGACAGAGACGGCAAGAAGACGTATAGCGCCATCACCATGACGGACAAGGCGGGGGCAGGAATAATAACGTTCCTCATTGCAGCGGGTGTTGTTTGCGGCACTGCTTTTACCGTGATTTAAAAAAAGAAACTAAACAGTCAAAGGAGTCAAGACATGGGTTTCCTAGCATTGGGCGTTATAGGTGTTGAGTTTGGATTAGGATATCTGGTTCATTTGCCTTTGGATAGCTCAGAACCTACTGCTTGACAGAATAGACACGACTGCTCTTTTTGTTTTGTACATAAACTATCATTCGCATTACAGATAAGTCGCTAGGTGTTTCCTTGGAGGAATCCACGACTACATTTTGAACTTGAGAAGTTGAGCAGGACTTTGCGATGATGACCTTGAGAATACGATCCAGTCAAAGATAACACGCAGTTTTGGAAAGATGACTCTTGTCAAGTGTCTTGAAACGGGTATTTGAACAACAGCTTGACTCCCACTTGGCATGGATATCACAGCCACTAGTCATCTTCAGCAAGTCTTTAGCAGCATCTCTTGATACCTACTTTGACACGATTACAATATTAGAGAATTAGGAACAAGTCTATCACCAATTAAACTTTCTATAAAGCTCATTTAACTACAGATTTAATGTATGAACACGCATTCGATAGTCAAGTTGTTGTGTCAAACATCTGCTCCCAAATTCTATAAACAAAGTAAACACCCAAGCCAGCACACTCTGTTCAACGTCACCATCTTCACTCCTCTCGAGGATTCCCCTTTGGATCCCTTGATAACCTCGCCCATTGCGTCTTCAACGCAGGCACATCCGCACTTACAAGAGAATTCATCCATGCCTCCTCTTCGCCCTTTGTCTTGACCGTCGCCCTCCCCATCAAGACTGGATGGCAGTTCACATAGATAGTCTCGTAAGCGTGTGCTGGCACGCAAAACGTCTCGTGAAAGATGCCGATATGTGCCGGTTTCTCCTTGTTCATCCAATCCCAGGCCTTACGGTGCAGTTCCTCGTGGGCGAAGCGGTTCAGGCTCTCGACGTCACGGAAGTAGTATGTCAGGAGTAGGGTGTTGTTACTAGTTCGCTCATCGCCTCGCCAGTTTGAGTAGCTCAACATGCCTAGCTCATCTCGGCGAGCTGTGAGATTATTGTGTAGAGTCCTGAAGTAATCTCCGACCTTGTCAAAGTGCGGTGCCGCGACGCCAAGTGGGTGGTTGGATTGGACACCAAGGTTGAAGACAACAACAGGACTCGCACCGGGCCTATTCCCAAAGGTACCGTCTCGGAAGGGAAGCTGAGCTGTCGCACGGCCGTGTACAGTATCTGTCGTGTACTCGTTTGGTTTCGGGCTGCGGAGCTGGAGGACAGTTGTGATGATCGAGTTGAGAAAGACGATAGCGGAGGGGACAACTGCCCAACGGAAAGGAAGGGTTGCAGAGAGGATAAGTTGGAGGATGGAACCTATTAGGACGGTGGTGTGTGGTTTAAGAGAATCTTTGACGATGAACTGGCGGATCCAAAGTTAGAAGTTGGTGAGTTTTATGTAGTTGCCGCCATTGGACTTACAAAGGTTTGAACTTTGGCTAGATAAGTGGCAGGCTTCCTAGTCGGTGCCAATTTGGGACGAAACTCGGTGTTCATCTTGAAGACTATGCAATGAAGTAGATAAAAATGATGATATCACGTTAAAGTCTATCACTCCTCATCTGCCAATGATGAACAAAGCGCAACACTATTCAATTCAGCAAGGCCGATCAATCAGATTATATACATTTCGAATTAAACTCGGCTTTGTTAAAATGTCATTTAGCGAGTGCGAGACTCACAAAAGCCATCTCTCGTAATCCATTCAATGCGAGGAGCCAACTACAAATAGCACCATGGCTTGCCCTCGCATTCGCATCGCCGTTTTTAGGACGCTTCGGTACCAACCACCCAATCTAAGTCTCTCGATTGCGCATCATAAAGACAAAGAGTGAATAACCCCCGCATGATGCATTCCATCTCGTCCCAATTATTCGGAGACTTCGGCGTTAAACCCTTGATTTCTCAAAAAGGCGGCATCACCCGCTGGTGTTTCGGACACCTCAGGACGAAACGATCCATCTACCCGCAGTTCAACTCAACTGCATACATTATCTCCCCGTGCAACAGACACCGCTACACAGTCTGACATCCCTGCAGTAGCAAGTCAATAGCCCTCGCACTCGCTTTGACCCCATCTTCTCCACCCGCCGACATCCCGCTATCGTTGTTCGGCATCTCCACCTCGACGGAAAGCACAGAGGCCCGGGTGCCCTGGCAACCGTCCGTGTAGTTGATCATGGCTTGCATTCATCGTCGATCTGCTCGAGATTGGCGTGGCCAAGACATGGTCTTTGTGTATCGTAGCTCCAAGACAACGAGCCTGTGTCTCTAGCACAGGCCAAACGGCCCGTCGTGGGGATGGACGATCAACCTGTTGTGAATCAAAGCTTTCACCGTACGACACTGTCTCGTGTCGGAAGATAAGCAATTAATGAGTGACACTCACTTCACGTACAATGTTTCAGGACCTTCAAGAGCTCTAACTTAATAATATTGCGAATTTGACTCAGAATGCGACGATTCCACAGTCATCACTCATGATGGTCGTCTCAGTATCATTATCCCAACACCAACAGAGCAACCAAAAACTGCAATCCGAACAAGCAGACAGAACCTGTAGACGAACCGTGCAGCCAACAAGAGACGGATCCAAAGAAAGCAAAAAACCAAACACGAAACACTCTCACAATGTACAATCCCGTATGTTCCCCCCCTCATGTGTGTGCTAAACAACTCGCAAAGAAATGCCAGCCATTATATGCCAACTCCTCTAGGGGCCGCCGAGGCTCATTTTTTTTCTCTTCCGTCGTCAAATACCGGTCTGTGTTGCCGAAACTGTGTACGCCCTTTTATACCGTGTATTTGTCCAGATCGCTTCATATGTATAATCGAAATCTCCGAGTGTGCCGTAGAAAATTGGGGAACCTATGCGTTGTTCTCCTTGTTCTGCGACTGATGAGGATATTGGGGATCAGTGAGGGACCTCTCCCACTCGTCCATTAGGTTTGTCGCGGTGCGCTTGAGGTTGCTGGGTGAGAGGCCCTTGACCATGTTGGGGAGGATCTCCTCTAACTTGGGGGAGAGTAGGGGCGTCTCGTAACCGGTCGACTTCTTCTTGCTATTCAAGGTCAGCACAATTCTCACCAGATCCGTCCAACCCTAGCCCAGCAATTACTTACGATGGCGAGTCAATAGGCTCCCCATCGTCAGAAGTGGCTGACAGGTCGTCCAGACCGCCACTTCCCATGGTAGAGCCGCTCCAGCGGGATGTCTTTGAGGATGAGGCCGGCGACTCCCAGTTGGACCAGTCATTGTCGTCCAGTGCGTCAAATCCGAGAGGCTGCCACGAGAATGGCTTACTCTTAGTCTTGGACCTTTCGCGAGAGGTCTGTTCAGTCTTGTTCTTGGTACCCGTAGTCGATGTTGTAGATTTGTCCGAGACTTCCATAACCTCATTGCCGGTGTGCGGTGGCTCGAAGACCGTGCTCACCTTGGGTCGGAGAGGTCGGTTAGGTCGAATCGTGTCCTGAGTCCTGGATGGATCCCGACCCAATTGAGCGGTCTGGCCGCTGATGGGTTCGTCTCCGACAGTGATTTGGCGAATGTCCTCGACGAAAGCCTTGAAACCCGTCTTGAAATCCTCGAAAACCTGGGGGACGGCGGCGTTCTGCTGGCTGCGTGGCTGCCATGAGGCACGCTTGGCTAGGTGTGGGTTTGTTAATTGAGCGGTCCTGCGCTCTATTGAAGGTAGCCTGACAGGCTCAAATTCATGATCGCGATCCTGATGCAACGAGAACCCAACGTCTGGCTTCGCCGGCGAGAGCAGAGAAAGGGTTCTCGTGTGCCCACCGCGCAAGACTCTTCGTCGACTGGGGGTCGCCGGAGTCTGATTCTGCTGTAGCAACTTCCTCCTCTCCATATCGGCACTCCGCCGGTTTGAGCCACTCTCTTCTTCGGAGGGTAGAACAGGACTCCTGAATGCCTCAAAGGGAATTTGATCACCCTTCTTCTCCTGGGAAGTCCACCTCTTCTTGAGCGAGTTAAGCTCTGCCTCTGCACGGAACAGCTCTTCACGTAGCTCCAGCACTCGTCTCTCCTGAGCAGCAATTGCAATGATGAATTCGTTGGCGTCAGCAGGTGATGTCAACCCCGAGTCGATAGGCGTCGGGGGTACCGAAGACATGTGTGCAGAGGTTGGGGTTGGCCGAGATGGGTCGCTCGTAGGGGGCGCAATTGGCAAAGTAAGTGAAAGTCTGTTGACCTGCCGATTCAGACTGGACACGCTGGACTTGGCTCGGGCATGTCCTCGTCTGAAGGGGACGGGGTCGTCCTTGCGAGGCGGAGGAGGCATTGTGGGTGCTGAACTTGAGCTGTCGTGGCGGTCGTGTGAGAAATAATTCAGGTGTCTCTCCTTTAGAGACTGAGATAGGTCACGAGCGGGAGCATACCTGGGCAGCGCAGCAGCGGTGTTGACCGAATTAGGGGCCATGTCAGAAGCAAAGGCAGAAATGTCCGAAGGCAGACGATCAGCAACCGAGTAGCGTCGGCGGATTGCTTGTTGTTGTTGTCTCTGTTGTTGTTGCGAAGCCATGTCCAGACGACGGCACTCGAGGAGGTTGCAATACTGTAGGGAGCGGACACCGAGTACTCGCCGGCGTTTGTTGAAGAAAGGAGTGTCTGGAGCTCGATAGGCTCTGCGACGCCGCGGTCTAGCAGCGGCGACAGCAGCAACGGCAGCCCTGGAAGCGAGCGCTCTGTGGTGTATTTGTGTCAGGTGGTGGTAATCATCGAAGAGGGCGAACGAGCAACGGTGGGCGACGCAGAGTGGGAAAAGAAAACCGGGCATCAGGGAGCGGCACGGCACTGGATAAGGAGAGAGAGGCGAGCGGGTGTGGGTTTCGAGGAGGGTGTATGTGGGCGTGTGTGCCGGCGGTGGTGTTGCGCATTGGGGTATGGCGCCGCTGGTTATGGGGGTTTCGGTGGAGAGCCCACTAAGCCCAGTGGCTTCCTGTCGAGAATAGAGCCCTGGAGGCGTCCAGTAGCACGACCCTATCTCCCCAAAACAGGCACCCGGACAGTTAGTTCGACTCCTGTCGAGTCGACGGGCTGGGCTCGCACCAGCGCCGACAAGCTTCCGGGGGGCCTGAGTCGAACCTTGAACCGAGCTGGGGGCGATTTTCAGGAGGCTTGGGGCACCATTGGATACGGATGCTGGGCAGGGCGGGCGCTTTGCGTGATGAGAGGCCGGGGACGTTGGCGCTGGAGGGGGCTTGCTGGGGTTGTAAGAGTGAAGGAAATTGATGGATCCCCGTCAGGGACAGGGTGACGTTATTTCAGGCGAGGGGTGAGGAGGATTGATGGGACAGAAGTGGACTTCCGATAAGGAGCCGTTGAGCTGGGAGTCGTCTCGAATAATATGAATTGTCGTAGGAATGTAAGCGAAAACAAAAAAAAAGGGACGGTCGATCGATCAGGGGGAGAGGGGAATGGATTAAAGTAAAAAAAGAGATGAGATGATAATGAGCGTAAATTCCCGAAAACGGGTGTCTGCAACCTCGATTGTATGCAGAGATGGAGCGTTGAAAAAGCAACTAGCGAGCGTCGCTCAACGTCGAAAAGACCAGCTGATCAGATGGATTTGGATATGGATCGCAGCGCAGCTCAGCTCAGCTCCCGAACCTGGAGAGGCATAAAAGCAATTCCGGGGGATGACCACCTTGTGCGGGACTGTCAGAGACGAGCAGGGCACGAGGATAGAAGTGGCGATAATAATAGGCGGTAAGGAATATGGATAAGGGCGAATGCAACGGCGGCAAATCCCAAAGCATGAAATGTGAACAATGAAATTTTGGCGTGGGCGAGACGAGACCTGGGAAAGTCGCAGGACTGGCAGGGTCCCGGGAAACTGTTTGTTTACATATGTAGGCCTGCCTCGCATTTTGCCCATCCCATGCAACGGATCCAATCAATGGGATCCCTCGGCACCGTCACTCGTCAACACCATGCGAACTGACCCAGCCCAGCCTTGGAAGGGAAGAGAAGGTCGACCATCCATGATCCCGCGGCCCAGCCCGCACCCTTCTCAACCAAACAGGCTCGCAACTGCGACGCATCTCTGCCCCAAATCGCACCACTAACCCACGACAACCTGCTGTCGACCGCCCCGTCCTGCGGTCCGCCAACGCCTTGTCGGCAGTGGATCGTGAACCCCGGTTCGCTTCTGGCTCCTTGCGTTGTTGGAACTCGTCCATACGTGGTCATGCTGATTTATTAGCGGCTCACGGCTCTGTGTTGTTGTTCTGCTAAAGTTAGCTTCTTCCCTTCACCCCGCCGTAAGCTCGTCGTCCTGTTTATTCCTCCATGACAACCGCCCAGACTACTCCGTAGCTGAGCCTCGACGTGAGGAGCGGGCGTGCGTTAGAGCGTTCTTTGTTGGGAGGCGGTTCCACGAGGATCGAAAAAAAAAAGTCCCACCTGCACTGCCGTTGGCCAGACAGAGAACAAGACGCAGCACCATCCTCGCCGTCATTGGCTCCCATCATGAGTGAGGCAGTTCGGGACGGCGTGGCTCGCACTGACCGCTGTTAGTGACGGCAGAGGGATCCCTCACTCTGCCCTATCACTGAGGATTATACCCTCAGGGGCCATGCGGTGGTCTTGCAGCGGGCCCTGCATAAGTACAGGGGTCGTCAGTCATCGAACCTGCAAACATGCATCGGTTGAGGTTGACCCCAATTTCCGACCGAAATTAGCAGCCAATGCTGTGTTTCATGTTGAGTCACATGACCGTTCACGTGTCCTTCCTTCTTCCTCTTTTCCGGCAAGTCATCATGTGACCTCCCGTCAATGTCGCGCAGCACACCCTTGTCTCCCGCTGACCCCAGGCTGACAGGTGCAGCCATCGCGTCGACATTTCTTGCAGCCCCCACGAATAAGGCATCGTCTCTCTTGTCAGGCAGTTCCCTTTTTCGGTGGGAGACTCCAGTTTGGAATGGGGTCATATGGTCTCAATTCTTCTGCTGCCTGCGTGTTCGCGCCTCAGTGAATCGATCTATGGGCGTTCGTGACACCACTCCGCATCCGGGTACTTAATACTTAACGTCCACCGCTCTTTGTCCTCGGTTTGCGCTCTTTTGGATATCTTGGTGCGATGATTTTGCCATTGTCGCATTATGCCGCTTCCATTCGCTTTGGTTTGCGACCTGCTTGAAGAGTCTCACGAATTATCGGTTGCCAAGAAGAGCAATTTGAGTACCGTAGCAAAATGGTTTGCACGGCACCGAAGCTGGATCAACGCACACAATACAAGTCTCGCGGCTTTGTTGTCTACCCTGCTTCCTGACAAAAGAACGGACAGAGTTTACTGCATACAAACTGCTACCCTCGAGAAGATTATCGGCCGCGCGTTCTTCCTTGGGTCCTCTCGTATTGCCGAACTGTCCCACTACCGGCAGCCGGGTCAAGGCATTGACCTGGCTGATTGCGTTTCGCGTATTCTGAATGCAACGGTTGGTTTGCCTGCAATAGTTCATGATCCGTAACTGATTGCATATCAGCCAAGTCCGGGTTACAGCAAGGACAACCTTGTCACGGTCGAAGAGATCGACAAAATCCTTCATTCTCTGGCAGCCAGGGTCAAATGGAGCTCCCCATCGATCCGCGCCTCACAGGCTAGCCTCACCCAAAGCAATAGGGGTGATCTCGAATGGCTGTATCGCCGACTGAGCTCAGTAGAAGCCAAGTGGTTTACACGGCTGGTGCTCAAAAACTACCAGCCGCTTGTCTTAGATCCCCCTCTCATTTATCGACTATGTGACCCGATTCTTCCTTGTGTTTTGAAGATTCAAGATGACTTTTCCACGGCAATCAACTCCGTCCAGGCCATTCGAGGACGATTGTTGCCGAATGCCGCTCGCAAGACACCGCGGGAACAAATTTTGAGTTCTGTGAAGCCTCAACTCGGTATCAAAGTTGGACGACAGCCCTGGGTGAAAGGGCGTAGTATCAAGAATTGTCTTGACATGGGTCATGGGCGAATGAGCGTGGAGGACAAGATTGATGGGGAGTTCTGTCAGATTCATATCGATCTGAGCAAAGGAGAGAATTGCATCCAGATCTTTTCCAAAAGTGGCAAAGACAGCACTGAGGATAGAGAGGCGCTTCATGGGTAAGTTGACAATGCTTAAAATTGCACTTCTTCTAACTTGGCGAAGGACTATACTAGAATCACTTCAGATCGGGAAACCTGGCGCAAAGGTCACAAAAGCATGCATTTTAGAAGGGGAGTTGGTTGCATTCGATGATTCGGTATGTTTCTACGATCCGTTTTCTCATTCTTCAGATCCTAACTTTCACCAGCTTCAAAAGATACTACCATTTCATAAAATTCGGAAGCATGTGTCAAGAAGAGGACGTTTTTTAAACACGGAGCAGGACTCCTTGTACGTTGGTTTCCGATGCTCGCCTTCTCATTGCTGACTCCCCTAGACCTGGACCACAAGAACACTTAATGATGGTATATTACGATGTACTCTTGTTGGAGGATCAATCACTCATCAACCTCCGACATTCAGAGAGATTCAAGATTCTCTCAAGCCTTATCGCCTATCGCAAAGGCTGGTCTGAACTAGTTCAGCGTCAAGTCATTGACTTTGGCCATAACCTCGGCGCCTCAAGTCTACGTAAAGCCTTTGCCCTCACAATTTTGGCCCGAAAGGAAGGCCTGGTCCTGAAACCGGATGAACCCTATTTCGATTTTGCAGACCAGCGTCGGAAGTTTTCGAGCTGCTGCATCAAGCTCAAGAAGGAATACATCGGGAACTTTGGCGATGTCGGTGATTTCGCTGTTGTCGGTGCCCGGTATGATCCAGCCAAGGCAATGGCTTATCGAATTTCCGGGTTGAAGTGGACTCACTTCTATCTTGGTTGTCTCGACAATAGGGAGGCAGTCAAGCAGTGGAACGCAAAGCCCGAGTTCACTATTGTCAATGTCGTGGAGTTGAATGAGACAATTTTGAGAGAGGTTGTTACTTACGCCAATCCCCAATCTGTGGTTGCCGAAGAGAATGACCAACTCACTCTCAAGTTGGCTCCCGGGGTAGAGCAAGGCTCGCCTCTGACGTTTGTCTTCACAAAGCCTTTGGTGTTCGATTTGAGGTGCTTCAGCTTTGACAAGGTGGGAAACACAAGTTTCTGGAGCCTTCGCTTCCCTTCAGTCACAAAGGTTCACTTTGATCGGGATTTTACCGACACAATCTCCTTTGAGCAGTTGCAAACAATGGCAAAGGATGCAACCACGGCTGGTGAGCTTGAGGACAGCCAAGAGAACCTCCAGTGGGTCGCAAAGCTGGAGGGAGCTGATCCGCGTGGCATCGCTGTTGACGCTGTGAGCCAACTCACAGTAACAACAATGCCAACGCCTTCGCCGCGGAAGTCAACGCAAAATACAACATCTTCATGTTCTCCAACTTCTCCGTTGGTCACGAAATTCCCTCTCTTACAAACGGGCCCATCCCATGCAAGATCCGGACCACCACTTCGTCTGCCTGGAGTGCCACCTGCTACACCTCCTACATCTGCTGCACAAGCTGCACTGGCTTCGTGGCCAGCAGAAGGTCCAACAAGGAACAAGCGTTTCTCTCCCACTTCCATGCCTGCACCCCCGCCCAAACGCCAAAAGTCAGTGACCGAGAACGTGCAAGCAAGCACATCCTCAAACAACGGCAGTTCCTCGCAGCCTCGCAAACCTCTCACAAATATAAATGGCAACTCCCATGGCGCCATTTCTTCCTCCTGTTCTGTACATCAGAACAGGCTTGGAAAAGAAGTACCCGAGGTCATCGACCTCACGTTGTCTCAAGGGACACCCTCCATCACGAAGCTTCCTGCCTTGCAGACTGCTCAGTGCTCACCGCCGGCAGATGGTGTAACAGCTACAACAATGTCCGATCAAACCGAGAAGCAAGACAAAGGGCTCAGCCTCCCAGTGGCAAAGCTGCTAGATGATGCCGACACCGCCAGAGACACATGTCGCTTTGCTGGTACCAAGTGTCATATGGCAGGGACACGGATTCTAATATCACCGGGGCTTTTTGACAACTGCAAAGAAGCCAAGGCCCTGTTCGATGATCATGGGATCTATGGCACTGTTATGAATGTCGATAAATGGCTCGAATCAGAGAAAGCATGTGAGAATCATCAGACCCCGGTCAAGACTTATTTGCTGGTCGACAGTGGACGTCACGATGAGACCAAAGCCCTGCTTAAAAAGATCGAGGAGATACGAGGGGCCATTTCCGATCGCACCCGCATATGGATCGACGTCCATGACTGGCGCATGCTGAAATATGTTACGATCAAGGAAGATGACAATGTCACGCCAAAGTATTATGACGGGTGGCATGATCCGTGGAGGCGGTGGTACATCGGGATTGTTTGACTGTGGAGTCCGGAGATGACAGGCAGACACAAGAGATACTCCATGACTCAAGTTCCGTTGCTGTTATTCTTGATTGTGAACGTGGCACGTCTAAGACTTCTTGTCGTAAAGGTCACCGTAGCTTTCCTTGAGCCGCATGAACAGGTGCTCATCCGCAGTCATGACCTTGCTCGTGGCATACGGGTTCGCACTCGGGGCTCCTCCGTCTGACGGCTTGAAATCCTTCACGCGCTCGCTAGGAACCGGCTCGAGAGGTGCTGTCCCGACAGGGTGGCAGAAGTAGGCAATGGAATATCTCGGCCCCGCGCTCGTCTCCCCTGCAACCCCAACGGTTCCCTCGGTGGGAAAGACGACCCTGTGGAGCGTGCTCCGGAACAGCCCGTTGGTCCAGTAAGACAGCAGGTCGCCGATGTTGATCAGCACCGGCGGGCTCGGGTCGTCCTCGGTCCCCGGCGGGCAGACGGGGACGGGCGCCCAGACGTCATCTTTGGTCAGGAGCTCAAGACCCGCCTGGCCGCGGAGGCGGAAGAGCAGGGTGATGGAGCCGTAGTCAGAGTGGGCGCCGGCGCGGACGTCCGAGGCCGAGTGGGCGGTTGCGTCTGGGGGTGGGTAGCGGAGGAAGCGGAGGATGGAGCTGGAAGCTCCTTTGGTTGTGTTGTGTGCCGAGGAGAAGAAGTCATCGACCTGAGAGATACCGTGAGATCAGCTCAAACTGGTCTTTGGGAGTCACTTACACCAAGGCCTAGACCAAGTAGGTAAAGGAGTTTCTGGCACAGATTATGACAAGAATCCGCAAAAGCACTGATCTGAGGCTCATGGGGGACCATATCGGATGGGAGCGGTTGCTGAGCTTTGCCATTGACGAACTCTCCAAAGTTGAAGGCTCTGATGTAGGGTGTTAGTGAGTTCGAGATGCTGTGTAGATGAACAGGGTAAGGCTCACTCTTTGAAGTCACCGATCTGGAAATCTAGTGTTAGTCTAGTTTGGTGAAAATTAATGAGATGAAACACCAACTCACCTTCTGGTTCTTGGGGTCCAACGTCTCGGAGTGCATGCCTGACCAGCCGCGGTTGTTGGTCTGGATGGTGCATCTCTGCTTCTCTTCGACAGGGCATTCAAAGGTCTTTTTGGTCTATACATCTTGAGTAATTAGGGTTTTGGCTTATTGATGATTTCTGCTCACGAGTTCAAACGCTCCATCAATGTCGGCTGCGGAGATATCACGACCCAGGTTACGAATGTAGATGAAGCCATGCTCCTCGGCAGCGTCAACTAGCTGCCGAGCAACATCTTTTTGGTCCACATCAGGCGCAGAGATGTCGATGACGGGGATTTTGGCGGCGTTGGTTGACATTCTTTGAGATGCTATTTGAAACGGCGTTCTATCTTTCAGAGGGAATTTCATGCCTGCTGTTGTTGAGAGGAGTGGATGTGCCGAGGTCCTAATGCGTCTTGATAGTGTGAAAGCGAAGCGGATGTTAAGGTAGGTCGTCATGTACGTGCGATTGTTAACACAAACGAGTTGAAATCAATAAGAGTCAAGTGCCTGATTCAGAGAAAGAACAAAGAACAGACTCTTATTCTCTAATCTTGTATCACTTTGAAGAGGGGCGTCATCACCCCGCCATGATAAGTGCATGTCTCTATCTCGGTGTGTGTTCGGTGAGCCGATGGCCCGCTGAGGTCGCACCGCCACAAGCACGAAACATCAGCCACACTCACGAGGGCTTTGGCTTTGGTGGTCGTGGTTACCATCCCCTGGCGGGCTGAGGTGTCCCGGTGGTGGTTAGGCAGGTACCGCTTGGTACTCCCCTGCGGCTGCTGCTGTTGCTGTAACTCGCCAAACTTTCCCGTCACGTCTTTCACCAGTTTCCACTGTCTCCCGTCCCCGAAGCTGAAGATATTCCAAAACCTCACTCAACCTCCAAAATCTCACCGAGAAGTAGCCTCGCTCTTCTACCTTTTCCCGCCTCGCCTGGTCTCTCACTATCAGAGGCTGCCGCCCTTCTCCCGCCTCCGACGGCCCGCCTCGTGCCTCGCCCCCCTCCATCTTCCCTTTGGAGCTGCGCCGTCTCTTCCCATCCCAGCTACCCCCGTGGCTGCTCCTTTCAACCCCGCCATACGTATAACGACCTTTTCGTTGCCGCCAACTCTGCGGCCTTTGGCTCCCCCTCCGTCGGACGATCGACTCCCCATTCCTTAGAATTCCCCGGCCGCCGAATTACGACCCCGGGACCTTAAAGTACAAGGGCGCCTGAGTTGCTGCGAGTTGTTCGAGATGCCATGTGAGTTTCATCCTAGCGCACTTCGTGGCCTCGTTTCGCAAAGGGTCGGTCTGGTGTTGCTCGGCGCCGCGGAGCATGTGAGCTGTCATAGCTCCCCAAAAAGCTACGATTTTCGACCAGAAGAGCTTGCTATGGCCCATTTCGCATTTTGCGAGCTTATTCGGTCGTCTTGAAAGCTGGCTGGGTTGTTTCAAACTCAATTGCAGCTTCAACCTTGTTGACGAGCTCCCCAACATGACCACCAGGCCACGGCATGTGGTCGCGCTCTGTCGCCCGACCCTTTCGAGATGCCCGCACCGCTCAGGTTGATTGCTGCGGCAAGCGCTAACCCTTGAAATAGTTCTTGCTGAGGATACCTGGATCAACGACCAGGCTTCGTATGTCTTGATGCTATCCGCAACGCCTTCAACTCTGTCGCTGACTGCATGTCATGTAGCACGCACGATATTTCCGAGCTTGAACAATGTGCCATCGCCGTTGATGCCACCTACTACCTCGGCCAGCTTCTCGACAACCCTCCTGCCCAAGAACCGCTCCTCCCCGCCCTTGGCGGTCTGACTGGCATCGAGTCGCACATTAACGAGAACCTCGACAACTGGGAAAAGTTCCACATTATCCCCTTCTTCGTCTTCGATGGCCAGTCCCTCACCGGCCAAGATGACCTTGCCCTGGACCGCGGCCTCAAGGCCAACAAGAAGACAGACCACGCATGGGCTCTGTACTCTCAGACGGCAGCTGAGGAAGCTGTGACGACATTCGGCGCCAACCCAGGTGCGTCAAACATCTAGTTGCTCGAAGGATTGTATTAATATGGGAGAACCATAGGCGCATTCCGCATCCAAAACCTCTACCCTCTTCTCCAAGAAACCCTCAAGAACCGCGGGCTTCACTTCTTGGTCGCTCCCTTCAATGCATGCGCCCAGGTTTGTAACGACCTTATTCTTATCGAAACGTAAAGGTCTAACGGCATCCAGCTTGCGCACTTTGAATTTGTCGATTCGGACCAATGCTCTGGTGTCATGGGACCACAGGAGCTCCTCCTGTATCCTATCAAGGACTCAGTGATTCGGAGCTTTGACTGGGAAGCCAAGACGGTCACGGCTATCTCCAAGAAGAAGGTCATGCGCAGCCTCACGCCCACCGCGAGTGAAACTAGGTTCATTGACTCGTTCCTCATGTCCGGCACATCGTTTCTGCCCGCGTTCCCAGCCCTTCTGGAGTCCACCATGTACACTGACTACAACATCTCGACTGCCGCTAACCTGTTGAGAACCTCGGAAAACAGCGTTGCCACCGCTTGCGCGAGCTTTAACGATATTCTGCAAAACAAGGACCCCGAGTGGCTCGACAAGTACCGCAAGGCAAGGATGGTGGTCAACCACTATGTCTACATTACCGAGAACGGCGAGATTAAGGTCAATGACTTTGAGCATCTGACCAACGATAGCCACGAGTACCTAGGTCTGCAGCTTCCAGCTGAAGTCTTTCACTATCTCAACACAGGCCTGATCGGTCCCCGCCTGCTCAACAGCATCACTCATGGACAGCTCCTCATTCAGCCAACCCTAGACGGAGTTGTGTCGGACCAATACAAGAACTTGGTGACTCAGAAGATTGTGCCTATTAAGGAGCAGGCGCTATCTCTGCTGAGCTCCAGACTCTACCGAGGTCTCCAGCACAAGAATATCAAGGTGCGGGTCTGGTTTGACCCCAAGTATTCATACACGATCAACCATCGCTCTGGGACTTCTCCTTCTCCTTCTCAACAAGCAGCCAGCTGGGATGTAAAGTTGGATGATATCCGTTCATTCTTCCCTGCCGACTTTGCTGGGCCTGTGTGTCTGGAGGTACTGGCGCTCGCTAACCACGATTTCGTCAAGAAGACATTCCCCAAGGAACAGCGCATCAAGGGTATCGACAGCACAGAGATGGTGACGTCGGTTGCCATCTGGCGATTCCTTCATGTGAGGGGCTATGTTAACGAAGAGCACAAGCTGACGAATTGGGGAAATGCCTTGGCGACGACGTTACTTTCCCTCCAGGAGGCCAACGAGAACCGTCCGCCAGTACCTGGGCTTGACGAGGCAGCCCTGCTTGCGTTCGAGCTCGTCCGATTCGGTCTCTTGAATGGAAAACACATTGAGGGCCAGCCCGGACTTCCCAGGAGAGGTACAGATGAGGATAAGGAGAGCCTTACGCTCATCAGCGAGTGCGCATCCTTGTTGAAGCTGCGGCACCAGGTCTATGGATACACTGGTCCTCTCAACAAGAGCCTGTTGGCATTCCGAGCTTTGTCATCGACAGTGAGGGAAGCCAATCGGGATCTCATCGAGTCCATTGTGGCATCCATGTTCCTGTACGGGCAATCGAAGCGTGACAGGGATGATCAGCTGGAAATCAGCCATAGGTGAGTAACCAAGTTTCGAGTGATGGTATGTAGCTAACGTGTTCAAGACTACCCTTCCTGACAGAGCCCGACATCGGCCTCGGTATCGCCGTGCGGACTTTCTTTGACGATGATGAGGCGAGTGAGGACAAGGAGACACGAGCGAAGCGACTGCAAGAATTCCCCAAGACATTCGTGCCATTCGCCGAGTCACTGACGGAAGACTTCCGGATTGCATGTGACTTTGTGGATGCTATCAACAAGGGTGTCCAGGTCCTTACAGAGGCATTGCCGGCAGCGGACAAGGAGGCATGGGCCAAGGCGCAGGCTTACCTAGACGCCCGGCCATTCTAAGACAGACGACAAGACTTGAGGCATTTCTATCTATTGCACTACAAGAAGCATGTTAGATTTACGAAGAGAAGCAACGTATCGATACATATGGTCTTTCAGCATGGCTCTTTCGGGCACACCCAGGCTTGCAGACTTAGCGGCGTTGGAGCGGGCGGCATAAAAGTCGGGGGTAAAAAAGTTATCAAGTTAGCAGAAGTGTCGAAGGAGTTACCAGCGGGACAGGACTTGTGGGGATGGTTATTGGGGACTTTAGAGTCCACAAGCAGGCTACAGGCCGGATGAGGCGACTTGAATGGTTGGAAGAGGGGATGACGATGGCTGTGGTGGTGGTGGTGGTTGAGGCACAGCCAGATGTGATGTGGCCAGGGTCATCGGCATCGTACTGACAGGAGCATTTGCATGCCATGACCCTATTGAAGTTGAAGAGACACTTTTTGTTACAATCACAATGTGTATTTGCTTGTCCGTGATATTAGAGAAAAAGGAGATGTAAATTAATTAATGAGAAGGGTAGTTAAGTATTATGTGTTTGGATCTAGGAGATGGTCAGAACCATGGGCCCAGCCACGGTGATCTCATCGGTCAAGACACCATCCAGAGGTCCAGCACTGGCCAACGAGACATATGTAACACCCGCGACCTCCTTTGGCACCTCACAGCCCTCGGCAGCGGTGAACTTGGTAAACTTGGTGCCTCCGGGAATGATTCCTCCAGAGGTGAAAGCACAGTGAGTAGCACCAGCCGCCGCGTCAGAAGCCAGCTTGATGGGAGCTCCGACAACAACAGCTTCAGCGGTTTGACCCTCGGCCATGGCAAGCTTGGGGAAAGCCTCGAGGATAAGGTTGGAGCCTTCGGGGCACTCGACGATGAAGGGGGCAGCTAGGGAGAAGACGGCCTTGGGACCTAGAGGTGTATCCAGGGGCTGGGGAACGGCCTTGGCTTGGGAAAAGACTCGAATGGCTGTCTGATGTCTGGCCTCGACGGTGAGGATAGCACCAGCAACACCAAGAATAGCGGGATCGGAAAGAAGTGGTGCGGCGCCCAGGTAGGCTGACACACCGACGCTCTCGAGGATGGCAGCTGTGGCTACCATGAGAGCCGGGTCCTTGGTGGCTCCGGCAAAGTCGTATTTGCATGCCTGAACGGGCTGGAAGCCGGCCTGAGCAATGGCGCCCTGGAGGAGCACGACGTGAGACTCTTCAGTCTTGCCAATGGCCTTGAGGTCGTCGAGGGACTTTGCAGAAAGACCCAGGGGAGCAAAGTCGGCGTCTGAGAGGGTAGTGAAGCCTTCGCGGTAAAAGCTCTCTTCGAGATGCTCAAGAGTCAGGGCGCTGAAAGATATTAGTTGGTTACTTTTAAGAAAGTATGGGATAACACTTACAATTGCAGAATGTCAGGGTCGGTAAGACCAAGCTTTGCCGCAGCATCATTCTGCCTCTTGGACATGTCATGATAATGAATCTGTCTCTCGCTGAGTCTAACACCAGCAGGACTTGCCAGGGCAGAGCCAGCAAAGAGAGCAAAGATGGTAGCTTTGAGAGAAGGCATGATTCTTGTTAAATCTTTAGGTCCTTTTTTTTTTTCTGTGTAAAGAGTGCGTAGGGCCAGCCAACAAGATAAACAAATGGGTATCAGTATTAATGTATCAAAAAGAAACGAAAAGGTTGTTAAGCAGGCCAGCGCTTATAGAGAGAGACTCTGGTGAGTTATGTGTTGTGTGAAAGGACTGTTTGAATCTCCAGACAAAAAAAGGAAACTTAGAGGAGGACATCAGTGTCCTTTTGAATACCGAGACAAGACAGATGGACCATAGTGTTTAGCTTGAACGGCTATAGCAAGCTCCGTGTGTAAACAAGGGGGCACAACCACTAGGATGCTTCACCACCAACGCCAAGTGAGATTCAGGGATCGGGAACAGTCAAGAGCCGGGCCCTGGATCTTTGACCATCTTGCTTTTGAAACCGGGACAAGGAAGAGAAAACTCTGGATGAAAAGTCCCTTTCTTAGGGGAGGGTTGAAATCTCGAAACAGCCCCGAAAGGCTGCCGTTGCATTTTCCTTCCTGGTTTCGGTCCGGGCTGTGCCGAAACGCATCTGACACAGTCGGGGTAGGACGTTGGGCTATATCCGCTCTGGCCTTTTTGTGGGTGGTCTAGTAGAGGTTTAGCTTCAATTGTATCATTCTAACGGCTAAATGCACTTTTTTCAATGCCCTTGAAAGAAAAAGATGCGAATGGCTGGTTTGGGGTTTGAGACTCGTGAGTTCATCTTGATTTCAAGTGACGATAACCGAGTGTGCATGGTGTTGAGACCCCCTCTCTCCCACGACAACTCTCTCCGCACATCACCATCAGCAACATCAGAATAAAGCCTTCGCCTGTCTCTGAAGCAACCGACCGTGACCTTGAATAGCGTCGGTAACCAAGCTTAACAAGCTTAAACCTGGCGGCAGTCGAAACCCTCAAGACCAACTACTGACTAACCTAGTCTTTGTTAGCACCCAGCCCAGTCTCCTACTGCAACCTACCCTTTCCCACCATGTCCCCAACTGAAACATGCCACCAAAGAATCGACCTTAAGCGACGTCTCTATCATATCCGCTTATCGTTAGTATTATCCCTCAACTGTTAGGTTACACTTCACCAAGATCAACAATCACGTCAACTACCCCACAAAGACCTCGAGTACAGCTTCAAAACACACACAACTCGTTTATCCCACTGAGTAAATCTGGAAATTACCTCCACTATCAACCGCTTGACTTCTTCTGGCCCAGCTAACACTACATACAGCCTTGCTTTCGAGTCCAACTTCCTTCTTCGCTGTCTCCTATCGCTGGTAACCTAACCTATGCTTCCTCCCTCACAACGTCATATAGCTGCAATCCTTGCTTCGCAGCATTTAGGATTCAACATGTTCTGTTCTGCTTGGCAGCTGCTCCACAGTCTTCCCATGCAATTCGCCAACTAACTTCTTAACTTTTACTTCTTCCTTACAGAGCGTAGGGGTTCAGAGACCGGATCGTCAAGCAACTAGTAGCTCAGTTAGCAACTTCATCTCACACAACAATCAAAAGGCAACTCACGGTGGGCTCTTGGTGAGATCCGTCTTCAGAATCACAGGCACTCTGGTCATCTCCGTCACATCCTGGATATAGTCGCCACCCTCCTCGCGGAGCGAGA